GTGTTCCTTGTTATAGAACAAGCCCTGGATATAAGCATAAGTAATAGTATAGTAGATGAATCACATAATAAAGGATAAACTATAAGCCTGAATATAAAATAAAACTCTGTGTATAACATCTTGTAAATAATATAAAACTTATTGACATCCAATCAATTAAATGTGTCAACTAAATAAGATATCCTATCATTTCTAAATATTTATTTTATAACCTTGATAAAAAGGATTCAAGTCATCTTTGATTCAATAAAATAGACATAAGGAACCTATACTCAGATCAAACAATTTAAATCTTAAATCAGATTATTATAACACCCAATAGATAACCCATATAAATCAGTCTCTTGAGTCAACAAAATGTATATTTGAATACTAACAACGATTCATGGCTCATGTTCTTTGACAGCTATTTTTATTTCTTTGATTCAGGATTCATTAGTATAAATACAAGCAGTTGTTTAGACACAAAATAATCTTTAACCTTCAATTTTTATTTTTATTTTATTTTTATTTTATTTTATTTTTCTTTTATTAAGAAAAACAGTCTTAAACTATACTTCCTTTTGTTCCCTTTCTCTTTTCTATTTTCTTTCTCTTCTTATTTTTCTTTATTATATAACGTTCCATTACAATTATACTATATACAAATACGACAAACAATCATTATAGGCGAGGTATGAGAGCCAATATCACATATTTCATAAAACAAAGTAACGGTATATTAATGTATAATACATAAAGAAAGTATTATGCCTAAATGCATCAAAGAGACTTTCCAGATAAAAGCCAGTTAAACAGGGTATATATCTATTTAACTTATTGAAACTAAACACTCAATTTATAAACGGTTTTTACATGTTAACTTCAGAAATTAAATAACAAGCGTTATAATATGCATTTTTTATAACCTTTATATCATTAAAAAGAGAAACAACTAAGGGCTAATGAAGAGCTATAACCATATCTATAATATATATATTACCTCTTATAAAAAGTATATCTAAACAAGAGTAAATTTGAACAATTATGTAGGCAATTTTGTGAGACAGTGAAATACCTTTTATGTACAAAAAAATTGAATAACAGCAGGCAAAATTACAATCGCCGACTGTAAACAGTAGGAAATAAAGCGCATAGAAGCAATTATATAAGAAAGCAATAACATTATAAAACAAAACTTTAGCAATATATTGATCAATAAACAAGATGCCATACATATCATAGCACATACATCTAATAAACCATTGAAAAATATCCCTAAAAAGGAAATCGCGGAGTTTATAAAAATCACATTTCGCGCTCCGCCTTAAATTTAACTTAATATAGAAGGAAGAAGGAAGAAGGAAGGAAGGAAAAAAAAAGAAATAAATAAATAAAAAAATAAATAAATAAATAAAGGAAAAAAAGGAAAGAAGATAGATAGACAGATGGATAGAGAGAGAAAGATTGAGAAAATAAAACCAGACAAGATAGAATAAGATTGCAAAGGATAGGTGAAAATAGAGGAGTAGAGTTTGTGACAGTATGATTTAAAGAAGAGATAAAAAGAAGAAAAGAATGAGAATAAGAACAAAAGGAAGCTTAGTTTGAGATTGTTTATATAACGTAAAAAGAATAATAAAAAGACTATTTCGTGTCTATACAATTGCTTGTATTTATATTGATGAATCCTGAATCAAAGAAATAAAAACAATTATAAAAAGATAAGTCATGAAACAGCGTTAGTATTGAGATATGCATTCTGATGATTCAAGAGACTGATATATGGGTTATTTATTGGGTGTTATAACTAAGTTTTAAATAAACAATTTATTGTTTAATTTAAGTATAGGTTCCTGATGTTTTTTACATTTTTATTTTATTGGATCAAAGAAGATTTGAATCCTTTATCAAGGTTATAGAAATAAATATTTAAAAATGACACGATGTCTTATAGCTGACATATTCAGATGATAGGATGCTGATAAGTTTTATATTATTTATAGGATGTTATATATGTTGTGGTTTACAGGTAAGATATGGATATAATAAAATAGAAATAAAAATGAAAATGAAAAGAGAAATAGAAGAAGTACGTTGAGGCTTGTCAATAAGTTTTATTAAGATAAAGATAAAAATGAATTCAATTATATTCAATTATAAAAAATAAAGATTAATAATGTAAGAGTTTTTATATTTTTTATGGATAAGGATGATGAGTAATAAGAAGATAAAAACATAACAAATTGTATTTGATAATATAATTATAGAATGATTATTAAGAGTTATAATTATAGATATAGATATAAATTCATATCTTTTGTATGTATTTATTTTTTATAACTAATATGTGCACTCTGAGTAGAATCAATTATTACGTGTATTTGTATTATTCTTATTTTACCCCAGTTTAATTTATATAAAGATATTTTTATGAATCTATATTCAGCAGAACAATAATAGAAGAAAGTATATTTTTAGATGTAGGATTTTTATTAATCATTCTTATATATAAAGATAAATATACTAAATATGTATATAGACAGAATTATCATAGAAGTACACTATATATTTTATTATGACTATTTGTCTTATTTAAGTAATTTATAATTTTTACAACCACGACAATATAATATACAGTATAATACGATTAAGAATTATTTTATTTATAACAAAAATTTAAACATGATGGAGATAGTCAAGTTCAAAAAGTATAAGGCACATAGCAGGCCAACGAATCGTCCAGGCGGAAAAGACAGATGAGTTGAAAGCTGATGAGATTGGTGGCCTGCGTTTTTGTTTATTTGGCAGCTTATTCAAGATGAAGTACAAAGGGTCGGGTTCGGTCAAATATACAGTATAATACGATATCTTAATATATATTCATTTATATAATTTATCTTGTATTATGTAATTTATCTTTTTATAATATTACTCATGCTTATATCCAGAGCTTGTTCTATAACAATAAAGACGACTACAATCATAACACTAATCTGTTCTTCGATCAGTTGACATCCTTAGCCAAAGGTATTCAATACGATAATTGACAAGAACAAATGTCAAGATTATAATTTGAGATAAATGCCATTTTTATCTTTTTAAGAATATTATAAAGTTGAATTTAAAAGACAAAATTAGAAGAATTTGATTGGCTATGTCACGTGACTCGCTGCCTTTTTATTTGCTTATAATTTATTTAAATACGTTTCATACATGAAAAGCGGGTATAGCTCAGCTGGGAGAGCGTTAGACTGAAGATCTAAAGGTCAGGTGTTCGATCCACCTTAGCCGCAATTTTTTTTCTTGATGCTGTTCTTGAGTGCATTTTTTTTTTATATAGCACAAAATAATAAAGATATCCTTTTTTTTTCTAATTATTATATTTCAATACATACCACACTGATCCAGACAAACTAGTATTTAATAATATAGTACAATTTGAATGCGACTGTTGAGTAAAAATGATAATTCTGTATACTTGATTGAACAAACATCTTATTTTATTTTATATACAAGCTTGATATAATCTTTATTTAGCATATGCTTATGTTAGAAAAGATAGTTTATTATAGAGATATATATAGTTTACATTTTATGTTTAATATATTCTAAAGCTAGTTTATGATGTATTATGCGGGGAGAGGGGAGAGAGAAATAAAGTCTAAATACGGCTCATTCAATACAGAGATAGCTTAATACTCGTCTGTTGTGTTAATGATATCGTTTATTATTATTGATTAGCTTAAATAACATGATGTTCAAAACTTAATACAAGTAAACGATACTACGCAATTAAGCGTATTTAATTAGAATAGCTATGTATAATATTTAATCAATAACAGTAAATTCAAAGCAAAAAAAGAAAAAAAAAATACTAAGTGTATCAAGGCACTGTGCCTGAAGAAACAAAACTGTATCAAATAATATTGTACGCTGGTGTTTAATTTAGTTGAATCAGGGTTGTACGTACCTTAGATGCCAAATAGAGATTGGTTACTATCACTTCCCATTGGATCGAACATTCCTGATATAGGATCAATACATTGATAAAAGATGCTTATTAAAACAACTATAAAAAGGTGCTGATTATTTCGAGAATAACAAGGATGTTCTCTTTAAAAAAAAAAAAATAATGTAACAGATTTTCACTAACTTTTACTGCGTCTATTATTATTAATTATTTTACCGATCTAACAATTGTAAAAAGAGGAGTGTTATAATAAATATGTGACAATAAAAAAGGAATTATAAATACTGATATGAAAAATAAGAGAAATCATCTTTGTGTTTTCTTCTTATTAAAGATTCAACTATATTATCTTATTAGTATTAAGTAATACTCTAACATCAGGCGTTAAGCACGACAAGAAACAGTTGACTACAAAATAATGAAGAAGCATATTTTTTTCTTATAGTGTACTGTAGAAATGTATTAAGGTATAATTCATTTAAATGGTAGTGTACTAAAACCTATTACTATTGTTTTTTGTTTTGTTTTTTCTTTTCAATCAAGTACAATACTAAAGAAGAAATTATAGTAGTATTCAATTTAATTACAACGATATTTGTTGTTATACGGCATTATTGGTTAGCAGAGTTTTTTTTTTTTTTTTTTTTTTTTTTTTTTTTTTTTTTTTGCAGCAAAAGATATTCATTACAAGCAATTCTATTGCGATACAAGTAGTAGTCTTGTATACATGCATAATAAGCAAAATTGTTATCATAAAAGGAAAAAAAAAAGGAGGCGTAGTTATTGAGCAGTTATTGTTAATAAGTTTCTTTAGAATTCATTGTTTTCAAGTATGTTACAACAAACTTAAAAAAAAAAAAAAAAAAAAACGTACGATAATACAATGATAGAATCTATCATGTTTATCGTTGTCACTTTTTTTTTCTTTTTTTTTTTCTTTCCACTTTAAATATAATAGTAATAAATGTTATTTTATATATTTTGTATTTGAGATATACGATATTAATAAATAAAATAAAGTGCAAAAATCTAGATTTTTTTTTTTTTTTTTTTTTTTTTGAAAATAGGTTTGATGGTTGCAATTAATACATTACATTGATGCTTGTGTAAGTGCTACAATACATAAATAAATTCTATTCATCTCCCGCCATCAAATGTAGTAGTATACATACAACTGTGATTGTATACATTTGTTTCAGATCTAGCTTATCTCTCCTCTTCTTTTTCTTTATTTTGTTTATCTAAAAATACAATGGGTTGCTGTTCATCTATAGAAGTTGGGGATAATGATACTTATAATAAATTCAGAAATGAAGAAATAGAAAGCCAACTCAGGATGGAGAAACTAAATAGTAAAAATGAAGTCAAGTTATTATTACTCGGTAACATTATGCTTTCTTCCATCTCATCATCATGTCAATAATTAATCTCCCCCTTTTTTTTTTTTTTTTTTTTTTTTTACAATTAATAAATAGGCGCTGGTGAATCCGGGAAATCAACTATACTCAAACAAATGAAACTCATTCACGACGGTGGATTCTCAAAGGATGAAAGAGAAGCTTACAAAGAAATCATCTTTAGTAATGCCATCCAATCGATCCATGTTCTCTTGGAATCTATGCAAGATTTAGGTATTTCTTTAGGCGATCCACAAAGGAATCAGGGCTTTTTTGAATTTATCATGCAACAAAAGGTCAATAATACTATGCAACCTGACATTATTAGAGCTATTCAATCTTTATGGCAAGATAAGGGTGTTCAAGAGACGTTTAAACGAAGAAACGAATTCCAATTAAATGATTCTGCTTCATAGTAATTAAAATATGTTACACATACACACACACGAAAAAAGGATATACATACTTATTTTTATATATTTGAATTTAGTTATTTTGAATCAATAGATCGTATAGGTGGAGCCCATTATGTTCCTACAGATCAAGATATATTACGCTCTCGTGTAAAGACAACAGGCATTACAGAGAGTCGATTTAACTTTGGGACACTTACGTACCGTATGTTTGATGTAGGAGGACAACGTTCAGAACGTAAGAAATGGATTCATTGCTTTGAGGATGTGACAGCCGTCATCTTTATGGTAGCCATCTCTGAATATGACCAGGTGTTGATTGAAGATGAAACGGTGAATCGTATGCAGGAGGCCCTAACGTTATTTGACTCGATTTGTAACTCACGATGGTTTGAAAGGACATCGACTATCTTATTTCTAAACAAAACAGACCTCTTTCGTGAAAAGTTACCTACCAGTCCTCTTTCCATTTATTTCCCTGATTACAAAGGGGAGGCTGATTTTGATCAGGCATGTGATTATTTAACACAAAGATTCGTTTCCCTCAATTCTTCGTCCGATAAACAAGTCTACACGCATTTAACATGTGCAACAGATACAGAACAAGTTAAATTTGTCATGACAGCCGTGAATGACATTATCTTGCAAGCAAATTTAAGAAATGTGGGTTTAATTTAATAAATACCCCAATCCCACCTCTCTCTCTCTTTTTATATATATACATATATACATATATACATGTACACATATATACATATATAAAACCAAAGAAACACATACATACATACATACATACATACAGTCACACACACACACACCTTATTTATTTTTGATATATTTATATAGATGTGTATTTATATATTTATGTATTCATATATATTTATAAACTTGCCCTTTCATTTATTGAACAAAAGTAGTGCAAGCATTCATTTGAATCTCACCAAATGGACGATCTTGTTTAACCTTAATTTTATCCTTTGTAGATAACAATAAAATATCATAAAAGAGTCTAGCAGCATCAGCTCGATTAGTAGAGTGCATAGGTGCTAATTCTCCAAATTTAATTGTTTCTCTAGAAACAAATTGAGTTTCGAGTTTTTCAAGTGTTTCTCTTGTACTTGTATTTAATGTTTGTGTCATAAATCCATTCTCTTCTTCAAATTCACCCATATCCTAAATATAAAAGTGAGTAATAGTAATAATAATAAAAAGGAGAGATTGAATTGAATCATTGTTATTTACAGTATTGAAATGAGCTGCCATGGCATCTTGATTAAATTCTCCTGCATCAAAATCACCTCCATCATCAAATTGAAAAGCTCTTTGCAAATCAGCACCTTCTTCTTCCATAATACGTGGTTCCTTTTCAATTTGACCTAACGCTTGAGATGCACGTCTCTTGCGATTGAATTGTTCAAACATGGTCTCAAGTTCATGACCTAATGAACCAAGAGGTGCGGTCAACTTGACTACCTCCTTTGTTCCCTTTGCCATGTCAAATCCTGTTTCTTTAGTTACAATTGTACTTGTATCATTAGCATAACGACGTAAATCCTCTTGTGGAATTTCTGTTACTTTATCTACAACAAGTCTTTTACGACGACGCACAACGGGTTGCTCTACATCCATATCAAATAATTGAGTATCTTCAACAATGCCTGCTTGCATCAATGTATCATCCTCATTAGGTAAATTAAATTGTTCAATGGCTGCTGCATTAGGCGCTTCAAGATCTTGATCAGCAACATCAAAATCAAAATCAATAGTGTCGTTAAAGAGTCCATTGTCATTCAAATTCATTTCTTTCATGGGATCAGCAATGGCATCCATGTCAAAGGCAGTATCAGCAAATCCTGGTTCATTGTCACGACGACCTACTTCAACGCCACCTAGACCACGACCTGTTTCGTAGTTACCAAAACTAAAGTCGTTAAGGGTAATATCTTGAGACATATCGACAAAGCTATCTAAAATAGGATCACGTTCATCTAAAGCGGTACCTCCACTAACAAATAAAAAAAAAAAAAAAAAAAGGAGAAGAAGAAGAAGAAAGTAAATAAATAAATAAATGTATTCATCAGTAGGCTGTTTATGTTGTTGTTTACTTTATGTTGAAGGGTAGATCAGGAAGTAAAATGTCGAATTCAGTTAATTTATTTTGTAATGTAATGGTATTTACGTTGGCAATAGTATGATGAATATCAGGCATGTTTACATCTCCCTTTTTAAAAGCCTATAATACGATAATAATAAAAAAATTTAGATGAAAAAAAAATAGATATGAAGACATATTTCTTACCAACTTAATCTTGACAAGTGCTTCATTACAATCTTCTAATAAATATTTAGTTTTTCTTGAAAAAATACGAACGACACCAAGCAATAATTGACCAGAAACACGAAGTGCAATAGGTTCCTCTTCTTGGTTTGTCTTGATGGCATCTAAACAACAACAACAAAAGTTAAGGGAAAGAGTTAATGCGTCACTAAGGAATGAAATCTTTTTATTCTTGTACCAATTGTCTTTTCAAGATTAGTTTGTAAGAATTGAGACTTTGAAATCTTTCTTTCCCAATGAGAAGCTAACCAAACACGAGCCAATGGCCCTTGTTTTATTCTTAATTGATCAGAAAGCATCAGTTAAAAAAAAAAAAAAAAGAATAGAAAAAAGATTTAAAAAAAAAAAAAATTATAGATAGTTTAATATTTCACGCGGCAACAAAAAAAAAAAAAAAAAAAAAAAAAATAAAATAAAATAAAATAAAAAAAAAAAACTAATAATTATAATAGTTATAATACGCGCAACAAGACGCGTCACATGAATTTCCCCTTATTATTATTATTATCCATCTTTACACATATCACTTATACATTCACATGAACCAGCAATTTTACCAGTAGATAACCAAATATCAAGAGCAAAGGCAACAGTTTCTGCACAATTAAAACCTAAAACAATATCCTGAATGGTAGTCATAAGGAAAAAGTAATGATAAAATTACCTTGAATGTTGAGCTGGAATAGTTTGATTAGCTAAGAAATTAGGAGAGACGATCGATATTCTGTGCTTTTAAGAAAGTCTTTACATTGTTTATAATTATGAGGAAATACAGTTTTATATATATAAAAGGGAATATAGCATTGCATATCCTTGTTTAGGTTATTCAGAATGTAAACAAGTAATTTGATATTAATATATGCATATATATTAATGACTTACTTCAACATGCCACGCAAAAAGTTGATTTCCGCATATCCCAAAGAATAAAAGTAAAGTGTATTTACATGGTGTATACCATTGTTGTAAAGTAAAAAAAGAAAAAAAAAAAAGACCTTTGTTTTTTTTTAATATTTGTTTGACAATAGATACCACGATTACTTAACATGGGTTGTTCCTATATAAAAATATTCCAACTTCAACATAGAACACTTTACAATAGGATTTTTAATATTGGACTTGTTCTTCTAAATTTAGAAGGTAGATCAGATAAGATTTATATAAAAAGTAATAAAACTACTAATAACAATCAATCCGGTGGAATCACTTTGACCGGGCCCGTTCATGATTGATCCAAGGTTGTACCGCTATTTTCTTTTTTTTTTTTATTTTTTTTTAAAAAAAAAGAGTGGTTATTATAAATACATATATACTGTGTACTACCCGATCATAATAAGTATGCATATATACATGAAAGGCAATGTGAAACCCTTCTAAAATCAATTAAATAATAACAGTATAATACTAAAGATATGTTTCATACAATAGTAGTTGATTGTTACACTTTATTATTGTATTGTGTACATTATCATATTATCTAATAAATGTTATAACAGTGTGTGTGTGTATGCATATAAAGTTAGTTAAGATATAGTTTTAATTTAACGCTTATAATCGAACCTATTCCTTATTGATATCAAACTATCATTATTTTCACACACACACACACACACATGCATATATACGTGTATTATATATAATAGATAATAGATTAGATTATAGCCTTTCTCTTTTCTTTTCTTTTCTTTTCTTTCTTTTTTCTAATAATAAAAGATGTCTAATGAAAAGCATCAAGTAGATCAAATATCAAATAAAGAAATTGACTCTATTATAGAAATTGAAGATCATGTCCCAGAACCCAAATTAAAAAGAACACTTAAAGCCCGTCATTTAGCTGTGATTATTAATATTATTAAATAAATAAATAAAAAAAGACGATGTAATAATATATGTTGATAGATGATCTCTTTGGGCGGTGTCATTGGCCAAGGTCTTTTCCTTTCTGCTGGTGGCAATTTAAATAGAGCAGGTGAAAATAGCTTAAATAATTTAGAATTATATCAAAAAAAATTAACAAAATAGTCTTGTTTGTTTTGGTTTGTATGTTTTAGGTCCTGCGGGTGCTCTTATAGCTTATGCAATTATCGGTTTTATTGTTTATTGGGTTACTTTTTCTTTGGGTGAAATGTCAACTTATATTCCTGTAAGTCTGCTGATTTTTTTCTTGTTACGATAATAATATATACATATATATATATAAAAACGCGTTTACTTACTTTTGTATGTAAAGGTCTCTGGATCTTTTACTGTCTTTTGTAGACGATTTGTAGATACATCATTTGGTACAACAATTGGTTATAATTATTGGGCTTGCTGGTCCATTATTGTTGCTAGTGAATTAACAGCGCTACCACTTGTAATGGAATTTTGGACAGATCGTGTACCTGGTTGGGCATGTATGTAAAATAATTATATAAAAAATAGAGTTAGAGTTTTAGGGATATTGACTGGTTTAAACAATACCAAAAAAAAAAAAAAAAAAAAAAAAAAATAGGGTCGGGTATTTGGTTAGTTGTGATTTATACATTAAACGTATTTGGTGCAAGAAGTTATGGTGAAGCTGAATATTGGTTTAGTGTTGTAATAATAAGAAGTTTAATAAAAAGAATACAAATGATGAATTTAACCATTATTCCTTTTTTTGGATTAGATCAAAATTGTCGCTGTTCTTGTTTTCATTATTGTAGGCTGTATTACCTCAGGAGGTTTAATTGGGTAATTTACAACAAAGGGATTGAATATCTGTTTATTTATTTATTTTCTTAAGAAACACAACGCCTCATGAAGTTTATGGGTTCAAGTACTGGAATGATCCAGGTGCATTCTCTAATGGCGCATTAGGTGTTGTAAATGCGTTCGTATTAGCTTCTTTTAGTATGCAAGGTACAGAAATTGTTGGTATCACTGCTGGTGAGTGTGAAAACCCTGTGAAGGTAAAAAAAAATAAAATGACATCATATTATCCTTTTTTTTTTAAAAAAAAAATAATTCTTAATTCTTAATTCTTAATACTGATACTACTAATAATAATAATAGCAAGTTCCCCGTGCTATTCGAAATGTATTTTGGCGTATCATTATTTTTTACTTGGGTTCAGGTAATTTCAATATAAAAATATATAATTAGATAAAGCAATCATCATTATTTTGTTTTGCATAAATAGTGTTTATCATGGGTATGCTTATTCCATATGATGATCCTCGTAATCTAAGTGGTAGTAATTCAGTCACTGTTTCACCTTTTACCATTGTCTTTGGGAAAGCAGGATTACAAAGTGTAGCTCATATCATGAACACTGTCATTCTTATCACTGTAAAACAAAAACAAAGACAAAAGAAAAAAGAAGGGGAAAAAAAAAACTAAATTAATATGTGTATATATTAGGTCCTTTCTTGTGCAAATAGTGGAATGTATGTAAGCTCTCGAATGCTTTGTGCTTTATCTAATGAGGGATTAGCGCATCGTAAACTTTGTAAGTTATAATAGTAGTAGTAGTAGTGTAACATGACCTATTCCACCTTCTAATCATCTATCATTTTATTATTATGGGGAAACCCCTCCCTACTGTGTAGCTCAAATCTCTCGTCGTGGTGTCCCTCTTTATTCACTTACTTGTACTGCCCTCGTCTGTCTTATCACGTTTGCTACTTCATTTATTCCTGGCAAGGCACTCTTTATTGTCTTGACCAATTTATCAGGTGTAGCAGGCTTTGTAACATGGGGTGGTATCTGTTTCTCTCATTATCGTTTCCGTAAGGCGCTTAAATGTCAGGGACGTACCGTCAAGGATCTACCCATCACAACTCCCTTTCATCCCTTTGGTGATCTCTTTGGGATGGTCGCGTGTGTGGTGATTGCGCTGATGGCTGGTTATTCTTATTTTGTACCTCCTAATGCGGTAGGCCTGATCGGTAACTATGGTGGTCTGGTCTGTATCCTGATCTTGTTTATCGTCCTCAAGTTTTGGACAAAATCCAAGATGATCCCTATTGATGAAATCGATTTAGATACTGGAAGAGCGGATTATAGTAGTGATCTGATGACTAAAGAAGGAGAAGAAGATGATTCAGATAAGACAGGTCCAATTTGGAAACGAATATGGAAAAAGTTTGTCTATATTGTTACATAATTTTTATTTATTTATTTTATTTATTTTATTTTATTTTATTTTAAATCAATAAATATATACATATACTCATTTATACATATTTATATTATGGGTGACTGTTGCTGTATGTAGCTTGTGCTAGTGACCCGCTTCGTCTCGTAATTCCCTCATCCTCTTTACAAAGATCCGCTTGATATCCATGATAATAAACATGATCTGGATCTGGATTACAATAGGTATCTGCTGGGATCTCTAACGATTCAAAATCTTTTTTAGCCCTCCCTGTCCATTCAACTCGATCCTCGGGTGTAAAAGCAAATTTGCCTAAATTGGCCCAATAATAAGCTTTCAAAAATCGAATCTCATGTATGAATTGCATCTCAAAGACACCATGTCGAAGTACCATGTATCCCTCTACAATCCTTCGTGTCATAATATAAGGTAACGCTCGTGCAAGATATAAACAAGGTTGTGTAAATTCCCAAAACTTCACTTGTTGAAATGCATGATTAAGACGTGATAAATCAAAGATATATTTTTCATATTGATTATCACTTTGATCAATTTGTCCATCTTCAACCATACAATAAAGTCCCATGGTTGCAAAAATGAGACCATAAATAGGAAAAATATTGGCTATATGTATATAATGGTAAGAAAAAGAGTAAGAAAACGTCCTTTTATATACATCTATATTCTTACGTGTCATCGTTAAACCTGGTAAATGATGGATTAATTTTTGTAAATGTCGTTTAGCCATATCCACCATATGATTTCTTGCATAATAACATACAAGAGTGCCATGAATGGCAATTCGATTATAATCAGCTGCTTCCTTGATATGCGCCTCTAGTAAAGCTACATAAGGTGCACAATTAGCCATCCTATCGACTACAATAGCATTCCCAATATGATAGACTCCTAACCAAACTTCAGCTTCAAAATCCCCATTTGCATGCGCTGTATGCGCCATCTGTTTCATCAGTTCCATCTCCACCTCGGACCTTCCAAAGGTGCCTTCAAAGATCCTCATCGTTATTAATAACCCTACCGCTCTATAAAACAATTGAAATTCTGTCACAACTCCTAATGTCATCGACCCCTCTACAGATTGATACAACAGATCACGAGCATTTGAAAACTTGCCAGCAGCAAAACACAATAAGGAACAAATGGTTAATGTATCTGGATCTGCCATCTTTTGTTTCAAGGCCTTTGCAATATAAAAGATACTATTCGTCTTGTCATCATTCAGCCAACACAAAAGAGCATTTCGTGCTAGAAAGAGTGTGTAGTTGAGACTCGTCTTCTGTTCCAATCGCTCACATTCATTAAGACCTACCAAACATGCATAAATAAAGTCGCGTTCATTCCCTGTATAAAAATAAATATTCGAGAGTTGGGCCATGATCTCTGCAACACGTTTCCCATTTTCAGCAGAGCGTCTATAACGATGAGAATGATGAGAATGATGATGACGATTGCGACGACAACGACATGTGAAAAAAAGATGGCGACGATGTCGATACTGACGGAATCGATGCTTCCAAAATTGTAACCAAAATAAAGTATCCGTTTGTGGCCAAGGCTCACCTAGAACCTTAAGCGCTCGAAACAAATAACGTTCACCTTCTATTAATTTAGTCCTCATCGTATAGCACATACCCAACTTTCTATAAATATCGCTTAATCGGATTGTTCCAAATTGTTCTAATCTCTCGGGGTAATCATCTAAAATTTTCACAATACGTTGCAAGTTAAGCGTAGCCTCAGGTAACAGATAAGCTTGCATATTTTGATCAGCTAGTTTCTCTAAATAATACAATTGTTTATCGACTGCATCTGTCTCGAGATAGTGACGCGTAATTTTCCTTAATGATTCGTATGTGGATTGTTGGTTTGTTTCATAGTAACGGGCTAAAGCATAGTGTTGTGAGATACGTGTTTCGTACGAGATCATATCATAGATACTTTGAGGGATGGTAATATGAGTAAAGATATACAAATTATCGTCTGCTTGTTGAAGGAAATGATAAAGATCTAAATGAGTGATGAGTTGTTGTATTTGATCTATATCCTGAGATAAAAAAATCCTATTATTCGGTTTAATAACTGCTTTTACTTCAAATAATGAAAAATATTGATCCAAACAGCAGGCAATCTATAAGAAAAAGAAAAGAGAATTTAATGTATTACTAACGATATGTATGTATGTTGTATGTATATTTACAGTAAGAAATTCTTGGTAATTGGGATCAAGTCTGTCAAATTGCATTTTAATGATACGTTTATAATCAAAATTACCAAGCACATCTTCTAAATCAAAACTATTACTACTTGGAACAAGTTCACCGTCAACCACAGTAACATGATTAAAATCCTTTAATACAATCGCCACATTTCTAAAAAAAAAAAATAAATAAATTTATCATTACTTAATAAAATAGACAAACGAAAAAAAAAAAAAAAATAGAGAACAAGCTTACTTGACATATAAAGGATTCCCTCCTGTACGTTTCTATAGAATCATTGTTATAATATATATTTCTTCCTTTCCTTTTTTTTTTCTTTTTTTCTGTAAAATTTTACCTGTATAACTTTAACTATTTCTGGACTAATCCTATTCACACCACTTCCAAAATTTTGTAATATAATTTCACCAATTTCATCTTCCCCTAAACCGTTCAAGGGTATCTCAACATAGGATCCAGCCATTCTAAATTGCTCAATAAATGTGACATTGTAATCCTTGATTGGCCTTGTTACCATCAAGATCATGACCTTTTGACAGCACTCATGAATGTGTTGTAATATGCGTATTGAAGCCGAATCAGCCCCTTTTTTTTTTAAAAAAAAAAAAAAGAGATATATATATATACATATATAAAGGATAGTAAGTCAAAAAGTATCTATATAACACTTCACACACACATACACACACACACACATACATATAGATATATGTCTTACATTGAACATCGTCACAGATAAAAACCAATCCTACATGCTTTGAAACATGCGTAACAATACGTGTAATTACACCCGTCAAAAGTATATCACGTGCCCGTCCATCCAATAGTCTAGTATATCTATTTTCGCTAATATCCTCAAGGGATGTAAAGATGACTTTAAAGAGAGGCATATAACCATCTTCTTCACCACATTTTTGTAAACATCGTGAAATGAGGTCAACCATATCATTATTATTATTATTATTATTAGATGATGCAGTATAGGTCGTTAATCGATTAGGCTTAACTTGGTCACTGCTTGAAGAGATTACATCCAATTCTATATTTGGAGTTTGTGGTGTATTAGACTGAGATATAGTTTTGATAGGAATTTTATCAGAGTCAACAATTTCAAATATTGAGAGCATAATACTTCTTAACAAATAATATTTACTACTTTTCTCAACTATATACTTGGTTTGTTAGATGATATATGTAAATGTAAATGTAAATGTTATATAGTATACCTTCTGTAGATGAAGTCCAACTATATGTGTATAAAGATGTATTTGTTCTTAGTTTAATATTATCATTTCCTTTGTGACATTCTTCCCTTTATATATGTATATATTTATCTAATAAAACTTACCAACTTATAAACCCATGTGAAATAATAATTTTGTATAAATTACTACAAAAGAAGCTTTTACCCACTCCTGCTGGCCCTGTTACAACTAAAAAGTGATGATTAGGCGCTTTACTCCAATCTTCTACAAAGTGTGTAGCCAGTCGCATTTCTATCTTGTAACCAATAAAATCTGTTGTAAGTTTTTCATCTGTCGAGATACGTTTATAATCATTCTTAAAACCAAAATTAATAATACTAAAGACTTGAACTGGCGTCGGTTTACCCTTCATAAAGTTCTCACCAAAGTCTTCAAATTCACAGAGTCCACCAATTTGTTTACGTGTTGTCGAATCACAAACAACAGATTCCTTAGAGAACTCATATTTAAGCATTCTGACAGCCACTACAATTGTATCACCTGAAATACCAGGATCTCGCCTGTATGGATTGTTGTGAGGGATGTCTGCAATAAAGATAGTACCTGTTGATAAAGAAATTGAAAACCCTGTAAAACCTTCCTGATGGTATTTATCACGAATCTCGAGAGCTGCCTTTGCTGCAAAGACTGCTTCACGTTCATGAGATAAAGGTGGAAGACCAAAGACAGATAATAATGTAGTACCTATAATAGAGTTATAAGCACAACAACAACAATAATGATAGTAGTAGTCAGAAAAAAAAAAGAAAAAAAAAAAAAAACAACGACTTACCTTTATCATCAATGGCAAATTGCTGTAATATACCTTCATACTTTACAAGTGAATGAATGACTAATTGTACTGCCTTTTGTAAATATTCAAGCCCTTCTGGATGATCTATATTTATCTTTCCTAAACTAACAAACATGATTGTAACCTCCCGAAATTGCGCTGATAAACGATCGTTATCCCCTATTTGTAACAAACGATAAAGGGCACTCCGATTGATATACTTGAAATAGTATCTGTTAGCATCTAAAGGTAAATTGTTATAGGTCGCATTGCGTCTTCGTGGTATTAACGGTTCTATCATTGGCATCTTTACACGTTCTCGTCTTAATCCAGACAATGATTTAAAATATTCTCCCCGTGTATTATTAGATAAGCTCTTAATAATATAATACCTTCGTCGTTGTTCAAAGTTTAGCATCGATGATTGTCGTTGCATAATATCATAAGCAGTGGGTGTAATCGTCATTTCACCCGCTTTAGCCAGCGATAGGGCCTCATCCAAACTATCTACAGCTTGTCCACCAATAGCATATTCAAGTCGACCATGATATTCAAAATCAGATTGGTGCAAGTGATTATTAGATTGTAACGATTCTAAAGGATCCAGTTCACCTACAATAATATTCGTTACATTACCACACGTTAATGCCATATGTAACTCAAGATCGACACAGTTGCTATTTTCAATGAGAATCGAGTTTTCACTAGCCACACTTGTTCGACGGAGATTAAAACTTTTTCGGCCCTTAAAAAGATGAGGAATCCAACCAGTTCCTTTGGAGGAAGAGGATGTGTCATTATTTTGTTGTTTGATAGAAGAAGAGGACATATTATTTGTTCGATGCTTTGATCGTTCTTCTGCTGTAAGATAAACTCTATAATGAGAAAGACGAGCAAGTAATTGTAAGCCACATTCAATACCACGACGTACTAGTAAGTTTTTTTGTCTTTCAGAAGGTTCTGCCAAATCGACATGATTTATTGATTGAAAGCATACTAAGACAGCATCACCCAAAAACTAATACAGTACAGAACAGAACAGAAAAAAATAAAATAAGATAATGTAAAATAGTAAAATGACTTCTTTTCCTCATTTACTTTGACAACATCACCTCCATAAAACTCAATGATTTGTATACACTATTAATTTTATTAGTTTAGTCTAATCATATTATTTTATAATATTCCTACTTACTTCTCCCATATAAGCTCCAATTTCCATTGCAATTGCCTCTGCACCTGAACCTCCTTTTGCTTGTGCCATTGTTGTCAACTGTTAAATAGTTTAATATAAATATCCCTTTTTTTTTTCTTTTTCTCTTTACCATACTAAAGCCTAAATATGTATATTTTTTTTTAAAAAAAACAAAGGCTATTATTAAACTCTTATTATTATAATAGATACAAAACCAAGTCCTTACCTACAACATCAACCATCAAGACAACACCAAATTGTGTATGACTATAAGGAAGTTTGATAGAATCCTCATTGGCATGTAATGAGCGTACATACTTTTTTTTTTTTTTTTTTTTGAAACAAGAATTAGTATAATATCATTACAACATAATGAATAAATAAAATATACTTTAGCAATATAAGGTGCAATATTGAACATGTGAATAATCAGGTTTTCATCTATTTTCGTTATTATCTGTTGTTGTTATTTCTTGAATAGAAAGGAGAACGACAATAAGCTTATAAAAGTAAGGAATCCTTTTGATAGTTTACTTGTTTTATTTTGATTGCTGAGTTTAAATCCTTTCTTTTATATGAATATATAAAAAAAAGAAAAGAAAGCAAAAGAGTAATTTTAATAAAATCATTAGTTCTTTATAAAACTGCGTTTGTTGGATTTTGTTTCATCTACCAACATACATGAATATATGCTCTACATATTATGTAATAACAGACTAGTTTTCAAATTCAGCTATTCTTTTTATATACATGTGTATATTTATTTATTAGTTCTTTCATTCAATGAAGCCTTTAATAAGTAATAATGAACCTACTAATAAAAAAAGATTACTTGCTTTTTTTTTTTTTTTTTAAATATGATGATAATTTATGCTTTTTAGTATTCATATCACTTTGGGAATGTTTCATACAATTTTGTGTCCCAGAAAAAAAAAAAAAAAGAATTTATGCTTATAATTTTTATAGGGTTATAATTTTCGCGCTTTTTATTACTATTTTTATCGAGGAGTATTAAATAATGTCAACTGTAGTCGACGAATTACAAGATTATTTATGCTCTAATCTACAGACTGAACAAGACTTGAGTCTTGACAATGTTAAACGTCTATTACAAATTCAATACGAGGAAAAAGCATCTCTAGATTCTCAAGTATATATATATATTTGGTTTATTTTCATTTTCTTGTAATGATGCATGCTAATTCTTTTTTTCTTTTTTTTTTTTAGTTACAAACACTCAAACAAACAACAAAGCAAAAATTATCAAGAACATTGCAAACATCTAAAACTCATCATGCAAAACTCAATGAACTATCAACTTCATTATTATCAACAGAAAACACTCTTCAAACATTTATTCATCATGAACCCACTCTTCAACTATTGTCTCAACTTACACATTTAGAACAAAAAATAAAGAAAATAGATATCGCAAAAACTTATATCAAATCACTTTTAGTAGCCTCTGATCTAAGGTAAATTGACCTATCTTCCATCTTCTCCCCTCTCCCTCCCTTAATGACTTATATCCTCTCTAAAATGAAAATGAAAAGTTCTCAAGCTATGGAATTAGTTATAAAAGAACCTCAAGAAGCGATAACACCTTATAAGCAACTCTTACAATTTGAAAGCTATTTGGAGAAACATGCTGCTTATAAAGGACTCTATGAATCTATTAAAAAATCTCGTCTTTCTCTTTGGGAACAACTGAATGATGTCTTGACAAAAAACTTCAAGGACACTTTACAAGATCTCGACTGGCCAAAGCCTCTTCGACCCCCTTATGGCCCACATATGAAAGACAAATTGAATGCCTTTGAAAAGGCCTTCTCTAACTTGCTGATCCTTGAAAAATTGTAAGTTGATTTGATTTTATTCATATTTTGTTACTAATAATAGTGTTCTTTTTTTTTAGTGAATCAGATGTCATTTCAAATCCTATTTTAATTATGCTTGAAGCTTTATCGATTCGTTTTCGTTTTCATTTTGAATCTTCTAAACCTACAAATCGTCTTGATAAACCTGAATGGTACTTGACATTTGTGAAGGATACCATCGCTAGTCATATCCCATTCTTACTCACTACCGTTCAACCTCTTTGTGGAACTTGGAATGCAAAGGATCAATTTATTACAGGCTTACTGAGAGATGTGGAACGAAAGATACAAGATACATTCCCTAAACTATTAAATCATCCCAACTGGCTAAGTCATACGATACATGAAATCCTTGTCTTTGATAAATCACTGTTAGATCATTTCGCTTATTCCTCACACCTCTCATCCTACACCATTTTCACACATGATGCTTGGTTCACTACTTGGTTTGAAGCAGAACGCTCTTTTGCTCTAGTCAGATTTGATACCATCATGTCAGATCCACGAGCCTTTCATGTCGATGATACCTCAAGAGCAACTACATCAGCCATTCGACTTGTTGAACTCTTGGAGAGTATAAGAGATGTGTATGAATTAGTACCATCCACTGAACAAAAGTGTCGCTTCTTGAATGAGATACAACTTGATTTATTAGATCAATATCAACAAAGAATATCGAATGCAATCGATTCATTTGAGGCACTTTCTCTTATTCGATCTGTACCTGTACCTGGTGCATTACCAGAGGCTGTGACAGGTGTCATGACAACGACTGAGACAGGTGGAACAGTAGCTGCTATACATCGTCTCTATCGATGGTGGAGAAGTGTAGATTATATCATCAATAGATTGAAAGATTGGTCAGAAGACGAGGTAAAATGAATGCATACATAACTTTGTATATATATAGTAGAGAAAGAGGGAGAGAGGAAGAGAGGAAGAGAGGAAGAGAGAGAGAGAGATAGGCAGAGAGACAGGCAGACAGGCAGACAGAGAAAGAGAGTCGATACTAATTCTATATGTATATAAAGTTCTTTTTGGAATTGCAGTTTGATATCAATCAAAATCACAAAAAATTAGGACAAGACGGATTATTTAAAAATAGTTTGAATACTTTTAAACAACTTGATTTACGTACAGAAAAAATGATGATTAAAATTGCTATAAAAGAATGGATAACAGGAGCTCGAAAATATGCTAAAAAGTAAGTTTCTTTCTTTCTTTCTTCTTCAAAATACAAAAAGACTTAGTTTTATTTTATAAGGGATACTTGGTGGCAGACATCATGTACAGATATAACTGAAATATCACATGAATTATATCAACCTTTACAAAACTTTAGAAACACCTTCAATTCTATTTATCCTATTTTACCAGAAGCTAAATTTTTATTAGTCTATCGTAAGACACTTCAAGAAATTGAGGATTGGTATTGGAAACAGATTATTACTCAAAATCAATTCTCCACAATGGGCGCCTTACAATTAGAAACTGATTTAAAACAAGGTTTATGGAAAATTGGGCAAAAATGGACAAAGAAGCCTGAAAACCTGATGAAGAGGTAAATTAAAAGTGTAAATAAATCGTAAACATTATTCTTACAAGAATTTCTTTAGACTGAAAGAAGCAATTCAATTACTTGTTTTACCCTTTGATAATGATACTGTGTCATGTAATAAATTAATGAAGGCATTAACAGATACAAGTCAACTGGAAAATGTACAAAAGATGTTACAAGCCATTGGCATAGAAGTCTTGAGCAATGGTCAAATACGTGATGTCTTGAGAAGAAGAAATGATATGTTGCATAGTTGGAATTAAATTCTCTCTTTCACTATTTTTTTTTTTTTTTTTTTTTTTTTTTTTTTTTTTTTTGCATTATAAATAAATAAAATAAAATTTGCTGCTATTATTATTATTATTATTTTTTATTTATTTATTTATTTATTTTCGTTCATATTTTATTAAAAGAAATGCAAGCTACAGTTATAAATAATGATTTACAAGAAGATTTTCTTGGAAGTGTACAATGTCCAATAGACGATTGGCGATACGAAATGAGAAGAGAAATTCAAGAAATCATTGTAAAATCAAACAATTTTTTTTTTTAAAAAAAAAAAGATACACATACACACATATACAAATCGTCTAAAAGGAGGACTACTGATAAAATATCTATATAATATAATATAATATATATATATATATATATATATAGCCTGGTCTCTTTTTAGGACCATTTTCAGCTTGTCGTAAAACAAATGAACTCAAAGATTTGGGAATCACTCACATTCTATGTTGTGTTGACTTGGCAGAGGCTAAACTCTTTCGTACCGATCTTTTAGCTCAACATTTTAAATATCATCAATTGATCGTGACTGATTCCAACTTGCAAAACCTCATTCAATATTTTCCATCCACATCGAATTACATTCATAATATCTTACAACAACAAAAGGGTAAAGTGGTTGTGTGTTGTAACGGAGGCATGTCACGAAGTCCTACTTTTATCGTTGCTTATATTATGGAATATTTTAATGTGGACGCTTCGCAAGCTTATGAATTTGTTCAGACAAAACGTCTTTGTATTAATCCAAATGATGGTTTTAAAAGTCAACTCAAGGTATTTTTTTTGAAAAAAAAAAAAAAAAAAAAAAATAGTTGTAGTTCTCTTCTATAACTTAAGGTCTTTTTTTGGTAGGAATATGAACCCATTTACAAAGCACGCTTATTACAATCAAATAATCAAGATATACTTCAAAATAAAAAAAGGCGTACAGATGAAGAACAAGAAGAAACTACAAAACGATTTTTAGGTATAGAAGAACAACAACAAAATGGTGTAAATGCAAATATGAATGCAGGCTACTCCTCTATGTTGTTATAATGTGTGCGCGTGTGTATAAATAAATAAATATATATAAATAAATATATATACAGATAGATAGATAGATGTCATTACCCTTCCTTCCTTCCTTCCTTCCTTCCTTTTCTTTTTATGTAGTAGTTTCTTGTAATAAAGGTACAGCTTGTTCTGCTACTACCTTTTGGTTATTAGATGACTTCTTTTGTAAGTACCCAACAAATGACATAGTTCCAATAAAAAAAAGAATAAGAAAACAACTAGTTGTAAATCCTTTATCTAATAATAAAGTTAAAAGTGTTTACTATTAGATTACATCTATATTACTTACAATAATAGGGCGCATCAGTGACTGGCCATAAGACAAGTGGAGTCCAAATCCACATAAGCGATGAAAAGGTATTCATGATAGCAATTGCCATAGCTCTAATCTCGCTATTAGAAGATATACTTTCACTAGCCCAAGTCATGATAATCTAATGCAAAGTAATTAAAATACACATGATGATGATAGGATAGTATTTCATTCTATATATGTATACCGAAGTGAGTGAGCCTAATCCAGCATGAGTCAATAGAAACGCTATATATAAAATAAAAAATGGCTGAACAAACAATGATAAAAGACTAATATTATATATATAAAAGTTAATATTGTGGATAATAAACATGTGTACGTGTATATATATATATATATACCTCATTCCAATGAATCCAATAAATGCAGGTATAATAATACACCATAGTCGAGTACGATATGTATCACTAATAAATCCATTACATAATCCAGCAAGCATAGTAATAAGCATATCAGGCTATATGTATACATATAAGTATGTAAAATTCAAAATTCAAAATTCAAAATTACAGTACAGTAGTCAATAGGTTTGAAGTAACAGAATCAAATCCTAATTTTTTAGCTACTATTCCTAATACATGACTTGCTCCTAATGAAATATGAATAGACGCCCAACTAATAGCAAATAAATATAAATAAGGATTCCCTAACAATAATTTAAATCTTTCTAATCTTGTCGTTGCTGTCCTTTCTCTATCTTGTTGAGGTTTATGATTTAACCTTTCCAGTGCTATATTCTTTTCAGAAGGGTCTAACCAATCAGTATTATGTGGGTAATCAGGTAAATAGTGATATCCTACTGAAGCCAATATACCCGTTATAAATGCATCAAATAAGAACATCCAACGCCACCTATTTATATAACAAAATAAACTTCACCGTAAATTATCTCCAATCATCTCTTTTCTTTTTTTTTTTTTTTTTTTTTTTTTTTTTTTTTTTTACCCGCTTATATTGAAGACTCCATCCATTGTCTTTAGCATGATAGCTTGTATAATTCCACTTAGCCCACTTCCAAATGATCCAAATATCGTAAGCATGGCTAATCTTTTCCCTAATTCCTTTTTAGTATACCAAGTGCCAAGCAAAAAAACAATCTATAGAACATGTTAATAAAATAGATCTGTATCAACTCTATACATATAAATTTTTACTCCGGGATAAAAACCTGCTTCTGCTAATCCAAGTAAAAATCGAATAAGATAAACTTCTTTTACTGACTGTACACATGCCATAGCGATTGTCAAGATACACCAAATAGCCTCTAAAGCAGGTAAATACTTTGAAGGTCTCATATTTGAAAGCAAAATATTAGAAGGTATTTGCATTCTAATACCATATATGAGTATATATGTATATATATGTGTATATATGTATATATATATATATATGTATATATATATATATATGTATATATATATATATATGTATATATATATATAAATAAAGGCTTTTATATTTATACACACACACATATATATATATATGTTCTATTTACGTCAAGTAACCAATCATAAATAATACACCCATCCAGTTATATTGTAAACCTGTCACTTTCAATTCTTCCTCCATCCCACTAATAAATGCACTACCTAATGCATCTTTAATATATACGTAAAGATTAGAATAGTAATTAGCTTTTACCTAGATTAGCATTGTCTAACGATTTCACAAGATTGCCAAACATTGCAAACAATAAAAGCCTCTTATCCATTCGAAAGACAAACTCTATTTCCTCAACTCTATTAATGGCAACAGTTGTCACTTTATCTTCATCAAACAAATGTTCCAATTCAATAGGGGATTGAGTAGGTATTATTAATTCAATTGATTCTTCTTCTTGTTTCATTATTTCTGTTTTAATAGAAGGTCAAATAGTTGACCTCTCTCTCCCTTTTTTTTTATTATTAATTTTTTCTTTCCCCCCTTTTTTTTTTTCAAAGGACTGCATAAACACGTTTTTTTTTTTTCTTTCTTTTCTTTCTTTTTTTTCTTTTTTTTTAATAGCAGTAGTCAGTTATAAATCGAGGGTGTACATAAGCCTGACTTTAAATTTAGTATATGGTGACGTTACAGACACCTTATTTTTTATTTTATTACTATTTCATTTTATTTTATTTTTTATTTTTTTGGATTAAAAAAACCCCCTGTGTGTTATTTACTCCACATTTTTATTTTATTTATTTAAATAATAATAATAAAAAAAAACACTATGAGTGCCATTTTCCGTCGTGCTTACACCACCAAGTCTCTTATTCCTCCCAATATTGCCGCTGCTACTAAGCTTACTGGTTCTTCTAAAGATGCTCAAATTGGTCAATTAGTCAACTTTTATAAAGTAAACATTCAAAAATTATACATTTGTTAGTCATGCTCTTATTTTATTTTATTTTTTTCATGTGTGAATTAGAAATTACCAAAGGGTAATATGGAGGCACCTAAGCCTTCTGGACCCTGGGGTCGTTACAAGGCTCGTTACATTGATGGTGAAAATGCATCTGTCACTCCTTTGCTTCACCTTATTTTCGGTGTCTTTGTTATTGGCTACACTATTGATTACCAATTCCACTTGAGTAAGTTTTTTTTTTTCTTTTTTAAAAAAAAAAATGTCTTTATGTGAACTAACGATTTTTAAATAGAACATCACAAGAATGTTGAACATCATTAGATTTGTTGGTCAAATATAAATAAAAATTAACTATTTGTGTATTTATTCAGCAATATTATATGCATACAGAAAAAAGAAAAGAACTGAGAGGATATATACAACGTTGTTATTTTATTTTTATTTTTATTTTTTTTTTTTTTTGAGAAAGATATACATACATAAATTATTCTTCTTCTTCTTCATTATTATTACTCAAGTTAATTGTGATTGATGAATCACTGTTAATTGCCTTTTTATTATTATCTTGAATATCTTGATTTTCAACTGGGAACATGGCATTTCCATATTCTCGACTTTCTTCTATGATTTCTTGTGCTCTCCTTGTCATTTCTGGTTTTACACCATACTTTTTAAATAGATCATCCCGTATTAGCCGCACACCGACTTCGGGTACTAATACTTGTTGTAAGAACTCCATCGGTAATTGCGGAGACTTTAACTGTGTCTTTAGCACATCTGAATCCTCTAAATACATTTTAGAGAGCGTCTCTAGAATGACAGAAGCCCCACGAGGACCATAATATCCGGGCAAACTGGCCTCAAAGTGATGCATCATACCCATCGTACCACGCGCTTTGTTTTCTCCCAATTTCAAATAGGCCCCCTCAGCGATTTGACGATAATGACTAGGTATTTTATTTTTAATGATCTGACGAAGTTCTTTATCGTATTTAACAATACGCTCTGGTAGTTCATGAAAGCGAATGGTACATGGATACTGTTCTTTGGCCCCTTGAGGTTTGATGACCAATTCAAGTTTATGAAGTCGACAAAATGCATCCTTCTCCATACTTGATACTGGACGTAGGGTGGTAGCATGGCCCTTAAAAGAAGTTGTCACATGATGACGTTCCTCATAGGCCTTATCCTTTGTCTTGATCACCTTGAGGGCATGTTCGATTGCGTCTGTCATTGGGAACAAGAATTCACTGCAATAGGGGCATTGCGGCTTTTCTTCTTCCTCTCTCTGTACCCTTTGAGCCCTTTTGAAGTTGTCCAAGAGGGTTGATTCTGTTTCTGTATATCGGGTGGCGGTGCGTCTTCTCTTTTCAGGTAAGTTGAGGGTATCTTCAGAAATGATGGAATCTTTTCGGGTTTCCTTAAAATTAATACGTTTATATCTGGGGACAAGGATGTCATTAGAATGTTTAGAAAAACGTATTAGGCTATCTTTTTGAAAGTCATTATCGTCGTCGTCATCATCATGTTTTCTTTTGTTGTTAATCGTATCTCGTTTTAATCGATGAGGATTAGAAGGAATGTAAACAGTATTGGATCTTGGTGGTGGTAAGAGTGATGTTTCTCTGTTTGAATCTACTGGTTCTTCATATTTATTCTTTATACTATAGCGACTAAAAGTATATGTATTTTTATGCATTCAAAAGAAATGAAAAGAAGAAGAAGAAAAAAAAAAGAGAGAGAGAGTACAAATAAAGTCATTTGCAAAAAAATGGAGTTTCAAATTTATTATTAAGCTTTTTTTTTTATTTATTTTTTTTTTTTTAAAATTCTTTAATGGAACAGGATACCCTCAACTATGATAAGCCTAATGCTTATGATACCAATACCAATACCACTTCAACACTACCGCAAGAAGTCGTTGATGATTTCATCATTCGTGCTCATTTCATTAATGGCAAACTTCCAGATGTTAAAACCAACGATGATGATGATGTGAATTCAGTAACAACCTCTTTACTTTCTCAACAACCTTCTTCAACAACATCACTTACTACGACCATCATTAACCCTATCACCGATCATGCGCAGATAGTACTCCCTCAACAACAAGTGGCAACACTTTTACAACAATCACTTCATAAAATGCACAATAATAATAAAGAACATATCTTATGTTACGATATCTATAAGGTTTCACTCTTAAAACCTCAAGAACACGACATCTTCATGAATGATGTCTTGGTTTATCAAAAGCGACAACCTCATTGTTATTCTTGGGGTTTTCAAAATGTTTTGTATCTGTCCAATATCAAAATAGCAGAGGCAAGGAGACGAGCGTTTAATAAGGAAATTACGATTGAATGGGGATTGTTTGATTCTTCCACAACACTATCCAACCCACTCCATAATAGCACACAGTCTCATTTGTTATTTATTTATGAGACAGAATTCGAAGGTTATAGCTTAAGATGGAAGAGATCCAGTTTGTTATCACATGACTTGACATGTCATATAAAGATAGGAGACAAATGGAAACTGTTGGCTTCCTTTGATAGTCATCGTATGGGCTATTTAATTCATTTGGGTAAACTCACGCTAGATAAGCGTCTACTTCAAAATGAATACTTGGAATCCCATTTATTAATTACTTGTTGTACCTTAATTGATTTAATGAGAGAAGTTGTTGAAAAGGCGGTTGGGTTAAATAAACAGGGAGGTGGTGTTGTAGGTAGTGATTAATAATAATAAATGATTCAATGTTATCGCATCATTTTATCTTTATTGTGTGGAAAGGGGTAGTCATAGTAGTAGTAGTAATGGAAGAGGTCCGGACCGGATTACTAACCGCACTCACCAAATGATGGTGGTGAGTGGTGGTGGTACTGGTGCTGATAATGGGTGCTAGTTGCTGTTTGGTGGTGCTGGTGCTGGTGAAAGCACCCCCCCCCTCTGTTAGTTGTTATAGAGTTGTTATGTAAGTTCATATCATCCTTCCTTTAAGCAAGGTACTATAAATTCATTCAATGGTAAAGGAAAATCAATACAAATAATTAGCAATAAATGGATGATTTATTTATTTATTTATTTTTAATTAGCCCAAGCAGGTTCTGGACATCAAGAATTTCCTCGAAATCACTCGTAGAAAGGACGCTCGTGGTAAAATGATGACAATGTTACTTTTTTTTTTTTTTTTACTAATGTGTTAATTTTTCAAACAAATTGTAGCTGCCCGTGTCAAGAAGAATGGTGACCAATACAAGTTTAAGGTCAGATGTTCTCGCTACCTTTATACTTTAGTTGTTAACGATCGTCAAAAGGCTTTGAAGCTTAAGCAATCTCTTCCTCCTGGTAAAGATTATTTTATATGCATTAGGAAAGAAAAATATATTGACTTCTTTTTTCTTTCTTTCTTTCTTTATAGCTCTTAGTGTTCAAGAACTTTAAGTAATGGATTTATTTTGATTCAGTTTTTTTTTTTTTTTTTTTTTTTTTTTTTGTAAAATAAAACATGGATTGGAATATAGTAGTGTTAGATGTTGAAAGAATGATTTGTATAAAGGATGGTTTTTTTTTCTTTTATTTTATGAAAAGAGATCAATTTATATTGTTAATTACGAGAGAGAAACACCAAAGATGCTGCCACCAGTCACTTTTTTTTTTTCACTAGTCAACGAACTTGTAAAAGAAAAATCAATATCCATATTTTTTTTTTTTTATTTATTTATTTCTTCCTCTTTCTCCGTCTTTTACTAATGTCTGATAGGAATAAAGCACATCTAGAAAAACTCGTAAATAACTAATAGTTATTTTTATGCAACTTTTTTTTTTTTTAAATTATTATACAATTGTATAGATTCAAGAAGCAAAAGTACTTAATGCTGAATTATCTCATATAAGATCTACTACAGTAAAGTATAACAAATTGTTCTCATTTATTTTATTTTTTTGGCTTGTTTGTTTTCAGCTCTAACATATACACGTATGTTTATAAAGGCTTTGTATGAGCGTCATGTACCTTCTTCAAATATATTCTTTTTAGCAGATAATAATGATCTCGTAAAATCTAAAAGTATTCGTAATGTATTCATTGTGTAGCTTTAATTATTAGTTGACATATTAATCACTAATTCGTGTAGATTATCAAAAAGAATTAGAAAAGCAATTAAAATAAAGCTTTTTTTTATTTTTTATTTTTTCGGGTATCCAAAATTCAACAATAAAAAAAAAAAATGATAATAAGAATAATGTTTTAGTATTCCTTTTTAAAATTATTATTACTATTATTGATTGATAAATAATGAATCCATTACCTGATCCTCTTACAATTGCTAGTGGGCCTATTTCAGCTTACATGAGTGGACATGATAGTAATATGCAGTTGAATTCATGTTTATTCAATATGTATTAATTCACGTACTTGGTTTTTTTTTTTTTTTAATATTAGAGGTTAATTTGGCTTATGCAAAATATTTTGGGAAAAAAACAGATGCTGTCAGTGCCACATTCAAAAGCCTTAATTCAAAGGGATTTCTTATCGTATACAAGACGATGGATGGTTCAGAACACGAAGTTTTTATTGAATATATTCGACCTGTTACAAAACGTGAAGATGTACGTCCTGTATTAGAAGACATGGCAGAGGAAGCTGAAGCAGCACTTGGCATGGTAAAAAATATATATACATTAATATATTAATAATAATAATATAATCTGCCTCCCCTTTTTTTTTTTTCTTCTACCCAATAAATATAATATTTTAATTAACTTTTTATGTAGCCTAGTTCTCGGAATGGTCCTCCTCCATTGAAGGCGCTCATGAAAGCAGCGGAAATTGAAGAAGCACAAAAGACCGAAATCGAAAAGTTACATCAACAAGACGATGAAGATGCAAAGATGTCTGCTAGAATTGCATCACAAGCTGTGGGTAACATCTTTGAAGAAGTCAAAGAAAATACATTAGACGTATTTTATCCTGCAGATCGTTTTTGGCAAGCCGCCATTACAATGGGTTTGGGTACAAATGCACTTTTAGGATATGCTTCAGACGATTTTTTACGTCGTTTATTATTACCTTCTTCTGTAGTCATCTTTCGTAATTACCTTACAATGGAGTTGATTCGTAAGATATTTGTGACAGCTATTGCAGTACATATTGTAGAAGGTCTAGTTGCGTTAGGTATCTGTTTAAAACGTAGATGGTATAGCCCTATGAATACGTTTAAATGGACTCTAAGTACAGTTTTATATGGATATGCATCCATGACAAAGCTTTTAGGTCATTGTGAAAAAAGTAAAGAAAAAAAAAAAGATGATTTAAAATAAAGACTTGTAGAAATTATATGTGTAAATCAAACGTTTATCATCATTCATTTATACATGTCATCATAATGTTGTTTAATACTATACACCTCCATCTAAGGTCTGTTGTTGTGCACATGCTCATTATTATAACAATATGCTGGTGAGAGTTTATAGAAAGGAGATATATACAAGTAGAATAAATTGTTCTCTTATGATAGCATGAAAATATATACTAACTAGTAGTTTCAAGCAAACTACTACTTCTTTTTTATATGAATTCAATCTCAGCATTCTGTAGCACGTTATTGTTGCTGTATTGAGTGATGACGACGACCACGTAATCACCCCCCTTTTTTTTTTTCTATTATATCCATCCATCCATTCGTTTTTCTTTATCGAATATGGCTGATACTGAGGAAAAGAAGATTGTTGAACAAGTAAGTATAAGAGGAGAAAGAACTTTTTTTTTAAAAAAAGAAAAAAAAAGAAATGAACTGAATTTGTGTCTAAATTGTTAATTAGCAAGAGGAAGAAGTTGAATCCCCTGATGTTCATTTTGAACCCATTGTTAAATTGGAAGAAGTTGAAGTAAAAACAAACGAAGAAGATGAAGAAGTCCTTTTCAAGATGTAAATTTTATAATAATTTTATATAACGAGATTCAATTCTAACTATTTTGTTGTTGTTTTTTTTAAAGGCGTGCTAAGTTGTTCCGTTACAGCAATAAAGAATGGAAGGAACGTGGTACAGGTGATGTGAAATTCTTACAACACAAGGAAACCAAGAAAATTCGTTTGTTGATGCGTCGTGATAAGACCCTCAAGGTTTGTGCCAACCACTACGTCGATTCTATCATGAAGCTTTCTCCCAATGTTGGTTCTGACCGTTCTTGGGTTTGGAATGTTACTGCTGATGTCTCTGACGGTACACCTCAAGCCGAAACTCTTGCTATTCGTTTTGCTAATTCTGAAAATGCCAACCTCTTCAAGGAAAAGTTCGAAGAAGTTCAAAAGTTAAATAAAGAATTGAAGCAAAAGGAAGATAAGAAGGATGAAAAGAAAGAAGATGCTTAATTTGTGATCAAAATAAAAACACTACGCATTTAGTTTCATTTTATTTTATTTTTTTCTTTTCATTTGTTTTTTTATTTTTTATATAGGTACATGTACCTTTATCCCCCCCCTCTCCATCCCTCCCACACAAACATACAGAGAGACACCACACACTTTTTTTTTTATATTTTTATACACATTGAGCACATACTTTAATAATAAATATAACTTGTTTTTCTATTTCTACAAAAAAAAAAAAAAAAAAAAAAAAATATCAACAACAGAACAAAGATGCTTTTTTATTTGTTATGCAGCAGTGTATTTTGAGTAATTGTTCTGAATAATCATTTCGGCTTAAAATACAGTGTATTTATCAAAGAAATTAAAGCAAAGATCGAACAACGAAGAATTGAATAATTACTAAAGTTTTTGTTCTTATGCATTAAAGTCAATTATTTGTATAGTAGCAGTTTACTGTTATCTTTATTGAATAACCCCAAGATGAATAAATGTTTATTCATAACTCACATTTGCAGTGAAAAAAAAATATATATTAAAATAAGGGCGATAATAAAAATAGAATAACGAATACAAGACATATTCGAGCCGAACAGGTCCGGCGGATCACGTGACTTCATATAAAGGCTGTATTAAGGTTATATAGTATATAAAAATTTCATTTGCGCCAACAGCTTCTATGGCGCAATTGGCTAGCGCGTCTGACTGTTAATCAGGAGGTTGGTGGTTCGAGCCCACCTAGGAGCGATTCATTTTTTTATTTTTGGTTTTTTAAAAAAAATAAATACAATTACATTGTTAAGTTAAATAATATATCATTACTATTGTGTATAGGAGGTACTTTTTTTTTTTTGGTAAGAAAGAAATTTTTCTTTTCCTCTAATTATACAAAATATGATTATTATCATATAATCATATACACATTTAGTATCAACCAGAATTAAAAAAAAAAAAAAAGAAATTATTTAAAAGTGTCTTTCTATAAACTCAATAAAGATATCTAAAGGCAAGCATCATGTAGCTTTTTGAGAGTTAATATTTTATATGTTTTTCTTTTTTTAAAAAAGAAAATAAAATAAAAAAAAAAGTATTAATTTACTATTATAGGTATATCATGGAGTTATCATTGAGAGGTTGCTGATGTTAAAGGTCTTTTCCATATACTAACACGACCTCTTTTGTCTGTTGTGACTATCACATCTTCCCTAAAATAAATACCTATACAAGGATCTCCATGAATAGTTTTCACAACTGTAGGCTGTAAAAATGCCACTTGTGTTTTTAGTAAGACGGGATGTACAATTGGTTGTTTTCTTTCTTGAATAGTTGCTAGTATACTTGTAATAGGTACAGAAGAATTAACTGAAGAAACGGAAGTGCCTCGATTACGCTTCTTTGCAGACTTTCATTGTAAATTAATAAAAAGAAAAGAAAAAGGAATATTAGAATTACATTTTTTTTTGCATTATACAAGAAATATGCTTATTACAATCTTAGGCATATGTAATGCATTGACAGAAAAGTCCCAAAAAATTAGTCGAGCGTCTTCACCTATACTTGCGAATCTATAAATAGTTTCATCACATCGCCAAGGATCAAAGGCAACACCTCTAACCTATTATATAAAGTGTTAACATACGAATATTATTATTCATATCTAACATATTTGTTTATTACCCAGGATTTATGTCCTTGGCATCTAGCTATAATACGTTGTTCCTTAAAATCCCAAATTGTAACAAGATCGTCTTGTCCGCCCGTCTATATTATGATAAGTATATATATATATACATGTGTATATAGATTATTTATTATATGTCATTTCCTACTTACAAGAATATACTTTCCATCTGGACTCCAAGCAACACAAAACAATCCGCCATAGTATGCTTCATGGACATCAGACATTGTTTCCTGTAAAAAGTTAATGATCCTTAATAGACCATCAAGACCAACAATAGCCACATGCTGGCAATCAGGTGAAAATGCAAAAGCTTTTATAAACAGTTAACAATTTAATAATATACATGTATATTATAGTTAAAGTTATTTCATAATACCTGTGATTGCTTGATTAGATAATTTCCAGTGAGAAACTGGATTACATTTAGAAGCAATTTTAGAAGGAGGTTTTGATACGGTGAACCTATACATGAATTCATATATAAGTACTGATAGTGGCCTTATACTATATACATGTATATATTTATATATATTCTGCTATTTATTTACATGCTTTTTTTATTATCATCATTGTCTTTTGCATCTCCTGGATGAAATGTGACATCTTCCTTTTCTTTGTCAAAAAGCATCACAGAGCCATCCTGAAAAGAAGCCATAAATAAATTTTCATAACCTTGCAGCCACTTGATCATTGTAACAGAGGAAGAATTCATAATGCCCTATCATATATAGATACATAAATAAATTAACCTCTGCATTTTTTTTTTCCATTAAAACAATGATAGACTTATTTACATCTTTATTCATACGCCCATATTTATTACATAAAGGATCAAACCAAATTATATCACCTGTTGTAAAGCCAATAATGATATCAAGATGATCAACACCACGCGTCAATATATTTACATCGTGTGATGTTGGGCATGCATTTGAAAACACAATACGTGATAAAGGTTCCTAACAATAATATGAATAATAGGTATAATATATATATATATACACATATCATTACTACTTTACTTTAGGATGTCCAGCTGCGTCCATCCAGACAAAACTTGTACCACAATTATAAAATACATTAATATCTGCACTCGTCCGTGCCATCAATATCTTTGCTAGCTGATCGTTCGTAATAATTTTTTGTACAAATGTCTTTTTCCGTGACTTTGTATGACTCCTTGTTAAGAAAGATGATAAAGTTGGGTTGTCATTGTGATGGGTCAAGTCTTGTTCAATGGGTGATGATCGCTTATATTTGATAGATACTAGTGTGGCTGTAGTACCGATTGAGTAAAGGGGTTGAAGGGCATTGACAAAGATGGAATGAGAGAGTTGGTAGACGCCTTCAGGAGCAGTAAATTCCCGACAGAGATGATCGACAGTAGTGGGTGGGTAAGGTGGAAGAGTCAATGAGGTCTCTATAACTCCATTGCCGGTTGAATGACGTCTGAGTAAAAAATGGCTTACACTATGTGAAGCTGTCGACTAAATAAATAAATAAGAAAAAAAAAAAAAAAGAAAAGACTTTAGACATCAATAATATTTAAATATAAAAGTAATCTGCAATTTGTTACATTGTCGACCATTAAAAAGAGTACGAATTAGTTTATAAAAAAAGAAAGAAAATACTTTATTATTTGAGGTTACATAAAAAAAAGGGTTTTTTTTTCTGTACATGACTTTTGTTAATATTGGATAATATACTATGCTAACTTTTTTTTTTTTTTTTTTTTTTTTTTTTTTTTTTTTTTTTTTTTTTTCCAATAAATACTTAAAAAAAAAAAGAAAAAAAACATAATATAAACATTTTATGGATATTCAATAAGTTTGAGTATTACTTTTTCTACGTCACCATTATATAGAGTTAAAAGACTTATAGCCAAATCGTCACAAGCGGTGATTCCCTAAATGATATATACTAAGAATAAGAACGACTTTACATCATAATTTCATTATATTACCATCTCATGAAGCTGTATCAATTGCGACTGATACATTAATGAATTGTCTTTTTGCTTTTCAGATATAACTGTATTTACAGAATGTATTGAAGATGACCTCATGTTTTCTGAGGCAGGCTTTAATACCTTATCATCATCATATTTTTCATTAACAAACACAAACTCATCTTCCGTATAATCTTCGTTTGATGTTGTTTGATAATGATAATGTTCATCGTTATCAGAGCTATGTTCACTAATATACAGTTCTGAATGGGTTGGACTACTGATTTGACTATTTGTGTATGTATGTAAAGTGGATGCTGTTATCACAGAGGAAGTATCTGTCATAGCAGTTGTCAAATCTCTGTATTTATCAGAGTTAGGCTTACTCACAGATTGAATGAGGGTAGGTTCCATTTTCTCAGGCTCTAAATCCTCATCTACGATTATACTACACTGCAAATCATCGCCAAAGCGTTTGCCATCAGGTGTACAAAGACAAAAGAAGCTTTTATAATGGCCTGGTGAGTCAGGTGCTTGTAATTCAGCTGTTAAACATGTATCTTCACCGGGACCAAGAGCTGGTACAGCAAAGGAGTCGGGATGTAACATTGGATATGGTCTTAAAATCGAGCCTCCATTAAATAGAAGATGAGTGCCGGCTGGCCATTCAATGTTACCTGTATTCTTTATCTTCCACATCTAAAAAAAAAGAGAAAAAGAATTAGACATTTTTTATCGCAATTTTTTTTTTTTTTTCAAGTAGTTCACCTTAATAAATGTCCTTTTTGGTATAACTAATGTTCCATCCGGGATATTCAAATCTGCAATAAAAGTAGCATCTATGATTGGTTTATTGGTAGTAGACTCTGTTGTAGACTCTGTTGTAGGAAATGCTGATGGCATTTGTTGTAATAAGGTAACTTCCACATTTTTTGAAACCATCTTTTGTTGAGCAACAGCCATTTTGGATATTTGATTCAAGGTTTTGATTTTTGGTAACAATGGCTTTTTAATGATACTTTGAATAGGGTATCTGATTTTAATAAATAAATGTCTTTTATCATGAATTAATAAAGCATGCTCTTCACATGTTTCGCATAAATCAAAATTAGCACAATGCCCGCACTGATATAAAGGTTAATCCCAATTTAACGTATAAATACACACACACACACATATATATATATATATATATATATTACCTTATATCGAATGCCTTCAATATTTGATTGACAGTGATCACATTGAACCCCCAAATGTTGGACAAGAGGACGTTTTTGCTCAGCTGATAAAGGCTCAGACTTCGTAGTAGCAGTAGCAGTAGCAGTAGCAGTAGCAGTAGCAATAGCAGTAGTGGTAGTGGTATTAGTTGGTCTCGTTTTATAGTTTGTTGCTTGTGTACCAACAAGCTGGGTTATGAATTCATGGTCTTTTGCATGATTTTCTCTAAAAATTGAGAAACAAGAGTGACATAAATCAAAATCTATATTAAAACTTTAGTAAAAAAAATAAAAATAAAAATAAAAAAAAAAATAAAAAAAAGATTAAATAAAGCTATTTATCTCCTCTTACCTGGACAGGAACGACAAGTATGTCGGACACCTACGATATCAGAGTCACAATAATCACACACAAAAATCGTTTTTGTTTCTTCTTGTTGCTCAGGCACAGAGTTAGTGTCGATTTGTCGGAAATTATGTTCTGAGTTATGGTTTATATGACGTTTGCAAATACTGCATAAATCAAAATCATCACAGGTTTCACAATGATATCTTGCACTATACAAGTAAAAAAAAAAAAAAAAAATGAAAAGAAAAGAAAAGGTCATTATAAATATAATACTATTATATATATATATTTATATAGCTTTACCCTCTAATAGGAGAATAGCATCCATTACAAATGACATCAAACTGTGTAGGTTGTGGTAAAAATGATCGATAAACATGGGTAGCTGCTGCTTCAGCTGCTGTTTTAACTACATTACTAACAACGTTCTTTTCGACATTTTTTATGGCATCATCTATTGTGCTAGCTATTGTTTTTTCAAGAGTCGCTTGTAAATTAGTTATTTCAAGTTCTAAATCATTTAACAAGGAATGAATAGGTTTATTAAGTTGTTCTTCCAACATTGTCTTTATGACGTTATCGATTGTTTCTGCCGAACAATTTTCCTCAATTGTTAATTGTAAGTTGTTTATACCAAACTCCAAGTTTTTCAGCATCGCTTGAATCGATCCAGAATCTTTTAAAGAAGAAGTTTCCTGTTGAATTACTTCCTTATTGTTTAAATTTCTTGAATAAGTAATTTTGAAATTATATGTCTTTATGTTTATTGGAGAGCTATGTATAAAAGCCATAAACTCTTCATCAGAACTAATAGTTATAGCTTCATTATTTTTATTATTAGTACTAAAGTAAAAATCAGTGTTATCTTTTATACTAAAAGCTTCTCTAGTCTATCAGACATTAAAAAAAAAAAAAAAAGAAAATAAATAAAATGAACAAAATATTTAATATATCAAATAATTATAATATACATACAAATTCTTTTAGCTGCGTATACGATATTCCTTTAGTACAGCGTTTATTTGTAAAAAATAATTTAGTATGAACTTCAACATTATCCGAGTTCCATATATTAAATGTTTTAACAGTCATTTGTTAAGGATATATAAAGCATACAAAAAAAAAAAAAAAAAAAAAAAAAAAAAAAGTATTCGAAGGAGGTGAAATAAAAATGGTCATTTCTTTGTTCCTATTCGAGAGTTTTATAAACAACTTAACTGAGGTTAAAAATAGCTTGTAATTAATCATTTTTGAAATAGAATCCAATAATCCAATTATAATTAAGAATTTCAACCCGACTATTATGAAATAGAAATGGGCTTATGAAAGTCTATTTATTTTAAAAATTTCCATAATTTAAAGTGGTCGTAAAGAATCACATGCTAAATCAATGATTAATTATCATTTTTCTTTGTTAATAATGGCTAGTAAAGAGAAGAATATAAATGATTTTTATTAAATAATTAGACTATAAATGCGAATAATTCTATTCCTAATTTTATTATTGTATTTTCTATTCATATTAAAAAGTAAGTAGGATATGTAATAGAGCCATCAAGAATACGTATAAAGAATAGGATGTTTTATTATGAAAATGAAACAAACCTTAGAAAGCCTAACATAGTCGATTTATTCTTAAAATTTATATATCATTTTTTTTAACATACTTCATCAGTATAATATTTAAACAAGAGATTTGCTTATGTAGTATTTTTTTTTTTTTTTTTTTTTTTTTTTTTTTGATGCTATATAATACTTTCGAAGCATTGTATAAAAGTAAACTGATAAATAACTTCAGTAGTCCTATACTTGTATTTTAGCATTATGGATTCAACTTAATATTATTCAATTCAGAGATACTTAATTATGTCTTGATAAGTTACTAATTTATCAGATGATTTTAATTATAACAGCTTAAAGATCAGCCATATTTTGTTAAGAAACTTGCATGTCATATATACTTCAGTCATTCGTAAATATTAGAAAAAAAAAAAAAGAGTATTATGCCATTAAAATTAGCCTTATTATCATGCTAAGTTATAATAAATTAAAAAAAAAGAAAAAGAAAAAGAAAAGAAATGCAAAAAAAAAAGTAACCAAAAATATAAATGAAGTGTTTTATTAATGGTATTCTAAATGAGAGGCGTTAGATATATTTCCAAAATTAAAAAGTTTAGTATTCTCTTGGAATGAATAATATTCTTTCAGATTCTATTCTATTATGAAGTTAGCCTTGTTTGGCGAATAATCACAGATTAAAAAAACATATTAGAGAAAAAAAAAATAGCAGCAAATAAATATTGACCGTTTTATTATTTACAACATGCGAATGAAGAGAGAAAGGGTATGCAGATAAATTATTTATATTGAAAATCAAACACTATTATCATAGAAAATGGAGCATTCATAACCATCTATCGATGCATTCTTTCTGCGAATCATATGGTCTTCTTTTTCTTTTTGTTCTAATTGTTCTGAAGGAAGCAAAACAGCTCTGTCAATAGAAGCAGGAAGACCTATAGCGATATAGTGTGAATATATATATATATGTATATAACATAGTATAATCCTAATAAACTCTTTATCATACCTCGATGCCTTCCTCTGTACATTAAAATGATAAGTACTAATTTACTCAAAGTATGATATTGTTGTGATTGTGAAGTTGATGTATTTGGATAGCCTAGTGAAGCCCCTACATTACCAAAGGCAGAGACACATTCATAAATAATTGAAGACATTGTGATGGGCGAAACTGAAAGAATCGCTTCTGATTCAATCACACAAATAGCAAAAATAGAGGCAATAACCCAACAGATCTCACTTGTTAATTGATGTTGAATCTGTGTCATCACAAAGAAATTAGGTTTTCGTAATATCTTTCGTGAGGTTGTAGCTATGCTTGACATAGTACTGTGTCGTTTAAGTTGACGATGTGCTGAGGAGGACGACATTTCTAAATATTCCATATTTTCATCCTGATTACTATAAATACCTAAAGCTCTTTCCTACAGAAATACAGAAACTACTTCAGTTCATGTGTATTAGCTTACTTTTTTTTTTCTATACAAATCAATACCTGATACACGTTACTATTTCGCATGGAGATAGCAACTGGATAAACACTAATATACATTGCTACAATAAATATAATTTGTGTGCCTGGATTTAATTTCATTAAATCAACCACTGCATAACCAGCTACAAAAAAAAAAAAAAAATAAAGGGAGGTTTATGATTAGTTAAAAAAAGTTTCTTTTTTTTTTTTTTTTTTTTTTTGGGGGGGGGAATTACCATTTCTTGTCGCTACTGATTGAAATAGACCATCTAAAACCCGTGAGCCCCAATCAATTCCTTTCAATACAGGTAACCAATAATTTAAGACTACAAATGCCATAAACTCAACCATCGTGATACCTATCAACACAATCAAGAGCCATCTTGTCTGTGTGGCGGGAAAAAGAGTGGTATAACAACGACGTGGATGATCTAACAAATACCTGAAAGTTTCCCGACGTATCACATATGACTTTGGTGTCATTTTATAAAGTACCCAAATAATGAATCTCAAACAGATAGCATATGCTGTATTTCCCATTAATATCAACAACATTGATAAAATCAACATACATGGTGCAGATTGAAACGGAACCATGCTGGCGTCTAATGGAATTAGGCCCAGATTATTAAACGACGACATAGAGGAAAAAAATGAAAAAAGCCAAGGATTGATTGGCTTGTTATTAGAGGTACGAAGGACCCCTTGAGCATAGTTCGAACAAGCAATATAAATTCGAGTCAAGAAGGAAAATAAAATGACATTTCCAAAGTAAAATAGAGGCACAAGATGAGTCAAAAAGTCAATGGCTCGATACTCAGCTCCTCCCAGTCTGTATCGCTGTTGTCGTGTCAGCTGGCTTTTGTGAATAAGTATATCATTATTGGGTGGTTGTTGATCGTCAGTAATACCTTGCATAATTTCATCAAAGCGACGGTCATGTTCTAAACGCCGACGAGCCATTTCCCGTTGCTGTCCAATGTTTTCAGCAAATACAATACTATGGTTATTAATTGCATTCTGCGGATGGTGTTCATCTTGCTCCATATCATTTATGGTTGATGTTGCGGAGGATCTTATAAATGAGAGATGTTTAGAAACGGTTTGAGTTAATGGTGTTGGTGGTGGTGGTGGTATTGAATATTCCGCCTTTTCAGACAATATATTCAAGTCCTGATTGATTATTTCTTTTCTTAAATGTATTTCATTAGGGTATTTAATATCGAGCGGTTTTTGAAGCTCGATGGTTCTTATCGATAGAGCTTCGATATCTTGACTCTCCTTCTTTTTTCTACTAAAATGATATCTTAAATCAAAATGGCTAAAGTCAGCTAAGGAAAGCGGACGAGGTAGAATTGAATGTTGTTGTTTCTTATCAACTTCATTGGCAGTTGTATTAGGTGTCGATTTAGTCGATATAAGTGATGATCGTCTTTTGCTAGCTCTTTTTCGACGTTGCCTCTCTAATTCTCTTACGTTTCTTTCAAACTTTCGATGGTTGGCCTCTCGAATCTGCTGTTCTTTATTATATAGCAAGACGTCCTCGAAACGTTTTGAAAAGTAGTGTTTACGGACACAGATGATGATAACTGAGATTATGATATGAGACCCAAGGAAGGAACTGAAGAACATGATAACCAATTGCCAAGTAGTAAGAGCAGACATACTGATGGTAATAAGACCTGTATTAGTTATTGAAGTAGTAGCCATAAAAAGAGCATCGATATAACTCCAGTGTGTTCCTGGCTGAGAATAATAGAGGATTGAGGTCAAAAAGATGAGTAAAAGAATATAAAGATAATGTAACTCAATAAAGCGAACTTTGTGATGATAAGCCCATTTAATTCGTCTCAATATTTGAGACATAATAATAATGATAATAATAAAGGATAAATTAAGGAAGGGAGAGAAAAGAAAAAAGGCATATGTTTAAATTTTTGACTTTATTAAATAAATTATTGACATTAATAAAGTAGTATAAGGTGTTATTTAAGACAAGTAATTTGCCCGGGCCGGATCAATATAAGGAGGAAAGAAAATATAAAACCTCTTTAAAGAGAATAGAAGAGAAAACAAATTCAGGAGCTGCTGCTTCCTCTCCCAGTTGAATAGAATAGGAAATATCAAGTTTGTATAAGTTATTCAATTTGCAAACGTGTTTCGTGTATTTCAATATTTTTTTTTTATTTTACTTGCATATTTCTTTTGTGTACTATAATAGTTTGATTCTGATAAAAAAAAGTTAAATTAAGATATCACCATCATTTAACGATCAGATTAAGACATTTATATCAATAATTTTCTCCAGATGAAAATAGAGATGTAGACTGTGCTTTCACCATATATAAACACTTACTAAAATACTAGAACTATTCTAATGTGAACCACATCCTCTGATGCAGTTTTCTTTTTTTTTTTTTATCAAATCACCTTTAACCTAACCTATTTTCCTTTGCTAAAACCTAACCTTCTCGCTCTGTGACAATATGTTATTTTAGTGAGGCCATGGCTTGTATAGCTGCTTGGGAGTCCCCTAATGCAGGTAACCAGTTGTAGCGGACAACTTTACAACTTATTTAGTTCCTGATAATATCAATTCCAATACCTTTGGCCAACATTTAATTAAATTAATACACAACTTGCCAGACCTACTGAACGTTGATCAAGTCCAGATAGTTTTGATTAGCCAACCGAAATGGCAACTCTAAAAATTCAAGCAAGGAACAAACCATTATGACATATTGATCATTATTTAGTGATAAAGCAACATAATCAAAGAACAAAGTTCTCACTTACCACCACCATTGAGAGTTCTGAAACCAAATGAAACCTATTCCTTCAATTAAAATTTTCATAACAATACTCTAGAACTCAGCAATAATTCAGAAATAACATACCATTCTTTTTTCTACAACCTTGATTGTCTGAGAACTAAAGTAGTTTTAAATGCCTTTATTATATTTCAACTCATATTCGGGTTTCTATGGAAACCAACATTAATAATATTACTTTATGGATGGTCACTTTTTTTTTGCCATTCCCCTCATTCATAATAATTATGAACAAGAATTCGATAAATAGTTCGAAAATTACCAAAATAACATTAAGAATGATTTTGATTCATGTAATCTAAACTTTTTTATGTGGTTCCTAAATACCAATAAAACATGAGATCTTTGCTTATTGGATAGAGCATGCTGTCTAGTTTGTCAAGGTTCCAGTAAAAAAATAATGGATCTTCCTTGTAAACTTTGAAAGACTACAACTATTACTCTTACCCACAGCTTCTAATAGCTATAAGTAAAACTCAAAGCATTTTTTATATTGATCACCACAAAAAATCATCGAAAACACAATCATTTTATCGAACGCGATAGGATTATTATGTAATTCGATTTCATAGATACTAAACATAATAGTCCCCTCAACCTCATTACAAATTGCTATTATTTATAGTTAAACGAATACATATAAAAGATATGAATAAGGATGAAAAATAAAAGGAGAAAATAAAATATAGTATCACTTATTTTTATAAGAATAAATGTACGTTATATATGTGCATAGATAGAATAAGATTAACATAAAGATGTTATCATTATTTATCGATGAGATTACAGTTATACATCATACAACAATAATGCCGTAATGATAAAAGATGGTAAATAATGTTATACTTTTAAACAGAGTTTTTCTAAAGATGTTGATATATTTCCTTATGTAATCAGCCAAAAAAAAAAGGGTTCTTATATATGATGGTGAATAAATGACAGCGCATATGAGCATAATAAGTCACAAGCTTACATTTTCCAAAAGCAAGAAAAGCTTACTAATAAAGAAAAAAAATGACTTATGGACAACAGCAACGTTGACTTATTCAAATATATAACCTTCAAAGCATTATTGATTAACGAAACCTAATCACTAGCAATTAGTTGTAGTAGTAATTTTTATTACTGGGGCTACTTTATACATTATTTGTATAAATGCTTTAAGATTTTACGCCAAAAATTTATACTTTAACAAAGAAATATAATTACCTCTTTCATAGATAAGAAGCAAAAGCTTTGAATCCTTCAGAATACCAACTACACAAAAAAAATAAATAATTTCTTTTCTAGTAGTATTCATATACCCACACCCACACCCACCAATCAGTATGTGGTGGTAGTGTGTGTAATTTATTTTATAACTCAGGTTTCTTAGCCCTTGAACCTGTTTTAAACAAGGGCATCCTCTTGTCATTTTATAATGTTTCGATTAAAACAACTCACATCAGTAGTTCAAAAAAGACATGCGTCAACAAAACCTGAAAAATTCCTTCAAACGATCGTTTTAAGTAATGGGGCAACTTATACCGTTCGTACAACATCACCTACACGTTCGCACATTCGTCTAACTAAAGATACTCGAAATCATCCACTTTGGAATCCTGCAATTTTGAAAGAAGGTGTGGCTGATGAATCTGAACAATTGACAAAGTTTCAAAAGAGGTTTGGTGATTTGGATTTATCAGATATTTCATGGATTGAAAGCAATGAAGCTGTTTCAGCTTCTATGAAAAATGCAGTCGCAGCTGGTTCATATAAGAAAAATGTTAAAGGAAAGAAAAAATAATGATACTTGTAATATAGAATGAATAAAATGGATTATTATTTAAGCTACTGTATAAAAGAGGAAAAGCGGTGTAGATGGTCTCATTAATTAAAGTATACAAATCTACACATGACTCCAAATAGCTTCTGTAAATGACAATACATATTTATTTTATTAGAAAATATAATCAATATATTAAAAAAAAGAGACATGATATTATTCATAATGGTTATTAATATATGTTTGTAATATTACGTATATGATATGACTTTTTCTTTTGATATATTAATGTCTCTGCCAATTATAAGATTTCAAATCAAAATTTTCATTTTTCATTTTTGAATATAACTTAACATCATTAAATACATTGAAAACTATTATACTGACGATTGGGGTTTTTTTTTATATATATCAAAATTAAACTTCTTTCAAGTTATTATAAGTTTTAAAAATTACTGTTATCATTTAATAATTACATAATCAAGTCTCCTTTTTATATGCATGTCTAACAAGCAGAAGACTTGTTAAAGTAGCCACGAGACTTTCCTCATCAGATATTTATTGTTAACTTCAAAAAAGTTTAATTTTTGCTGCTGCATATATTTATGTGACTTATAATTTTAAACAAAAAATTGGATTTCTTTCACTTTTTTTTATTTTTCTTTATTTGTGTTGCTATTTGTATCTTTACATATAAAATGTCATTTGCAGATGCAGTGACATCAACTTCTGAATCCAACCTTCAATCATTCAAAGATTTTTGGTTATTTGCTGTTTATTGTCTTGTAGTTATCGTTGTCGTTATTTTCTTTTATTCTATTTTAATCGAGTACTTGGTCAATGCTTAACTTTTCTTATTAATCAATATACATGGAGAAGATTTAATGCTTATATTGAAGTTGGTTAGTGCAGTTAAACGTTATATTTTCTTTTCTAATAACTATTTGTATAGATTCTATTCGAGTTTCTTTGTTAGGTGGCCGAATATTGTTTAAAAATTTAAGATACTTATCAACAAATCAATCAATTTCAATTCTAAAAGGCCACATTACATTAAGATATTGGCTATTAAATGTACGAAAATCAGAAGATGATAAAAATGGTATATATAATATAATAATATTGCGACCCTTTAATATATTTTTTTTTTTTTTTTTGCGTATTTATGGTTATTATTAGGGAAAACAAGCAATCTACCATGTCGAATTGTTTGTAGCGTAGAAGGCTTTGAATGGTTTTTTTACAATAATGCACCAGCCTATGATAAAATGAGAGATATTCTTGGATTATCGTCTGTAAACTCTTCTTCTTCGTCTTTACCTACTGAACAAGAAAAGCTGGCGACAACTGACCTTCGCGGATCTCTTGATCCCGAAAGTCAAACTCCGATATATACAACTAATTCCTTAATAGAAAGATTAATGCCTCTTCAATTCGAATGTACAACAGGCGCTGTTATGGTTGGTAACACAGATATAAAGTCAATGCTCGTATGTAAAGTTTCCCAAGCAAGTGGTATTTATAGCATGACAAAGTCAAGATCATCTATGGATTATTATAAATCAGTTATTGATTTTATTTTAAGGAAACCTCAAATCCTTTTAAAAGATAACATGGATTATACAGCTGTTGTTGAAGAGGAAACAGCAGAAAGAGTAGCTACGCCTATGCAGAGGATACCGTAAATCTATATTTATGAATATATAATTATATACTATTCACGCTCACATTCAAATTTTTTTTCTAGGTTAATTTGGTGGTTATTAAAACCTTTCCGTTATTTATTTTCATTTACATCTACTAGGCAGTATGGTAAAATGCAACATATGCGAGATATCTTAAGGAATGGAAGAACACAAACACGCTATAATTCAGAAAATGCAACTTATCATGAAGAGTATGCAAGAGTATCCAATATTGTCGAATGTAACGAAATGGCATTAACTTACTATTCTGATTATGCTGGTAAGAGCAATTGTACAAGAATTAGTAACGTTATACTCAACCCAATTTTAGGACCTGTACCGATACCCGAAGCAGCTGATTCAAGTTACCCAATAGGTACTGATGTTGGAAATGGAGGTTTACCCCCAGAATGGGGTATTCGTATATCATTATGGGACGCAACTATCCATTATGGTCCTTGGGCGGATAGACAGAGATCAGAAATGCTAGATTACTTTTTTCCAAACGCACATCGTGGAAATATACCTACACCAAAACTAGTTCCTGGACAACAACGTATACCTACAGCCTTTGAAACTTATATTGAATTTATGAACGAAGGAAAACTGCGTGTACCAACACGTGAAAAATCAAAGGTAAAAAAAAAAAAAAAAAAATACAAAATTATATTTATATTTATGTGTGATGATAGGATTGGAAATACAGTTCCGGTTTGTCAGATCTAGATATTGGTTCTGATGGGTATTATACTCGACCATACGGCTGGTTTAATATCAAAGTAGGCGAAGGATCTTACATAAAGGTAATAACACCTTATGTAGTTGGACCTAATGGACATACAAATAGTATAGATGTTGTTTTAAAAGATATGGATATTACAACAAGTGTAAATTATGCTTCCTTTATTCAATCAAATCGTATTGAAATTCATATAGAAATGCCAACACCCCTACAATGGAATGGATATCGACATTGGAAATTTAGATTTACACCTAAAAAACCAAATATATTTTTATTAAGAGATCATATTTATCTATTACAAGATACCATCAAGGATTGGACTTCCTCTCCACCTACAGATTTACTACACTTTACACCAATGACCTATTCATTAGTATTTAATTTAGAAAATCCTATTATTTACCTTTGTGTCAATGAACATAATGTCATTAATAATCCTAATTCAATCGAAGACAATGGTAAACAAGCAAACAAACAAAAAAAATAAAATAAACAACTTTCTCCTCACAAATGCTTAACTTTTTTTTTGTAGCTTTTCTAAAGCTACAGGGTCATCGACTAAATATCCAAGTAACACTTCCTTTCACAGAATTTAAACCAGAAACAACAACTATTAAATTTTTTGTTGAAGCAGAACATGGTAGCGCTGGCCTTTCTTTACAAACATCGCATACATTAAGTGCCTTTATGAGAGAAGATGATGCTCATGCAGCAGTTGCTGTTAATTTAACCATCAATGGTTCCTATGAGTATTATAGTACAGTTGATATCTTAAATCACGTTGAATCTTGTAACCTTCATATCAAGATCAATGGAGCAACTGTCAAACTCTTTGGTACTTTGATTCGTTACATATTTTTGCTCAAAGATAATTATTTTGGAGCTTGGAATAATTTTTCAACAATCGATGAATATAGAAGACGAAGAAGTAATCAACAAGAGTGGCTTGAACAAAAAAAGAAACAAGCAGAGGCTAAGGTAAATAAACAAGCAAACAGAAACAATTGTATTAATATTGAAACTAATAATCATTCTATGTTACAGCCTCTTTCAGATCCATTTGAAGTATATCTTCTATTGGAATTAGAAGATGGTGTTTTACTTTTCCCAGAAAACCTATATGAATGTTCAAGATATACCCAATTTGAATTCCAAGAATTACAGTTGGAATTGAGAAATTTGGATGTTTATCTAGATATGTATTTGAACATCAGTCCTATTACATTAAGTAGAGATAATAATCCACAACATCATGCTAATCAACAAGGATCATTTCGTATCAAAAATGCGCGAGATCCTAAAAACTATGTCTATATTGATGGTATTAATGTATATGGACATCGACTCTTTGGCCCTTTTCCGGAGTGTTTGACTTATCTTTGTCATTGGGAGTTTGACATTGGGCAAATTACAGGTGAAATAAAACCATCATTTTTATTAGGCTTATCCTGTTTCGGGCAGTCATTTGCTTATAACCTTATTGATGAAGATAACGCGGTTCCTCAAGAAATGGAGTCCAAGAGCTTGCCTGATGTAACTTTTCTAAAGCTTTATGTACGGGAAGTAGATGTTTATTTGATGAGTATGAGTAGTGCTACAAATATTCGTCTTCAAGATGGCATCTTGCTTGAATTTGATAATCTCATTAATGCTAAATACAGTCAACGTATAACTCTTAAGATACCCTCTATATTGACTCGAAGTTTAGCTAATCCTGACCAAACTCGAAATGATCTTTCCTTGGAGGTAAATATGTGTCTTCTATATATATACATATATTTATATATATATAAAGCCAATGCTCACTTTTTTATTAATATAGGAAAATGAGTACTCTTGGGTTGAAGTAGCTAAAACTGACCTAGGTTTTAATGTTACTATCTTTAGACACACAGCCGTCTGGAAAAAAGCAAGGGACAAACAACAAAATTTTATTAGAACACAGGATTATCCTACACGTCGTTGTGTTCGGCTTTATGAAGAGCTTGACTCAGTTTCTCAAGCGTCTCAGTCATCTACCCGGTCCATAAATGGGCATCATGTGGGTGTCTTGTATGCTCCTCCTTTTAGACCTTTCATGTTTGGTCGTGTTGAAGATAAATCAGTTCTTTATGATAGTATATCAACACCCTTATCGGAACAGGACCCCTATATCAGTCGTAGTAATTCAGGTAGTATAGCCAATATGTGTATGTCATCGTCTGTAAGCAATTTATTTCAAAGTGATGATTCTGATGATGATTCACTTGATAATTACTCAATACAAAGTGCACTTTCTCGTGGCAATGAGTCCTTCTACACAGCAAAAAATGAAGAAGTATCTGATCAAGATGATTATTCCTTTTTATCTCAAGATGAAGAAAGTGATTCAGCAAGTAATTCTAATGACTCATCTTCTTCCAGCAGTAATCAAGGAGAATATAGATATAGGAAAATGTCTGAAAAAAACCTAACAACTGCTATACCTCCCTCCATTCCTTATAGTGATTATCTTCGACGTTATAAAGTTAATCGATCATATCATGAATTTTATCATGGTAGATTTTTTCATCCTTTTATACCCCCTTGCCAACCTCAATTTATACCTGAAAAGGTAAATATACATACATACATATATATTCAGTTAACTTTATTAATAATTTTGCGGGTAGAATTTTGAAGAAAAACAATATCCACTTTATGAAAACATCGAAGATAATTTAGCTGATCTCTTTTCTCGTGATATGGAAAACAATCAAAATTTTGATATAGATGATGCTTATGGAGAAGGTAATGAAGTAATTGCAACCACTATTATCGAAGCCACTCGGCCTGTCGTTGTACTTGTCACACCTATCTTTGTAAAAATTGTTCAGGAGCTAGCTGAAGAAATTATTAAAGATGATTGGGATCTTGAAACTATGCTGGATGCCCTACAAATGAAATACATTGAACAATTGACTCGTTATTTAACAGATCAATACATTTGCACACGTTTTGCTCTCATTTTACCACAAACTTATCTTCACTTTATTCAAAATGCTATGATGCCGGACGACCTACCCTCTTATAAGCATGGTGAATCATTTGTAAAGACACAATACAATACTGAGGATACAATTCTATGCTCTGCAGATATTTTTTTAAACGATTTTAGAGTGTTTGGTGGTGTCAAATTTGAAGACTATGCCTTTGCAGAGAAGAAAACTAAGGTAGTTGAATCTAATTTGGTTTTACAGGAGTCTCGTATTCACGTTGATATGGGTGATATGGGAGCTACTATACAATACGTTTCGAAGCAGCATGAAAGGCAGTCAATTGCATTTGGTATCCCTTATGAGCGCTTAATTAATAAGCAAATGTATGCTACTAATAATGATGACAATGCTCTTGTAGATGAACTATATATGCTAGATTTAGCAGTCAAGGGATTTAGTTTCAAATGGCTTGGATCTAAGACTCCCAATTATCTCGAATTAACAATCAAGAATGTAAATAGTATTATCATTACTGAATCGATTGAGATTCTGGTAGGTGCTGTTTATTCCTGGCTTGTGTTTGTGGATGACTTAAAAGGTATCCTTGAGAATTTTAAAGACCAACGTACTCGGCAAGTTCAATTCTTTATCAATGAGATTGCCAACTTTTCAAATACGCCTAATGTGGTAGGTGATCCTGTATTTTTGACAACACCTACGACTATGCTAAGATTGGGATCACGTAATTTTCGAAACGATTGCGGTTGGAAGCTGCTGGCGCGTATGCGTCACTGTCTAAGATCTATGCCTTCTTCAAAACGTGAGGAGCTTCAATATAGACTTACTTCAGGAGATTCATTTCAAGATATTGACTCAGATGCGATGTACAAAAATGTCATTAGTACTTTTTCAAGATGGCGTAGTTGGGAGGTCAGCTATAATGATATCATTCATTGCCGTCTCTTTACTCAGCCATTTAAACAAAGTTTGTTAGAAGAGCAAACGAATGACAAAAATACAACTGACCAAGTTGTTAAATTCTTGATATCTTCTGCTAATTTTGCTAAAATAAGAATGGGTCAGTTCAAATTTATGATTTATGAAGAGGAAATGATTGAATCATCTAAAGAAGAGAATAGCATTTTAATTGCACCATTTGAGTTCCTTTTTGAATGCTTGTTTAAATCATCGTCGATATCTGCTGTACCTGAAAGCTATATTAATAATAATAACCGTAAATCTATATCAATTTTAGATGGCTATCTTGACATTATTGCAAAGTTGAGTATCGGTGAAATTAATATCTCAATCAATCCAATTATCTTAGCTTTTGCAAGACATATGCTTCTTGTCCAACGTGTCTTTACAGAGAAACTAGCAAGTCTTCAGCATGCTATGAATAAGCCACTTAATTCTGCAAATACTTCAAAATCGCTAAATACAGGATCAAAAAAATTCAGCCTTGATGATTTAATGAACAAGGTGGATATGGTCGCACAAGCTTTAGTCAGCCTAGATCATATTCAAGTTACTGCTCATGCTCATGAACTTCATATGGACGCTATCGTTGACGGAATACAAGGATCAGCATTGTTCTCTAATCCTAAACTCGTTCCATTGCAGCTATCTTCATCCTATGCTGTAGATCGTGATTCTGATACAGGCTCCGGCAAACGTAGCTCAAATCGAGCGTCACGTAGAAATGGTGGTAATTCTGATCCTCGTTTAGTGCTTGAAGCCACTGGTGGTATCAACCTAATTGATATTAAGTTTAAAGAAGAACTACACCATAACAACAACACAGAATTATATAGTACTTTGTTAGCTATCATGTTGGAAAGAGCAAACGTAAACGCTAATATATCTCAGGTCACAAAACAATCCAAAAAGCACAAATCAGTTGAAGCCAGCAAAAATATATTGAATGTCTTTTCAAATATTCATAATTTCCACATGCATGCTCCTCAAAGTCTTCTAAGACTCTATGGATTTGTGGATTCATGGCAAACTGAGCAAGGGCGACGATATCATTTTATGCTTCAAAGTCTTGTCAGGGAATGGGAGGAAAAACGAAAGGAACAGTCAATTAACCCTTCATCTGCTGACCTTTCTCTAGCATCAGCACAGCCCACACTAACAAATAGGAAAATCGATGTTAAATTACAATTCTTACTGAATAAGCTATTGATACAAGCTGATCTCTTACCTTCATTAACTGTAAAATATAGCCTTAAAGACTTCTTTATAATGATCAATGAGTCACATCATAAATCGATGCCCATACGTATGTATGCATTCCAACTATCAGAGCAAGAGGTTCACCTAATCTCTAAAGACCCTAGAAAGAGTAAAAGAGTTCATAAATCAAATTATGAAACTATCACAAGTAACACATTTAAGATCCCTGGAATTCGTAGTACGGGGTCGCTTCAAATTAAATCTGTAAATGAAACTACTGAACAGTTAATGTTAAGATCTATGATATCTATTGATTTAATTTCAATATCACTTGATGCTAGCTTAATTGACTCATTACTTACAGCGCAGTCATTAATGGGCAATGAAGTTAGTGAATTGGTAGAGGTTGTGTCGTATTCTAGACGTAGAAAGAACAGTTTAACAACGCCCTTTAAGGAAGACAGTTCTACAGAAGAGGCGTCAGTTCGTATATTTAAATATACAGTTGATATTTCCCTTGTTGGTATGCGAGTATCTGCTGCTAGTCCATCTGCTATAGGTGTATTTGAATCAAATATTTTAGAAGCATCTCTTTCTAATGATACTGAAAAGGATAATCTATTAGGTGAGCAACTTGCTTGGAAACTTCAAGCACGTAATTTCTCTCTTTCATTAGAACATAATACAATGGAAGAGACTCCAAAGGATAAGTACGATAGAAACTGTCTGGCCTATATTCTTGTTGATTTTAGTATTCAAAATTATTTGCCATCATGTGTAAATGAAAACTGTCAAAAGGATACACATGTACATACAAAAGAGCGAGAGATTAATGCCTTGTTCATTGACTTTTCAAAAATACAAACCGTTATGCAACCAATTGCCTTGGGAAAACTTGCAGAAATGTATATATATTACGATACAGAACTTGGAAATAAAAAGATGATGAAAAAGGAAGAAATTGATCAGCTCTCGGCTAATACCAAACGTATTGTACAATCAATTGTTAACAAGAATGAATGGCCGAAGGCATTACAAGAGGAACCTCAATCACTTCTTAAAAATAAAATTATCAATTTACAGGTTCGACGTTTGGGGATTGCTATTCCGTTAGACTATAAGTCAGATTTACAGCCACCAGAATCCTCAAAGGATGTTGGAGCTTTACTATTATCCATAGCCTCGATCGAATTCCTCACAAAAAATATTGAGAAAGGTGCTTTACAACTGGATAATATGGCTATACAATTCGTTAAACAATTTGATCAAAATAATGCTGAACATTTCATTGCAGAAAATCATCCTCGTATGAATCAAATAAGTGTACCATCTGTTTCTTGTCATATCTCAGCAACAAATATAAAACCACTTCAGTTAGTTCAAGTCATTGCTCAAGTTGGAGGATTTGAGATTGATGTGGATGGAGCAATAACTGATTATATAAATATGCTCAGTATTATCTATGTTAAAAGTAAGGATCGAGTCGATGCATTTGCTACAAAATCTAAAACAACTACTAAGGCGCCCTCACCGACAACATCTACACATTCGTCATCGGAAGCTGTTCATTTTGGTATTGATTGTAAGTTTGAATGTGATAGTGGCACAATCCGCATGTATCCCAAACGACAAGCAAATAATGTTTATAAAAATAAGAAAAAGATGAAGTCATTACGATTTCATAACGCTCTTGATCCAAAACTTGGTGATGGTAACATAGCTTTAGCAAATATACCCGGTCTAAGTGCATGGTTTGTTTATCAACTACCACTAGGTGCGCATGCTACTGTCATTGATTCTCCAAAACGGTTCCATGCTGATATCTTAATTCGTGAAAGTAGAAACACGCTTCATCCTGTTCTAGTTCAATTCTTGCGTGAAGTCGTGGTAGGCCTTAAGCTAGGTATTCAACAAACGAGTGAACGAAAAGCGGATCGTAATGAGTCATCAGTGATTGAGTCCAACTTGAATGCATCTCTCTTTTTACGCTTGTCAAAAACACAATTAGATTTGAGCTGTCAACCGACTTCTAAGGTAGTTTGCTCCTTGGGTTGGGAAGAAAGCGAGTTTTTGATGAATGCATTTTCAAAGGATACAACATCACGTACAATGAGTTGTGTAGGATCAGTTCGACGGATTACAGCTGTTGTTAAACATCACTTTTCCCCAGAGGCTTGCCTTAATGCTCGTATTGACCATATCCTATTCAATGCTATGTTAACATCACAACGTGAAAAGGGAGATTTGAATGATGATATTTCAATCATTGTTGAATTACCTTACATACTTGGAAATATCAATATGCGACATTTACAGGATCTTCTTATTCTAAACTCATGTTGGTTTGGTCAGCCAATTATTTCTGATAGTAATTTAAAGCCTACTGAGTCGACCAGTGACAATAATTCCCCTTTACTAGTTGCTCCTGAAAATTCAAAAACACCAAAGACGGTAGTTGATCAACAAATAAGTATACTAGATTCCGTTAATCAGCCCTCCCCTTTCTCCAAACATATCGCACTCTGGATAAAAAAAATGGACTTTTCGGTTGATCTAGGTCAAAATATAGGAACAATTACATTGATGCCTGACAGTCTTTCACTGCAACTCTATCATGTTCCATATGAAACTAAAGGACTAAGTTTTTCTTTAGATAAAGTAAACATCATATCCGAGGGTAGATTATCAGGTAGTATAGATTTCAACAAGATGATTATTCACGGCCGAGTAGATCAGTTCAGAGATAGTTTAAAAGAAAAGTCTTCTATCTATGTACATTCAAATGGCTTTAAAGCAGCCTTTGAATATGAATATCAGAATATTCTAGATGCAATTCAACAACCATTAGAGCTTAACGTTGAGCTCCAAAAGAGAGGTAATCAGTATGAGCTTGAGATTTCGATTAATTTAGAGGCTTTAATTGCTCGACTATCAATAAAGACGGTACCCATTATTATAACTATGGTCCAGAGATTTAATGAATTACTTCAGAAAAAGAAATCAGAGGCAGGCATTCGTTCTGATTGGAGTTATCTAACCACATCCAAAAATAACAAGCCAGCAACATCGTCGTCATCATCTTCTTCTTCTCCACGAAAGCCTGAAAAGATGTATAAAAATGCCTTTATTCATAGCAATGTCTCATTACGTATCAAAGCGATTGAAGCTGTAATTTATCCCAGTCAATTCCAAGATTCAGATAATGTAGACATTCGAGCTAAGCAATTCAATATTGAGCTAGAAGAGTTCCCACGTTCCTCTGATGGTGTACATCGTAAACTGGTCATTACATTAGCAAGTGCTGCTTTAGCTAAAAATGCACCAGGTAAGGAATTGATGATTCGTTACAGTGCACCATTACCCTCGTCAGGATCCAAAGTAAAGAACCTTGGTGGAACAAAGATTTTTGGTATACCTGGAACAGAAGTAATAATGAAATCAACACAGCTTAATACGATTATTAGCCATGAATTTGGAGCTGTCTTTGCAGGTCGTATCAGTGTCTCCTTGAATATTGGACTCATTAAATATCTTCAAGAAATGATTAATATGTTTAATATACAACTCCAGCGCACCTTAGAAAAGGACCGTGATAGACTTTTGGGAGATCCTGGCACACCTGTTAGTATACAAAGCCAATTTGATGATATGGAAGAAGATCATATAACGATTACTAATAACCATAAGTTACCTTTATCGTCTGAATCATCAAATAAAAATGAGCCTGCATTATCGATATCTATTACTAAAAATCCTCCTAATGATACATCAGAAAAAATAGCAACGGATAATAAAGTAATAAACAACGAAGAAAAATACACGTATAACTCTATCAGCACTGTAGATTTCCAGCCTCAGCTTCAAGTGATGGGGGATGCTACACCACCTGTAGAATGGCTTGGTCTCAAGAGAGAAAGAATTCCTGGTTTAGTACATGAAAATGTTACACTTCATTTGAATCAGCTTGTTAAAACGATTTGGGAAATGTTAGAGTCACAGATTGACTAACAGGAAAATGCGCTTCATTTACTTTTTTATCATATTGCTTATCATTTATAGATGTTATAATTAAATAAGTTTCAAACAATTAATATATACATATATTACCTATTAAAATAAATATATGTTAATAACTCTACACTAATCATGTTTATTATTATTCCTATAACATGCAAAGAAAATAATAATAATAGTAATAAATACGATATTTTATGACTCAATTTGGATAGGCATATATAACAAGTTTTTTAGATACTAAGCATTATATTCTATTTGATTATATTATTACCCTATTATTATACTATTGTTAATAATATTCAACAATAACCAATTTCTCATTAGCTATCATTATGCTTTCCTAAATGTTCTATCCGACTTAAAAGTAGCAATATTAATTTGCTATATAATATAAGTTGATGTAATCGATGACCCTGGTTAATAATAACATTAGTATTATTTATTGAGAAAATAATTGTATCATATACACTAGAAACCTTTTTTAATACTGTATTTCTAATAGTATTCATTAAAATCTTTTGTAACATATTATTGTGATGAGATTTTTTATATATACCAGAATATGTTAATAACATACTATGTTATATATTAAACTTAAAAAGCTTGAAAGATTTTTTTTTTATAATCTTTAATACTTATATTAATTACAAAGTAACATAAAAGTTTATAACTATTCAAACATATGCTATAGCTTGATATGGTGATTATATAGAACTATATTAAGCCCTATCTGGAATTAATTATAAATCCTTTTTAATATTTATCATCCTTGTATTCTATATACATATATATTTTCCGCTAATATAAACTATATTCTATAATTGTATTCATTTATATAGATGTTTGTCAGTCCTACTATATAAAAAATACATATACAACTATATTATGTTATTTCTACAATCAAACAGTAACAACACTGATTACTAAAAGATCACAAAAATAAATATTCTTGAAAGAAGAGTAATGCCTTGTTTCTATATAATAGAATCTATAATCATTTTTTCTAAATGATGTAAGATAAAACAAAATATAAACATAATCACCGAAAATATAAAAAATAAAAAGGAAGGTCCCACCGAGAATCGAACTCGGATCACCGGATTCAAAGACCGATATGATAACCATTACACCATGGAACCATTTTACGATTTCAAAATTTTTAAAAAGATTATAACTAACATGTAAAAAATTTCGCTCGGAAAATCACGTGACTCTCGCATCAGCTCGGCCTTATTATTATTTTTGTTATTTTGCTCTTTTTTTTATTGGTTCGACTACTCGTGTAGAAGGTCATCCACAATTGTAGAGTCTATTTTGTTTTATATACGATCACTATAGATTATACCATTGTCAAAAAAATATGATTATATATCTCTTTTTAATAAAAATTAGGTTTCAGTCTGATATGATATTGCCAAATATTTAGTTGATACTTTTTTTTTTTATAGTGATGAGTACTTGATAAAAAAGCTGTCATTAAGCAATAAAACTTAACTATTGTGTTAAGTGAAAATGATACTCTATATAGTTTTACTGAATAAAATATTATCTTGTTACGTATAAATTATTTAGTATTTTTTTTTTTTTTTTTTTTTTTTACTTAGCATACATTTATATCAGAAAAGAGAGTTTATCTCTGAGTTATATAGTTTGCATTTATTATTTAATATTCAAGTGACGAATGAAATTCTTCTAGAATTGAATGAGACACTCGAATACAAAATAAGTCATATGATTGCTTAATCTTTCTTTTTTATTGGTCAGCGAAAATAGCATAATAAATTTTTTGATATAACATATAGTAATTGATCTTCTTTTTCGCTGGTCAGTACCATATAAATGAGTTCCGAACAACTTGAACAACTTCTCGCCAATCAACAGGCACAAATCAATCGCCTTGAACAATTACTCCTCACTCAAACCAATGCTCAACCTTCAGCAGAGCTCCCTAATCAACAACAACAGCAACAGCTGTTATGATTGTAGTCGTTCTTATAACTAAGTTAATAGAAATAAACCATCATTTATTACATAATAAAGAGGTTATTCACATAAAACTAGTATATTGAACCTCACAGCGTAATATTCATTCTACACTCAGTTTTAATAATAGTCATTGTTAGAATGTTCGAGCAATAATAATAATTATATACATAATTCAAACAGGATTATGACTGGTGTATTCAATTACATAATTGTTCTTGAGTGATACATATCAGATATACATTGATAATATTGAATATTGTTAAATAATGAAATCTCATACAATGATAATGATAGTAGCTCATAAATAATTGGTATTGTTGCAGCTAGACATATTCACTGAGAATTAATATTGATGTGTCGCAGTCCAATAATAATGATTCGTTAGGTTTCTAGGAACAGCGACAACTCAGGGAGAAAAAAGGAATAAAGATATATCTTATTGATCGCAGAATTATTCGGAGACAATGTTTTATGTAAAACACTTTATTATAGTAAAACTTGCTTATCTGAATCATATTTCCATTGATAACACTTACCTTGTAAAAACATATAAATAACCCTCATGTTGTGGTTTAGGTAAGTTTAGATGATTAAATAGAAGTCAAAGAAATAAAAATAAAAAGAAGATAAGACAGAAGAAGTACGTTGAGACTTGTCAATAAGTTTATTAAAAGTAAAATCAATACAAGTATTGTTCTTAGTTATAAGTTATACAAAATAAGGGTGAATAATGTAAGAGTATTTATATATTTTGTGAATAAGGATGATGAGTAATAAGAAGATAAAAATATAACAAATTGTATTTGATAATATAATTATAGAAGGATTACTAAGAGTTATAATTATAGATTCATGTCTTTAGTATATATTTATTTTTATAACTAATACGTGTATTCTGAGTAGAATCAATTATTACGCGTATTTGTATTATTCTTAGTTTACCCCAGTTTAACTTGTATAAAGTTATTTTTATAAATTTATATTCAGCAGAATAATAATAGAAGAAAGTATATTTTTAGATGTAGGACTTTTTATTAATTAATTATTTTTCTATACAAGGGTAAATATACTAAATATGTTTATAGAGAGAATTATTATACAAATGCACTATGTATTCTATTATGACTATTTATCTTATTGAATTAAGTTATAAATCTTACAACCATGACACCTCAATTTCTCCATATAATTTTCGTTGTACAATTTTTGTATTATCTTTAATAAACTATACGAAGTTTTCACAGACTTGTCTTCTGTCTATTCTTCTTCCATTATCTTTGCTAATCAAAACACACTCTTTGTAATCCCCAAGAAGAACGGTGGTCACCGCCCGGTCTTCAACCTCAAAAAACTCAACTCATATGTTACGGCGCCTCCCTTCAAAATGGAAACTCTCCAGGAAGTGACCCGTACCATCAAACCCAACGACTGGATGACTTCCATTGACCTTTCCGATGCATTTCTCCACATACCTGTCCACCCTTCTTCTCGTCGTTTCCTTCGTTTTCGTTGGAACCACACCACCTATCAATTCAAGACCACACCCTTTGGCTTATCCCTCGTACCTTGGCTCTTTACAAAAATTACCAAACCAATTCTCGAATGGGCTCGTCAACAGAATATTCGTCTGAGTGCCTACCTCGACGATTGGATCTTGGTTGCAGACACTTTCCAACAAGCTCAACAACAGACCCAGTATGTACTTCACCAATTGCAACAACTAGGTTGGATCGTCAACGAGAAGAAATCGACTCTACTTCCAACTCAACAGCTCGATCATCTCGGCTTCTCCTTGAATACCACCAATATGACAGCTCAGCTGCCGGGAAACAAGATTCGAAACCTTCGAAAAAGCATACAACAGATTCTGAAAGATCCTCTCCAATCAGCACGGACGATTCACAGTCTCACAATGAGGATCCAATCGGCGACGTTTGCTCTCCTCCCTGCTCGCCTATATACACAACATCTATTGCGAATGAAGAACCAATCGGTACGATCCCTGGCCGACTGGGACAAGAAACAACCACTTCCAGTAGCATGTCTCAAGGAACTTCGTTGGTGGCAACGGAATTTACAACTATGGAACGGGAAGAGCATACTTCCACAGACGCCTCAACAAACGATCTATGTGGATGCCAGCAACACAGGCTGGGGCTGCAGCCTGAATCTACCGAATCAACCACCTCTCACTGCACATGGACACTGGATGCACCAAGAAACTCGAATGTCCATCAACTGGAGAGAGTTGAAAGCGGCCTTTCTTGCCTTACGCTCCTTTCCACGCCTACACCATATGAGAGTCATGATTCGCACGGACAACACTACGTCCATGGCCTACATGAACAAACAGGGCGGGACGAGATCACTACCACTTATGGAATTAGCAACCAAACTGTGGAAATGGTGTTTGAAGAGAGGAATAACTATTCAGTCCACACATGTACAGGGAATTGCCAACACAATTGCGGATTTCGAGTCGAGACGACCTTACCAGAAGAACAATTGGATGCTTCGACGCCCGATATTTCATCAAATTCAACAGCACTGGGGAACAAACGACGTAGATCTCTTTGCGGATCGAAACACTCACCAAGTAAAAAACTACGTGTCTTGGCTCCCAGACCCGGGCAGTCTTGCCACCGACGCATTCACAATTCCTTGGAATCAATTTCGCTTCCCGTACCTCAACCCACCATGGAACCTGATAACACGATGCTTGCAAAAAATTATCCAGGAACGGTTACCTTTGGTGACGATGGTGACCCCGTATTGGAAGACAGCAATTTGGTTTCCTGTCTTACAGACATTGAGTGTAGCACCACCAGTTCTCCTCCACCCAGCCACATCGATCACACTACCTTCACCAGCAGCAATATGGCCAACGACGGCAAATCACAACTGGAAACTCGCCGTGTGGAAATTCTCAGCACTCAATACCAACATACTGCTTTAAACCCAGACGCTCAACAACTTCTAACCCAACACACTGTACAAGATTCTAGCACTAACCGATCATATCGACGCGGTCAAATTTTATTTCTTAAATGGGCATCTGATAACAACATTTCGGACAACAATTTTTCCCCCATTGATCTAATCAATTTTTTAAGTGCTATGAAATCAACTCATAACTATGCAGTAACCACACTTCAACTTTTTCGTTCTGCTGTCAGTCAATTACATCAAAATTCTAGTTCCCTTCGTGACGATCCTTTATTGAACACATTTATTGTTACCTTAACAGCTCGAGCACCTCCTATTCGATTACACAGACAAACAATTGACTTACAACCTACTTTTCATTATTTATCCAGTTTAGACAACACTTCTATCAGCTTAACTTCTCTTCAAGAAAACTAGCCTTCCTATTGGGAGTTGCATGTTTTTTTCGCCCGTCAGACTTACAACGTATTCCGCTTGATTCCGTTCAGGTGTCTCCTGATCTCGCCTTCTTGTGTCTTGAGTTCATTGTCCCAAAGAAAAACGCCAGATCGTAGAATCATTAAATCATTCAAAGTGCGTGCTCATACCGACTCAACTACTCTTTGCCCTCTTCAAACTTTTCTTGTGTATGCTCAGCGTCGTCCTGTCTGCTCTTCTCTTAGCCTCTTCGTCAATTCCATTTCTCCGGATCGACCTCTCCAAGCCAGTACTATTCAGGGATGGATTTCTAGACTTTTACGCCGATCAACCTCTGAACCTAGGGTTAGTCTGCGATCTATCGCCTCCTCTTTGGCTCTTGCCTCCGGTATTCCTAAAGACGATGTAGTTACTATGGGCAACTGGTCAAATTCCTCCACCTTCGAAAATCATTATCGCAGGGAACATTTGTCACAATTTGACTTTACCAGCACTCTTATTACTCTGGATTAGCAATCATATGACTTATTTTGTATTCGAGTGTCTCATTCAATTCTAGAAGAATTTCATTCGTCACTTGAATTATTCTATTAGACACGAGAATACAAAATAAGTCATATGATTCCCCACCCACCCTTTTCTTTTACCCTTTCTATTATCTTATTATTTATATACTTTACTCAAAGAAGATCAATTACTATATGTTATATCAAAAAATTTATTATACTATTTTCGCTGACCAATAAAAAAGAAAGATTAAGCAATCATATGACTTATTTTGTATTCTCGTGTCTAATAGAATAATTATATTGGAAAGCATTTTTTTTTTTGTATAAATCTCGATTATATGCTATATAATTAGAAATATATGAATCATGACGCTCTCTTTTTTTATACTTATTATTAATATACAATTTGTTATAGGGCAATTTCTAGGTATATACACATATATAAGTCATAAATGCGGAATTGACTCTTGTTCATAAAGTCCTCAGTTGTTGAATATATCAGCATAATAGTAATAATTTATATTATTGGCTATTCTTAAAAAAAATTAGACATATCGTATTTAAGAAAAAAAAAAAAAACTAAAGGCTAAAAATTACTCATAACAAAGATATTCATTAGTATGTACACTTTTTTATCCAAATGAATATATTGTCACTACTACTCTCTAATTCATCCTATTGAGTTACCATTGAGGAGAAGCATATCAATTAACCTGTTTTTTTTTTAGATACATATTCATTGTTTATTTTGTTGAGATAAAAAAAGTAGCAATATCTCCCCATGCTTTTTTTTTTTTTTTTTTTTTTTTTTTTTTTTTTTTTTTTATAATAGATGAGAAGCTTCCTGAAAAAGCGCTTTCACTGTACCCGGTAGTTCTCTTTCAACTGATACTAAAGATTTTTGCAATGACTCTACAGCTGCTAAACTTTTATGATTTTTACAATTTTTCTGAAGCTATTTATAATATATTATTATCAAGTAATTCAAATACTCTATATATATTTCTCTTACATTATTTAGTAAAGGTAGAATAGTTTCTAGAAATGCTGTATCGTATTGTCTACTTGATACTACTGTATTAACGCTTCTTGTTGAAGGTGATTTATTAGGTAATGGTGGAAGTGGATTATTATTACCCATTGATTGAATCATACTGTTTCGTTTGCTAGAGGATCTTAAATAATGCTCTGTTTCTGATGTTGCACGTACTGTATTTTGATTGAAATCTTCATATTCACTTGCTGAACTATATCTAAGTCCTGTGTTTTGCATCATTGTCTAATAAAAAGGAGTCAAATTAATTAAAACCAATGTTATATATCTGTATTTATCCTAATTTCTTACAGTTACTTCATTAACTCTATATTGTTGATTAAGCTGTGTTCTACTAGAAACATTTGGAAGTAATGATTGCTGTTGTTGCTGTTGTAGCTGTGGTACTGATGGTATATGATTCTTTGAATATTGATTTGATATATTATTGTAAATGATGGGCTTAGTTACTTGTGGTAAAGGAGCTTGCTTAACAGTACCAAAATCCCATGAATCATCATCATTCGTATCAACCCTATATGAAAGATACATATAAAAATAAAAAGTTAACTAAATATATATACATATAATTCTCTCTTTATATACATATAGTGAATAAATACTTACGCTGGTTCTTCATCTGAAGATTCTATTTCACGTCCATTTGCACTAATCCAACGTTCATGACCTTCAATTAATTCTGTCAAATAAGCCACTTTTTTACTATTCCTAATAAATTTATGCTTTAAAAGTTCCTTCGCCGTAGGTCTCTATAATATATACATATATATATATATAAGTATATGAGCTCTATTTAATATATATATATATATATCTTACATCAGAAGGCCGAGTTTGTAAACATAAACTAACAAAATCACGGAAGGCTTTACTATGAGGAGGACCTAAAGTAGGTGGGTCATTTTTGGGTATATGAAATAAAACCTTCATAGGATGCATCTTTGCATAAGGTGGCTCTCCATTTGCAAGCTCTATAGCTGTAATTCCAAGTGACCAAATATCTGCTTTATAATCGTAGCCTGATTGTTTAATTACTTCTGGTGCCATCCAAAAGGGCGTACCAACAAATGTATTTTTTTTTGTTAAAGTTGCAGTAATCTTTATTAATTGATTTAATTTAGATAAATTGTTATTGCATTACTATATTTGGCTATTCACTTACTTGTCCTGATACACCAAAATCGGCTAATTTAACTATAATAATAAAATTACGTTATATATACACCTATCTACTTATCTATCAATATGTTATATAACTAACCTTCACCATTTGAACTTAATAAAATATTAGCAGCTATATAATGAAATTTAACATATTATATACATGCATATACATATGTACTGAAATATTTCCTGGTTACCTTTAATATCTAATAAATACATTTTTTTTTAAAAAAAAAGAAGCTTAATAAATATGACTTGAGCCCTTTTCATTTCCCTTTCATTATTATTATTTAGTCACCTCTATGTAATTTCCCTTCATTGTGAAGATAATCTAATCCCTTTAATAGTTCTTTCAAAATAATGGCAATATATTCTTCTCTAATTGTTCCCATTTTCATCTATTTATTCATTATATTAAGACATTATTATTCATTGTATTTTTTCCTTTTTTTTTTTTACTTACTAAATCACTACATGATCCTCCTGAACAATATTCCATAATAATCCATAATCCAGTACCTTTTAGATATGATCCATGATATCTTTTATTTTAACAAGAATTGTATATAATGGAGAGAAAATATTAGTTTTTTTTTTATACTAATCTAGTTTTATTGACTTACTTTGTTACATAAGGTGAATCTAGTTGAGATAGAATAGCTATTTCTTGTTGAATATCATCAATTTCATCTTCTGCACTTTCAAGGTCAATAATTTTGATAGCAACAGGTTTGTTTGTACGTCTTTCGAGTCTATTTTATTTTTTTTATTTTTTATTTTTTTAAAAAAAAAACGCGTTTAAAAGCCTTATTTTTTTTTTAATAATGAATAGACACTTTACCCTTTAAATACTTCACCAAAAGATCCTTTACCTAAAAATAAATAAATAAATATTTTTGTTTGAATTTGCATTGTTTTTTTTTCCTCCTCAAGTCTTTATCACATTTGCTTACCTATACGTTCTTGCTTGATATAATAAAGTTCAGGATCTGCTGAATGACTACTAGATGAATTCTAAAAAAAAAAAGTATTAATTTCCTTTCCCTTTCCTTTTTTTTTTCTTCTATTGCTTTCTCAATTGAAACAAATAGATTATCAATACCATCTTTATAAATCGAGATTAATAAATTAAAAAAAAAAAACGAAAACGAAAATAAAACAAAAGAAACTTTAAAAATAGTATTATGAATAAAGGAGAAAGAAAAAAAAAAAAAAAAAAAAAAAAAAAAAGAGGGGAAGAGAGAGAAAGCAACAACAGCTCCATATAATAGGAGGTAAATATGACCGGAGATTTAAATATTTGTTGTTGTTTTTTTTTTCAACAACAACCAAATTTGGATGTTCGTAAACAGTTTTCCTCAAAAAGTCAGAAAAAAATGAACTAGTATTAAAATTCAGGAACAAAAATCATATTTATTTTATCTCATTTTAAAATAATAAACTGGCTGCTAAATCTGGGTTACCACCAGCCATTTCTAAAGCGTTTAAAGCTTCCTACATGTGATTTATCAAGATTAGATTAGTGTCATTATTTTAATACTTTTGAACCTTACTTGACGACTGACACCCATATCTGTTAAAAGCTTAATATCTTTCTCTGGGTAAATACCTATTACATAATAAAATATAAGTATATATATACATATATAATTTCTATGTAGTCTTACTACTTACTTGTTGTATTCTGATTATTTGAAGATTCTAAAGAAGAGTTTGGTACAGAAGGAGTTGACATTTTAGGTACAACTGTTCTACCTTCCGTAGTAGTTTCATCTTCATCACTTCCATGAATCTAATACACACATACATATGCATATACACATACACATACACACACACATATATATATATATATAATATATTATAACAATAATATTAAAATAAATCTTTTTTTTCAACTTACTTCAATTCTACGTTGCTTTTCAGGAAGTTCATGTTCAGCCAAAAAAGGGATCTCACAATCATCAAAGGTCAAGGCATTTTTACGAAGATCAATGCATGCTCGATGCTTTTTTAACATGTCAAGTCCAAACAAAAGTTCAGATCCTTTACCTTCAACAACAATAAATGAACATGTCAAAAATAAGTTTTGTGATAATCTCATTTGTGCACTATGAATACGTCCCAAAATCTTGGCTGTACCAACACCCTTTGCAACACCACTAAAGCGTGTATCTACAAGTCGCATCAGACCACATGCTTCTGCTGTTTCTGGGCTGACTATAAGTAATACATTATTAGTTATTTACAAAAGAATATACATATATCTGTATATATATTCTTGTAGGAGGAGATAACTTACTCACTGTACTTTGAGCTCCAGAATCAACAAGTGCAACTAATTTTTTATTATTGATTTCAACATTGATATATAATCGAGTAACCCTCGCAAATGATTCAGGATTATATTCCATGGCTGCTTCTAAATTAGCAGCAATATTCTCTTGTCTAATAGCGTCTTCAATACATTTCTGCGCTTCAATATCGAATGGATCGTTGTTTAATGCCGCCTATCAAACAAACATATAAATAAATAAATAAAAAAGAATAGATTTGTAATTTTATCTTTACAAGTCTTGCTTTTTGCATTTCAGCAGCTCGCCTAGTTTGTTCAATTTGTTGAACCATTGTCGAAAACTTTACAGGATCATGTTGTGCAGCATATGCTAATTCTGGATTTGTCTATTTATTTTTTTCAACTAAATAAGATATACATACATACATACATATACATATATATATATTCAAAATTATGTTATTACACTTTCTAATTGTTGAAGAAGACGTGAATCCCTCAAGACATGTTGTCGCATCATGTCAAAATCAGGATGACTAATACATGTTTACAATGTTAGTATTTAATTATTAAACCAAGACATATTTGTATTTGTAATTATACCTCGAAGATCCCTGTTGTGGTTGTTGCATCATGTGTATAATCTCATTTTGTCCGACTTGATATTCTTCCAGTGTCTTTTTTAACTCATTTAATTCATTTCCGTTATAGAAAAGACGTTGTGCACTTGGAGGAATACCCGACTTTATCATATTTTAAGTCAGTATATATATAAATATATACATGTGTATCTTAATTATTATTTTGTTATTTTACCTCTACTTCTAGAAGAGCTTTCAAGTCCTCAATGGCCATTTGGTTGTCAATTTCTAAATTGTAAATCTCTTCACCATCTGTTGTTACAGTAATAAGCATTTCTTCTTTAATTTATTTTTTTTTATATATTTATAATAAAGAAAAAAAAGAAAATTACAGAAAAAACAAGTATCATATATTTTTTTATATACGCGCTGCTAGTAGTATGATAAAAAATGATAATGATTGGATATTCACGTTTACATGAAGTTGGGCTTAAATTTTACGTTTCGTTAGTGCTGTTGCCATTTATTTATTTTTTTTTTTTGCTTGAATACAAAAACAGTCTTATTGTGACTTGGGTTCTCTTTCTGTTTTTTATTTTATTTTTTTTTTTTAGTATTTTTTATTTATTTTTTTTTTTTTTTAAATAATCTTCAAAGTAAATACACAATGGGTAATAAAACACCTTTCCCAAAAAACCCTGAAACATCTACAGTAGAGACATCAGCAAACCCTTCAGAAATTGCGGGCATCGCACTATCTGCATTTGATAATAGTACAACTGCCGATTACTTTGCTTTGATTACACATGCCATCGATCGTCATCGTCTTCGTATCTTCAATGTGCGATCAGGTACCGTCAGTAATGATTATTCATCACAGGAGCGTGTTACCTGTTTATGTTGGGGATATATGAAAGATAATGGGGATTTACAAGTAAGGGACATCTTTAGTTGACTTTAAAAAAGTTTCCTCCTGATCACTAATTATATATATGTATATGTATAGGCTAATACTGTACAAGCTTTCAAAAAGAAAAAAAGTGGCATTAGTTCTCTTTCAAGAGTGATCGCGTTAGGTATGCAAACAGGTTCTATTGCTCTCTATTCTCTTGCTCACGGTACAATCGTAAAGCGATTAACTGGATCTCATACAACTCCAATTTCTGATTTTGTAATGAACAAAGATGGTTCTCGAGGTTATTCAGTAGCTGAGGATAATTTAATTATTGAATGGGATATTGAGGAAGGAAAAGAGCGATTGTAAGTGACTAGAAAAAAAAAGGAGAAGTAGAAGAGGGAGAGAAAGGGGATGAAGGGAGGGAGCGAAGGAAAAGGAAGAATAAAACGTATCAGAAAATATAAAACTCATTTTTATATTTATATTTTTTTTTTTGTTATTAGTAAATGGAAAGCAGATGCAAAGAATGTACGTAAATTAAAACTAAGTCATGATGAAAAGAAATTAGCAACAGCAGGACATACAATCACATTATGGAATTTGGAAACATATACAGTTTTCAAGAAGTTTACAGGACATGCTAGTACAATTCGTGAATTATCGTTTTCTCATCAAGATGATGTTTTAGTGTCAAGTGCAGAAGATGATCGTTATATTAACGTTTGGGATGCTCAGGCTATTAATACTAATAATCTTCCTGCCTTAACTTTGGAAACTAATGTGCTTCATATTGATTTTTCAACTACAGAGCCCTCTGTTTTGGCTGTAACAGAAGATGGTTTAGTGGGTATCTGGGAAAACGCTACATCAACACAACAAGCCTTAACAGGAAAACGTAAAATGATGCGAATGACTAAAGAAGCAGATGCAAATATGAAGATCATCTCTACTACAGATGGTAGTCTTATTCCGATCTTAGCTGCCAAGTTTGTGACTGATAACTCGGGTAAATCGATTATGATTGCTCGTGGATCTAGTGTGAAGCCTACATTTGAAGTAGTCAAGTATGTGGGAGAGGATAATGCAATTTTATCAGAAATTACACTTAATAGACAACCCATTACCAACTACTTGATTGATTCCGATGCTTCCATTGCTGCCAATAACTTGCGAACAACACGTAAGGCATATGATGAATCAACCGTCACCGTTGTAGGTAACACTGATTTTTCCATGAGGGCACCTACACTTGATATCCAAACTGATAATGCAGAACCTTCAATTGAACAAAGACTTCAAGAACTAGATGTCATTGACACTCCAAAGCCAAAGAAGACTAATAAAAAGAAGGCTATTGAAGCACCCTCCGCTAGTTCCTTACAAACTGTCTTGGTTCAAGCTTTACATTCAAACGATTCTAGTCTCCTTGAAGCCTGTTTACAACACTCAAAGCCAGAGACAATCCAAAACACCATTCGCCGTTTACCCACGCAATACTTGATTCCTTTATTGTTAGAATTAATGACTCGATTCCAAGAAAAGCCTGGTCGAGCACCTGTGTTACTTGTGTGGATTAAAGCCATTTTGACAATTCATACAGCTTATTTAATGACGGTCCCTGACTTGGTTGGCAAACTAGCAGGCTTTTACCAGGCGTTAGATACACGTTTAGCAGTTTTCCCTAAATTATTAGCGTTGGAAGGACGTTTGGATATTGTTCAAGGACAAGTGAATACAAAGGCCTATTCGAATGTAGATGATAAACAAGTACAACGTGCTCAAATGGCCGAAAATATTTATGTTGAGTTAGATTCAGATGAAGAAGCAGAAGCTGCTGAAGATGAAGAGCTATCCATGGATGAAGCTATAAGTGATAATGATGAAGAAATGGTAAATTTAAATTTGTTTTATTTTATTATAAAAAAGTGTAAATAACATGTGTGTGTGTGTGTTTTTATTTTAAGGATCAAGATGTATTAGAATATAGTGAAGAAGAAGAAGAAGAAGAAGAGGAAGAAGAGGAAGAAGAGGAAGAAGAGGAAGAGGAAGAAAGTGATGAAGAATAAAGAGAAAATGTATTATAATATTAATAGAAAATAAAATAAAGCAAAGTTTATATTTATATAGAGTTCTCTCTCTCTCTCTCTTTTAATTAATAGTAATAGATATAAAAATTAGTCTTCTCTGATACTTACTGTCTATATATTCCCGTTAAGCTATTTCCAACTGTATGATAAATAAGAAGTATTATTTCCTAGAATATCTATCTGTTCAATCATATTGATCTTTCCTGTTAATAAATAAAAAGTTATTAAGAATATATATATACACACACACATATATGTATATATTTGAAATAAGTCAAGTAGACGATAGTTTTGTCCCAAGAAATGACCAATATTGACCAAGCAGCTGACATGACCAATGAAAGAATTTATTAAGGTACTATATACATCTGAACGTTGTTTGTATAAACGCTTCAAATTAGTCTAAAAGCATCTTGGCGAAAAAAAAAAAACCACCGGAACTTAGTGGATTATGAATTTACAGTATTACTAAATAAAATGTCTATGCCGTTTCATAATAATATGCTTTGTTTTATTATTAGTGTCACAACATGCACATATCATTATTATTCATGGTTCTTAAATAATCTCCTCTCTGTTAATATTATTACTTTTTTTTTTCTTTAAGTCGCCCCTCATTCTTTCTTGCTCAGTTGGTTGAGCCTGTTGGTACTTTCGTAATGTCGTAAGAGTTTCTAAATGGAAAGGATCAGCTTCCTCAATCCATTCCATAGCATCATTGCCTTGTTCGTCGAAAATCTTTCCTTGTCCATTTTCGTAAAAAAAAAAAAGTGTGTGCTCATATTATTAGCTTTGGGTTGATAGTAAGAAAAAAAGGTTACCGCAGTTTAATTTCGCAAAAAAACTGCAAATTGATTTCACAGAAAAGCGCACTGTAAGTTTAGTAAACGTAATAAGCGTAATACCCGTAATGAGCGTAATAAGCGTAATAAGTATATTTAATATAAGTGCAGAGATACAACAATACTATGAATCGGAGCCTGTATATGACAATTGTTCAACTCTTATGCTTTGTATTATGCAATTGTGTCAGACAGTTGCTGTTGATAATTGCTTAAGTTGGATACGACATTCTGAACACTACTCGCACCTTTTTGTTAATAACGAGTTGGATCACAAAGAGAAAAAAAAAAGGTATCGTCTCTTTCAAATTCATATTTGTCTTTTGATAAAAGTCTCATAATAATTTTTACTGTGTCTAATTTGAAAGCCTGCAATAGTCTCTACTAAAAAATGTTTTCGTCCCAATAAGATTTTCATATCGGCTCTAATTTATTTACAATATGTCTCTAAAAAAATTTGCAACCGTCTCGTTTTAGGTTAAAACCTGTAGCGTATATAACTCAGGAGATACTAGATTAAAGAAAAACTGTATAAATCCGAACATTATACCTATTGATCCGTAAGATTCCCAAGAACTTACCAAATTGATTATGCCCCCAAGGAAATGAATACATTTTTAAATCATAGCATCTTATCGAATCAATTGAAATATGATTGATTCTGGTGGAGGATAATGTTGTAAACACATAACTCTGAGTTACATAACATTCAAATAAACAACCATTCAACGGGAAAACACAATAAATGTGATACAAAGTTAAAGATGTTAGTAATTAGTTATTAAGTGAACATAACATATGCCCACAGAATCAATTATGTATTAACTGAAAATAATACAATACAATAGCAAATATTATACTGTTAGCAGTACCATCATGTAAACTTCATCGTTATTTAAAATGGATTATTCGGCTCAAGTAACACTAGCCAATAAAGCTTGATCTGCTGTCAAAGTACAATGACAGTCATATACTTTTATCCTCAATGATTAAGTTGGGGCACACACCATCTAATCATATCCTGCTCTACACCAAGCAATTACTAATTGTACACACTATCTAACTCCAATTCATATAAATAGGTTTAGTTTTATTTGATCTTTTGTTCTTTACTTATATTTTAGTTTTTAACGATAATAAACTTTACAAACCCCAAGGGATTCTCACTTGCTTCTTTTGTCCCTTCGCATTGTTTATTATTACCATTCACAACAGATAGCCAATAAAAACTTTTCATTATTAATATATATGTATAGATACATATTCATTTGGTATGTAGAATAGTTATATTGCTGTTATATACAAATTCTGGGTTTAATAAAAGAATGCATAGTTAAAGATCATAGTGACAGGTATAGATTATATGTCAAAGCATATTTGGTAGTTAGAATATAGTAACAAGTTCAAACTGCGACAATTTTAATAAAAGGATTAAAGGAGACTCATTTCACTTAACCACTTTGTGATGGAACTTGATATTTTAAAGAAAAAGAGAAAGAAAAAGATAAAGAAAAAGAAGAGAGAAAGAGAACAAAAGGTAGTATGGTTTGAGACTGTGTTTCATTCAATAAAGAAAAGTAAAATAAAAAAATAAGAATTGAAGGTTAAAGATCATTCTGTGTCTACACAACTGCTTGTATTTATTTAATGAATCCTGAATTAAAGAAATGAAAAAGATAAGTCATGAAACAGTGTCAGTATTCAGATATACATCTTGTTGATTCAAGAGACTGATTTCTATGGATTATCTATTGTTTGATCTGAGTGTATGTTCCTGATATTTTTTATAGTTTTATTTTATTGGATCAAAGACGACCTGAATCCTTTGTCGAGGTTATAAAAATAAATATTTTAGAAATGATACGATGTCTTATTTAGTTGATACATCTAGACGATTGGATGTCAATAAGAAGTTTTATATTATTTACAAGATGTTATATACAGAGTTTTATTTCATATTCAGGCTTACATTTTATCCTGTATTATGTAATTCATCTACTACAATATTACTTATGACTATATCCAGAGCTTGTTCTATAACAACTATAAGTGCGTGTATCTTCCTCCATATTCGCCAGAGCTTAACCCCATCAAGCAATTTTGGACGTTAATTAAACGTAAAGTTAGACGTGAAAAGCTTAAAGATACCGAAACCCTGCAAGAAAGAAGAATTGTTGGTGCTGCGAATGAAGTTCCTATTCAACATTTTGAAAATATAATTCAACATTCAAAGAACCAGTTTGATAACTGTTTGAATCATATTCCAATTTAATACCTAATATTTTTATTTAAAATAAAGTGTGAAATGACCCTCTCACAATCCACGAATTGAACTTCAAACAACCAGTTTTTTTTATTTTATTTTATTTTTTTTTTTTTTTTGGTGAGACCTCCACTATTTATTTGAAAACCTGTACTTTTTTTAGCTATAACATTTGGTTATAGCAAAGGACACTTTTGATTGGCTAGTTGTTAGCTGTTCAACTTGATATTCTAAAAACTATAACGCGTTGTTATAGCTGTGTTATACTGTTGTTATAGTCAAAAATTTTATGGCAGACGGTGTCAAATCGTTTAAGTGATTCCCTTTTAATGCTACAACAACGCCTCTCTGCTTCTTTATGTCTTCTCTGCGCAATTTATACGCTCTGTCATGAGCTGGCTTATAATGTCATGTTTCATGATTAAACATGCAGATCATAAATTTATTTAAAAATTCTATCCTGAATCTCTCTTGATCCGCTCCATCTAATAATATTAAAATCACTAACACTTTATTATCAACAACATACCTTATTCGGTCGTAACTAACACTTTTTTGATTCGAATCTTATCTTAGACTTCTTTAACAATTCTTATAAATACTCATCAATTTAAATTCATAAATAAAAATGATTGACTTTAGAACTATTGTTCCGTCTCATTGACTTTTTTTTTTTTTTTTATCTTTTTATTATTTTCATTTTATAATAATTTTTTTTTGATATTTTACAAGTAATATCACAGTTTTACCTATGATTTTAACAGTTAGGTATTCATATAAGAATATCTAAGATCAGGGAGGCATTAGAAAAATATTAGTTACGACAGAATAATCCTACTTAGTATTGTCAGTAGAGTGTACCAACTTCCTTAAGTTTATAAAACATGAAAAAGTATAATACATAAATAAGTTGAAGCTGCATTCCTTTATACTATTTGTCCAGGTACTTTAAATCTAAAGTTTAATAAAGGAAGAGTAAGTGGCTCTGACTATGCCTATTTATTTCGATGGTCGTTGAATTCTTATAAAAAAAATTATTTGATGATATGAGATTATAGCATATGCATGCATAAAAGGGAAATGTTTTTATTTTTTTTTGAATACCACAACTCGGCAACTACACCTAAAATCTTGGGTTTATAAAGAAAAAAATTGTGGTAAATAAAAAACTTGATCGGAAAGGGTAGCGCCTTTCTGTTGGCCAAGCGGCGATCATGGAGAGATGAACTTTGTTAGCTGTAGATGGGAGTGATTAAATAATAAAATCGGGGTTAGTTCTGAGCTTTGATGATAACATGCTACCTTCCAGGATCCAATGTTCAACACCAGGCCTTCAAATGGAGGTCGATAAAAAGATGTTGTTAAATCGTGGGGAAATTTCCTACCATGCAAGAGAGGAAAGCCCGCAGCATTGAGAGAATTCCTGGGAGTAACACGGCTGTAGTAGAAGCAAACAAGAACAGAATCTAATCCACCTCTACACTACAAAGGACTTCCTCTTCAATAATTTTTTTTCTCATATAAAATAAAAAAAAAATGAAAAAGAAAGGAGGATGGGCTCTAAAGTTAATACGTATTGTGTAGTACAATTGCTATAAAAAGTTACACATTATTTATTTAGAACCACTGTCATACTTGTTGCGGTTACAGAATACTTATAAATTATAATATGTAACAGTAAGGAAACAATATAAACTATTAGTTTGGTTATACACAAAGACTTGAAATAGAAGAAATATTATGTAAAGAATTGACAAACGAAGAAGATGTTATTAAATTTAACAAATTAAAAAGCAACGACATACATGAAAAAACATGAAAGAATAAGTTATCATAAAAAAAAACCTGTATGGCAAAAATAAGCACACAACTTTTTATAGAACACAGTTTTGGGATAAAGAAAAAAAATATTAATTCAAAGACGAGGCAATAGACTCATCAGCGATAGACGAAAATAATAATAATAATATGAAGGCGAATATTAATAATAACAGCAACAACAATATCATATAAATAGCAAATTTTTAATGATGAGGACACAACGAAGGACTGATAACGCAAAAAATAGAATGAAACTGATGGCAGACTTGTTATAGCTGATACATCAAATAAGCTATCTAACATTAAAAATAACTACTTTAATAATAAGGAAGGATATTAAGGATATCGACTTAGTGGCCAAAGCTGATAAAAATGATAGAAGATCTATGAATCCTCTTAACATTGGTAGTTGGGTAAGATATGTAGAGAGCTATAAAAACTTTAGAAGTTATGACAATGATCAAACAAGCAAATCTGCTACCACCTTAGTGAATTCCACGATAAATATTTGGTACCAAAACTTGGCTATATAAGACAAAGAACCTATGGATCGAGGCTATATATCGTTAAAATGAAAGTTATGGGCGTATTTTAAGTTACAAAAAAAAATGCAATTTTGATTTTTGACTTTTGATGTTTTCAGAACGAATTCTAACGTTAAAGCAAATATCATTCATTTCTGATTAATGCACACATAAGTTTCTAAAAATAAAAGTTGGATATCTCTAATATGATGGATGCTGAAGCTTTTGACAAGTTCTTAATTGCTGGTCTCCAATCAGCACGAAACTAAAATCCGTATAATGGATGTAATTGATATGGATCATCCTTTACTTTATTGAGTGAAGTCATTAAAGTCGCTTATCACACATATGAGGATAATTGACAAAAATTATAACAGTAGTGTGAGTTCAAATAATGTGCGTGGTAAGTGTGATGGTATGACTTACAGAAGAAAAGAAAGAGAAAGAGAACAGAAGGAAGTATAGTTTGAGACTTGTTTATTCAATACAAAAAGAATGATATAAGGACTATTTCGTGTCTACACAACTACTTGTATTTATATTAATGAATCCTGAATCAAAGAAATAAAATAACTAGAAAAGAACAAGAGTCATGGAACAATGTTAGTATTCATCTATACACGTCTTGTTGATTCAAGAGACTAATCTGATTAAGTTTTAAATAAAAAATTTATTATTCAATCTGAGTATATGTTCCTGATATTTTTTATAGTTTTGTTTTATTGGATCAAAGACGACTTGAATCCTTTGTCAAGGTTATAAAAATAAATATTTAGAAATGATACAAAGTCTTATAATTGATACATCTAGACGATTGGATGTCAATACGTTTTATATTATTTACAAGATGTTATATACAGAGTTTTATTTCATATCCAGGCTTATAGTTTATCCTGTATTATGTAATTCATTTACTATAATATTACTTATGCTTATATCCAGAGCTTGTTCTATAACATTACTCACCAATAACGATTGTTGGTTCTTCACTTGAATGTATACTTTAAATAAAATAGAGAGATGGAAAAAAAAGAATGAGGGAGGGAGGTGAACCAAACAGGGAATCAAAATGCATGTTGTATAGGGAGCGTATAATTTAATTATGATTAGTCGACAGTGTAGAAGGATTTTTTTTAAATTTTTATGTTTTTATTTCCTAGATACACTATATTTTTAATCCAATAATGCAAAGTAAGCTATTGTAAAATGTATTTAGTCTACTGATGCTTACGTGTTTTTCCATAGTACCTGAAGATCTCCTTTTATTTAAGATACCATCTGATTATCGTCCTGGTGATGACAAACTTAGCAAAATCGTTTTGTCTAATTCAACTATTGTTGATCAAATTCTGAAATCTCTTTTGGATGTTACACCCGGTACTTATACCACTGATAATACTGAGTGGTCAAACGGCTTGAGAAGTGATATCCTTTATGTCTCACGTACCGGCATTTCCAGTAGTCTCCCACCTATACTAATCGAAGTACAAAAACGCGTAGATCAAACCTTCATGGCGAGATTAATAACTTACTCCATCAACGTCTTCATGCGATATAAATGTTATCCAATTGTGTTAATATTCTGTATAGATACAGTGAGTCAAGCTGTTATGCATACATTTGAGCAATCAAACACAAAAGCGAATATGTTTGAAACAATATGTTATAACTGGGCTAAAAAGTGCTATTTAATTTCTAATCGAATCATCGATCCTGCCTTAAGCAACAAAAGTTCTGCCAACATGGATCCCATTGTAGCAATACAGTACTTCTTTGGTAGTCAACAAAGAAACATCATGGCTTTGGATCATTACGATGATGAGACGATTATTGAACTATATACAATCGCCAAAAATGAAACAGAAAAATATGCTAGTGCCAGCGAGTCCCAGTTGAATGCTTTGGCGACAATATGTTCTACTTCTGAAAACCAGTTTAAAAAAATCAGAAACCTTCTTAAAGATGAACTGCCAGCAAACAGCAAAGTTTTTAAATATGTTAATCAAGGTATTGATTACCATTCAAAATTAAAAAGAAAATATGAAGAAATTGTATTTGAAGATAAGGACGAGACAATAACACCAATGGAAGAACCAGCGGAAATCAAATTCATTGAGCCAGTGGTTCGAGATTCGTTGACTAATGAAGAAATAAAGTTCATTGAAAACTTTATCTCGAAAAAAAAAGGCAGAATGTCTTGGAAGATTTGTTGGGAGACTGGTAATCAAGTTGGTTACTTTAAACAATATGGAAATGGGGAGAGCTTACGCGTAACATATTCACGTGTAAAAAAGAGTTTAAAATAAAAGAAATGTAGCAAATGTTGTTGTGGGGTTTTGACTTTATGAATTGTAGATTAAGCGGTTAAGCGAAATGAGTCCCTTTTTTTTTTTTTTTTTTTTTTTTTTTTTTTTTTTTCACATGGCACTTGGGCATGAAGGGGAAAGGAATCAAAAGCAGAAAAGTTAACGAATAGGAAGATATTAAAGAGGGAATCCTACTAGGTTATGTGTTGACATTATTTTGGAAGTGTAATTGCCAAATAAGATTCGAACAAAGGGGCGTAAGAACAACAGAATTAAAAGGCTGATCATCGAAAACCGATCCCCAATGAGCTTTTCATAATCCAAGTAGAACACAACCGGTCACGGACAACAGAGATACCGAAGAGGCTATAGGAGATTTTATTCGTCTGAATTCCCCATAATCCAAAGTGAAAACTAGAGACAGTAACTGATGAGAATTGATCTGTAGGTCTGGGAAAAAAGAGTTTATAATCGTATGCCATACATATCGTCTAACTGGACATTCATAGATAAAGTGTTTTAGAATATCCTCAGGGTGATGGCAATGAATACATGCAGACGATGGATGAGTATCTGGGACCAAGTAGTGAAGAAGCCTTTTGGTAGGGATCTTCTTATGGATTGTTCGAAACCACACTATGTGGGCTGCAGGAGGAAGGGGAATATACCAAAATATGTCCCATTTTGTTGGACTAAATTCAGTTATAGCTTGAGGTTCAAACAAGGTATTCCGTATCCAGAGGCCTAAGTTTTTGGGAGAATCGAAAAACCGAATAAAAACTGACATTTGTGTTTCGAGAATAGGCCATAACCCATCATCTTGAAGAGGAGGGGTGGCAGTAGGTGCAGTAGTATGCAGATAGTGAGAAAGGTTGGACCCAAGTTGGATTAGATTGGAACCCACGGCCACACGAAACTTGCAGAGTAAAGTGGGGTAGCGTGCCTCCAGATCTGTTCGTTGTCGAAGATAGCCAGTCGCTGTGTCAATGATAAAAAAGTCCTTAGCAATTACTTTAGACATACCGGTAGCATTTTGTGGAAATACTGAGGATAGCAACGACTCCCTTGAAGAAATTTCAGGAGAAAGGGAAAGATAAGTTCGCTTGAGCAATGGTTGGTGGTGGCAATGAGTCGAATGAAGAAAAGATCAATTTAAATGCGTTATTAGTCAGTCGATGAAAACCCTTCCGTCTTGTAGAAAGTAATAAAGGCCATAGGTAAGAAGATGAGCCTTCAGTAGCAATGAGAGATAGATCATACTTGATATACAGAGTGCTATTATGAAGAGATGTATTACTGCTATATTGTGGTCGTTGTAAAATGGAAGGCGAAATTACAAGGTCGGCCAACCAGCGCCAATGTAATTTCAATTGTTATACCATGGGATCCAACACACCCAAGCCGCCATTATACTTGTACGGAACTAAGTTACGGTAAGCTATACGAGGAAAACGAGAAGCATTGATGAATGAGCCACATATACCCCGGATCCGATCAATCTGAGATTTTGTGAGGGGAACCACCCTTAGCATATGCCATAGTTTTGAGAGTAGCAGCGTGTTGATTACTACCGTTTTTCTGATTACCGACAGGTTACGCTCAGAATGGATTTGACAGGTGATTTAAATTTTCTGGATTAACTGGTCAACAGCATAATTTCTCTGACTCACATTAGAATACAGAGGGTAGCCAAGGTATTTCAATGCTTGTGGAGAGTGTTTATCATGTCAAGAAGTAATAGGGGAAGCCTGAGAGGCCAAAAAAGAAATCCAATTTTGATTAGAATTACCAGATAAAGAAAATGCTTGAGTTTTGACAAAGTTCAGTTTCGCGGTAGAGGCAAGTGAGTATTGGTGGATCAAAAATTCCAAACGATGAAAATCATCATGATCTTGAAGCAGTACCAGAGTGTTATCAGTATAGGCCATCACCTTGAGGGGAGGGAGAGAATATCCCGATGCAAGATCAGGAAAAGTAAATCCTCGAAGCATTGAAGATTGTTGAATAGACCTCAGAAAAGGATCAAAAGCGATGTTAAACAGCAAAGGCGAAAAAGGATCCCCCTGACGAAGCCCGCGTTGTTGAAGAACAGGGGCAGAGAGATGACCATTAATGTTGATGTGAATATTCGTGTTGAAAAAAAGAGAACAAAGAGAGGTGATAATCAGGTCAGGAATACCAATTTTTTTCATCATGTGAGCTAGATACATTGGATGAATACGATCATATGTTTTCTCTTGGTCAAATAACAAACCAATGGCGGTCGAGGAAGTATGTTCAGCAATAGGCATAACAGTATTAAGATTTTTCTCATTTTTGCCTATAAAGCGATGTGGCATAAAGCCCATTTGTTGTGGACTGATAGAGTAGTTAAGATATTTCATTAAACGAGCATTGAGAAGACGGGTGAAAATTTTGGCATCGGTATTAATGAGGCTGATAGGGCGATAATTATTTAAATTCTTAAGGTCACCTTTTTTAGGCATTAGAATCATACAAGCTTTGTTCCAACTTGCAGAAAATATGCTTTTCGACAGCGTATTGTTGTAAACCTGAATAGCTACTCGACGTGTAGCTAAACTGTTTAAGATATGAAACAAAATCTGATAGGGTATTCCATCCGTGCCTGGGCTACTTTGATTTGGAGAACGTTTAACGGCGTCGAGTAAGTCCTCACTACTAAATGGTTCCATCAAAGATTCCCACTGCTTGTCGTTTAGAACTGAAGAAGGGTCAATAGTTTTAGCTAAATCCTCCACAGCCTGTAGATCGATGTTGTCGGATGTATATGACTGTTGATAAAAAATTCGAGCTGCCTCTGTCAAAGTTCCCGGAAAAGTGCACGAAGCAGAGGTAATCGGATGAGTTAAATTTGGTATGAAACTTTTGGTTAAACGAGTAGCTATAGAACATTTAAGATATGCAGGAGACGATTCGCCTGTTTCTCTCCAAAATTTCTGGACACGTAGAGAATCATTATCTACCATCTCCTCCTGTAGTCTCTGCTCTGAATTTGGGTTTCCACTCTGTAGAGTCTAAACTGTATTGTACCATAGCAAGAGAATTGGCTGTCAAAAATCTCATGCCGTTTCTGCTGTAACCGTTCTAACTGTTTTCTGCGCCAATTGGCATGTGTACGACTAAATTTACGAGCCACCTTCGTAACTGTGGTTTTAATGGAATCCCATTGAATTTGCGGGGTGGTACCCAAGCGGAAAGAGTTACATTGACTCACAAAACCGGCCCAATGTTTTGCACTCTTCCCTTTAATGATGTATTACTTATTATTGGGACAAGCTACATACACAATTCTTATATCATTATAATCGTTGAAAAGCTGTCTATATAGATATAGTCGAAAATAGAAATACTATTTGAAACTCAGAAAGAAATTAAAGTTTAAAATCATGATGTACATTGGGCCGGTTTTGCGAGTCACTGTACGCCAATTACGGCTATTACGGCTATTACGACTATTACGGCTGTGATGGAACGTAGATAAAAAAATAAAAGAGAAAATAGAAGAGAGAGAAAGGGAACAAAAGGAAGTATAGTTTGAGACTGTTTTATTCAATTAAAAATAAAGAATAAAAATTGAAGGTTAAAAGAAAGTTAAAGAAAGAAGTTAAAGATTATTTTGTGTCTAAACAACTGCTTGTATTTATATTAATGAATCCTGAATCAAAGAAATAAAAATAACCGTCAAAGAACATGAGTCATGAAACAGTGTTAGTATTCGGATATACGTCTTGTTGATTCAAGAGATTGATCTATGGATTATCTATTTGGTGTTATAATGATCTGATCAAGCTTTAAATAAAAATTTACTGTTTGATCTGAGTATATGTTCCTTATATCTATTTTATTGGCTCAAAGGCGACCTGAATCCTTTATCAAGATTATAAAAATAAATATTTATAAATGACACGATATATTATTTAGTTGACACATTTAGATGAGTAGATGTCGATAAGTTTTATATTATTCACAAGATGTTATATACAGAGTTTTATTTTATATCCAGGCTTATATTTTATCCTGTATTATGTAATTCATTTACTATAATATTACTTATGATTATATCCAGAGCTTGTTCTATAACAACGGCTATTACGGCTATTACGCCAATTACGTCAATTACGCCAATTACGCCAATTACGGATATTACGGATATTACGGATATTACGGATATTACGGATATTGCTATTTAGACCTGAAGAACAAAATAGGAAATGTTATTATGCTAGAATCTTCTTGAATCTTTATTTAATAGCGAATTCAAAGATATATAAAGGAATAAAATTTTTATATTATACTATCAATCGAATTTGAGCTCGGTCAAATAATAAGAAAGAAGGGAGGGAAAAACTAAATATAATAAAGTAAATAAAAAATTTTTTGAAGGGTGGGCATAATAACATTTCCTATTTTGTTCTTCAGGTCTAAATAGCAATTCTCAGTCGAAAGAAATTTCTCGAGAGAATTTCTTGAGACCGTCGGAACAAAATAGGAAATGTTATTATGCTAATCCAGAGCTTGAAAGGAATCAGAAGCATCAAAAAATTCGTCTTGACTGGATAGAATCGTCGATGTAAAGTCAACTTGCGCCATTTGATTCCGCTGGTAATGACGAACAAATGTTTCTGATGAAGCCCAGTTACCAAGAGCCACAATGCTGTCTCGAGAAATACCTAGATCTAATGCCCTAGAAGATGCCAACGATCGAATAGAGACCCCATGTTCATTTGTACACAAAGAGATGAAACGACGATGTAACCACTTAGAAACAGTCGATGCGGATAACGGTTCTTTTATATTGTTAGACTTGACAAAGAGAGTCGAATTGTCTGGACGAGCTTGTAGTGCCGGATGATCTTGGATTGCTTTAAAGCATTGAACGGGACATAATTCATAATCCTCGGTATGTGGGTGAACCGTGAAAGGTTTGATAATACGGCGTTTACTACGAGTTTCTTTCGGTGCGACCACTTGAAACTGAAGATGACCATTTTCTAGTACGGAACACGATGCATAGGGGATACGAACCAGGTCAGACGGACGGAGAAAAGCAGCCATTGCCAGGAGAAAAGCCAATTTCTGTTGCAACAACAGGATTGGAGTAGAGGATCTAGAAGCAATAGATCGAGCATAGGCGAAAGCTGGAGACACATCAATAGTCGGCCGGTGTATAGACACTGGAGGATCTTCCTTTGACATATGGTCTATATAAGAGTTAATCAGTTCACTTTCACTAATACTTTTAGAGTTGTCATGGAGATGAGCCACCGCTGTACGTAAAGACTTAAGAGTGGAAGCCAGTAGATTATGCTCTTGACGCATGTCAGCCAGAAAGTTTACTAGATCTGTAGGAGTGTAAGCCGTATAAGAAATCCCATTATTAGTAGCCCAGGCCAGAAATCGTAACTGACTCTTACGGTAGCCCCGATTAGTCCCATTGTTTGCCAACTGCCTTACTAGTAGATCCTCAACCGCTTGTGCATTGAGGTTTTTATGCACTAGTTTATTCCTGATAATGTCCACACGGAGAGCATCCAATTCCGAGGTAACAGTGGGTGTGGAGTCTTGGGGGATGTCGTTTGCACCGATTGTGGGGGCAGGAGCCATGGATCCGTTAGTGCTAGACGTTGAATTAGAGGAAACCAAATCGCGCTGGGCCAGTATGGCACAACTAGAGTGGCCCGGGGAAGTTTTTCTCGTATAATCTTGTGGAGTACCCGAGTGATGAGGTTCCAAGGTGGATTGATGTAAGGATGTGGAAACTTCGTCCATGGGATGGTAAACGCATCCGTATGGATAGCGTCCGGATCGGGAAGCCAAGACACGTACTTTGGTAACAGTTTGGTTGTCCTGTCGGCGAAGAGGTCGATCGAGAACGGGCCCAACAGTTGATTCATCTGGTGGAAAATCGATGGGCGGATTTGCCACTGATTCTTGAAAAATGTTCGACGAGATTCCATATCGGCTATAGTGTTGTGTATTCCACTGATATGTTGTGCTTGAATCATTATCTTGTTGTGAAGGCACCAATTCCAAACTTCGGTTGCCAGTTCCAGTAATGGGAGAGAACGTGTCCCGCCTTGTTTGTTGATGTATGAAAGACTGGTGGTGTTGTCTGTCCTGATCAGCACTGTAGAGTTCTCCGGAATAGGAAAAGTCTTGAGAGCCAGGTGGGCCGCTTTGAGCTCTCTCCAATTGATTGATTGTTCCGCCTCCATTGAAGTCCAATAACCGTGAGCTCGATGCTGTTTCCAACTGCAGCCCCAACCCGTATCGCTCGCGTCCACAAAAATAGTTTGAGTCGGTGTTGATGGTAGGAATGAACGACCGTTCCATTTCTTGAGGTTGTGATACCACCATGAGAGTTCCTCCAGACTGGCTTGATCTAATGGTCGAGGTTTGTCCCAATCGGCATCCGTCTTGACCGTTTGATTCTTGTAATATAGGAGATGTCGAGTATACAGTCGAGCTGGAAAAATTGCAAACGTAGCTGCCTGTATTCGCATCGTCAAGCTGTGTATTACTCGAGGAGTTTGACGATTGGGCTTGTCCAACACTTGCTTGATTGATCGCCGGATGTCGCGAAGTTTCTTGAGAGGGAGAGACGCTGTCATCTTTGTGGTATTCAATACAAAGCCGAGGTGTTCTAGTTGTTGCGTGGGTGTTAAGACCGACTTCTTGAAGTTGACGAGCCAACCTAGTTGTTGAAGAAGAGAAACCACCTTTTGAGATTGTTGAAGAGCTAATTCTTTGCTGTCTGCTACCAAGAGCCAGTCGTCCAAGTAAGCAGAGATCCTGATGCCTTGACAGCGTAGGTGTTCTAAAATGGGCTTGCAGACTTTGGTAAAGACATAGGGACTTGAGGCTAAACCAAAAGCGATTGTACGATACTGGTAGACTTGACCTTTCCATTTCAGACGTAAAAACCGTCTTGAGTCTGGATGGAGACCTATATGAAGGAATGCGTCCGATAAGTCGATTGAGACTAGGTAATCGTTTTGATGGATCATTAATGATACTTCTCGTAATGTGTCCATTTTGAAATGAGGAGCGTGAAGGTATTGGTTGAGGCGCTTGAGATTGAAGACTGGGCGAATGCCTCCATTTTTCTTGGGGATGACAAACATGGAGCTGTAAAACCCTGGTGTTTGTTGAACCGATTCTAGGGAAACAGGTTCTATTGCTTGTTTGGATAAGAGTTCTTGGATGGTCTGATCGATCAGAGGTATTTGATCTTGAGATAGAGGGTGAAAGGATGTTGGATTTATTGTTGTAGGTGGAGTAGTATGAAAATGAATCTTGTAACCGTGTTGAATTATGGTGTCGACGAATGAGTTGATGGGAATTTTTGTCCAGTTTAAATAGTATTTGCTGAGACGACATCCTACTGGGTCGAGTGTTGTAGCTGTAAGTATTGATGTGGTTACTGACGAAATGGGTTGGTGTTCTTCCTGTAGTTGTAGTTGTTGTTGTTGCCACTGTTGCTGTTGTTGGGACGAGAGCTGCTGCTGCTGCTGCTGTTGTTGTTGTTGTTGTTGTTGTTGTTGTTGCTGTAGTTGTTGTAGTTGCTGTTGGTGTTGTTGAGAAAACCACCCTGCTGCGAGGGTGGACCTGCTCGAAAAAACTGCTGATTGGAAACGTTTGAGGAAGAGCTGTTCAAGCCAGAATTACCATTTTGGAAGCGACGACGTTGGCGTTTGTTGATGGTTGCTTCCCGAGTGGCCTTTCTTGCCGCAGTCTGTTGAATCAGAGTATCGTGGAATACATCCAAAGGGAGAGTGTAATTAACTTCATTTGTAGATTTCATGGAGAACGAAGGATCAATCGCACGAAGAGCAATGTTATTACGGGTTTGCGTCATTGATGCACCGAGATGTAACAACAATTTTCGGATATCCTGAAGCATGGTACAATAGCGTTCCAAGTTTGGATTGCCAGCTTCGGATGAGACAAGTTCATGACTAAGAATGTCAAGGGGACGATAAACTGCAGATAGCAAATATTGAAATTGCTTGATGGAATTGTCTTCGTAACGTTGGCCTTTATTCATAAGGCGCTCCGCTGTTGGGATGGTAGCGGGTGCTTTGTAATCCAAATGGGCCATGGGAGGGTAAGACTCAATGATCGTCTTACGTTCGGAGTCAGTAAGTAAAGGTGAAGTGTTCAATGGAGCATTTAAGTTCATCAGTTCAGCAAGACCCTCTGAAGGGGACCAGTCGTAATGGGGTCGGGTACCCATTGAGTGTAGAGGTAAGATAGCAGTGTCATCCGCTGACTGCATCGAGGTAGTGGTAGCATTCTGTAATTGTTCTTGTAGGGCAGCGATCTGTTGCTGCATCATGTGAAATTGTTCTTCAAGGGAGGACATTGAAAATATTAGGAAAAGAAATTTTAGGAAAGAAATATTTGCAACTTTATAGGAAAGTGTGTGACAAATAAGCTGGTAATGACCGAGCGAAAAAGAAGATTGATAGTATAATATAAAAATTTTATTCCTTTATATATCTTTGAATTCGCTATTAAATAAAGATTCAAGAAGATTCTAGCATAATAACATTTCCTATTTTGTTCCGACGGTCTCAAGAAATTCTCTCGAGAAATTTCTTTCGACTGAGAATTACGCCAATTACGCCAATTACGCCAATTACGCCAATTACGCCAATTACGCCAATTACGCCAATTACGGATATTACGGATATTACGGCTATTACGGATATTACGGATATTACGGATATTACGGCTATTACACCAATTACGCCAATTACGGATATTACGGATATTACGCCAATTACGGATATTACGCCAATTACGGATATTACGCCAATTACGGCTATTACGGACATTACGCCAATTACGCCAATTACACTTGTTACGACTATTACTGCTACAGTGACTCACAAAAGTGTGGCAATGTTTTATGATTTTTAGCTTTCCTTAATGCACAACATAAATGAATAAAGATACATTAATAAAAGTATTTTTAATGGAAAGTTGACAAAATTTACATTATTTTTATAGCTTCTTAGTCTCATTTACATCCATGAATGTTTATTTCGACAGCGATCATGTCCTTTTATACGATTTAGCCATTTCGCTGCATGATAATTTTTTCTTTATCTATTTTTTTTTTTTTTTTTTTTTTTTTTTTTTTTTTTTTTTTTTTTTACAAAAACACCATTTTTTTTTATTTTAAGTTATATTTCATATTATTATTGAATTAACAAAAAGGTTTACTTCCTATTTAATATCGTTTTTCTCTCAAATTCATTACTAATCTGAACAACATTTGTGCATCATTCCCACTAACACATAGATCATCACATACATTAGAATGAGACCAATTCCTTATGATAAAAAGTTGGATATTTTAGCAAAACTTAATGCTAAGGAGTCTTATGGGGATATTTCCAAGGCAATGGGTGTTTCAATTAGCACAATTGACAGAATTGCCAAAGAAAATCAAATTAAGATTAACGTAAAAGAAGGTAGACCAAAGAAGATTAGCCCATTACTTACTTGGAAGGTTGATTGCGCGATCTTTTTATATTGGTCATTTTATCACTGCCCGGAACTTACATGGTCAAGGGTATGATATTTCCGCGCAAACCATTCGCAGATTCTTAAAATCGTCTAACTTTGATTCGAAGATTAAGAAATCTGCATTACCATTGACGAATGAGTGTAGACGAAATCGTCTAAAATGGGCCAGAGCTCATAGAAACTGGACGGTTAAGGATTGGAAAAAGGTCGTCTTTAGTGACGAAACAAAGATAATCATTTGGGTTCAGATGGAAAGCAATGGACATGGGTTAAAAAGGGTGAACCTCTAAAAGACCATAACATCAACTGTAAGTACAAAGGTGGGGGTAGAAGCTTAATATTATGGAGTTGTTTCACGCAACATGGTCCTGGTTTTATTGCCAAGATTGAAGGCGGGATGGACTCGCAATTATATTGTGAAATATTAAAAGGTGACTTTATGGAGACGCTCACGGATTATGGCCTTTGTAAGAAAGATGTAATCCTTCAACAAGACAATGATCCGAAGCATACATCTAAATATACAAGAAATTGGTTCAAAAGAAATAAAATAAATGTCCTTGAATGGCCATCATACTCACCTGATCTAAATCCAATTGAAAACCCTTGGTTTTATTTGAAGTGCAGGCTTGCTGCCTATGATAGTCCACTAAAAAACATGGATGAGTTACGGGAGCGAGTTGCTGATGTTTGGTACCATAAAGTTACAGCCGAACTATGCTTAAAACACATAGAAAGTATGCCAAGATGTGTTGAAGCAGTAATTAAAGCAAAAGGTGGTGCTATCAAGTACTAAACATAAAAGGTACGTTATTCATTTCATTTTTCAATAAACTATTTGCATTAAATCTTTATACACATAACTTTTAAGATTATTTTTTCAAAGAAAAGCATTATATAATGAATATATGCTATAAGTATCATCAAAAAGAGGCGACTTCTGTCTTTCTGCCAGTATATACTATATAGTACTTTACTTAATAAATAGACGATTTGTTATTGCCGATTTGCATAAATTACCTAAAATTCTGAAACATTGCCACACTTTTGTGAGTCACTGTAATTATTTGAATCAGATATAGCATTTGAAGCATAATTGACAGCTGAGATTAATTGATCAGTCAGGTTCTTTATTATCAAGGTTAAACGAAATTCATAATTATCTATTGGATATGTCTATGGTTTTATAATATTAAATCAAAAAGTTTTACTCTTTTTCAGAAGACATAAATAAGGATCCATTTTATATAACTTTGAAAGACGGATTTTTTGAAATAAAAGAATTGAACAAAGTTTTCACAAACTTTCTATTTTTCTTATATTTTTTTTCTTTTACCTTACCTTATTTTTTCCTTCTTAATCAACATTTTTTTCTGTGAATCACTTACTAACTATGAATCCTACTTCTGCTTCTGGTGAAACTGGTACTGCTACTTCTATTGCTATTAATTCTGTTGGTGATAACTCTTTCCCTGATGGTTCTTCCTTGTCTTCTTCTGCCATGGTGGATAATTTCTTGGAATCTCAGTCTCCTGTATCTATGGTTATAGACAGTCGAAATTCTGTGGTCTCTGTTGAAGAGCCTAAATCTATCGTAGCATTCGCCCTGGAAGAATTTAGGAGTGAGATGAATGACATATTTAAAACCTTGATCTCAGCAAGAATCAAAAGTGATCAAAAGGCAATTGATGAAGCGTTAAAGAGGATGGAACAAACTAAACTAGCTCTAAAGAGCATCGAGGAATACCATACCCTTGTTAACAGTGAACAGCGTTTGAATAAAAATTCAAACAGCATTAATAATGAAGTTGGCCTTACTTTGAACCGAAGAGATTTGCCAAAGTTCCAATTGAGTACTGCGGTTATCAAGCATTATCCTAATGAAGAATCCTTTGAGTCAGTTGAGCACTTTTTAAGAACTTTTGAAAAAGTCATTACTTCGTCCACAATTGATATAGAAAAAGTATGGAAAAAGTACTTACCTTTGTGCTTGCCACCTGGTGACGATCTGTGGATAGAGAATACCTTGCTGAAATGCAAGAATTGGAAAGAAGCCAGAGAAGCTTTTAGCAAGCATCATGGATCGACAATTGTAACAAGAAGATTTATGGAACAAGTCTTTACCATGAAAATGCATCCAAAGGAAAGTATCGTTGAATATTCAAAAAGATTTTTGCAAACCATGTACAATGCAGGCATCCCTCGTGATGACAGACGGGTAGCTGACCGTTTTCTAGCTTCCTTGATAATACCTGTACAAACGGTTATTAGAATGGCTATTGCCAGCATCAAGAGGAGTGTTGGAGAAGAAGGCACGAAAGATTGGACAGTAGAAAGTCTTACGGAATTGGCAAGAGATATTCTAGGTGATGATAATTCAGCCTACAAGTATGCTACAAGCTTAATCCCAGGTTCTTACTCGGGATTGAAGAAGGCTATAGCAAGAGTCGAAGACACAATCCAAAGAAACATATAAAAGGAAATAAACTCAAAATTCAAAAGCCTGAATCCTGTTTTTGTAAGCATCATGGAAAAAACCGAACTCATAACTCAGAGACGTGTTCCTCCTAACCTCTAAAGTTAAAGAAAATTTTAAACTTACAGAACCTAAAAAAGCTGTAAAGAAGAACGAATGTTTTGTATGTGATGAAACGTATACACCCGGTCGTAAGTGTAAAAAACTTGAAAGTAAAACTGTTCTCGCTGTTGCTTCTGGTCCTGCCCAAGAAGATATTGAGGCAATGGAAAAAGAATTAAATATGGTGGAAACACCTTTAATTAATAATAATTCAGAGCACACCATAATGGAAGATCAATATGAGTGTAAGTTTCCAAATAAAAAGAGAATGAGTAATAAAGAAAATGAAACTAATCCATTTAATTTTCTGACTCCTATTAGGATAGAGAGGACAATCTTAAAGGGTCGCATTGATTCTGGTAGCTCTGTTAGTTTCATTGATGCAAATATTTTTAAAAATAAACTGAATTTAAATAAAATAATAAAACTTAATGGTACTTATAACTTTTTAAATGATAATAATAATGTTTCTCGTATTGGTAAGACTGAACCATTGACTGTTGAGTATACAAATGGTATCAAATTTAAACATTCTTTTGAGATTATAAATTTCAATCGAGAATTCAATTTTGATGTACTGTTAGGAGTTGATATACTTACGAAATTAAATATTTCACTTCATGGTGTAGCATATAAGTTGGATGATGACTACAAAGAGAACGTAGACAATTTTAATAATATTAATCATGATGAGGAGAAAAAGTACTTGCCTGATGAGTCCCCGGCTGGAACACCAGAGCAAAGAAAAACATTTATGATGTACATAAAATCCACTATTAATGAAAACCAGAATATTCCTGAGACATCATCATGTCCAATTAAAGAATCAATTGTTCATTTACCTACTCCTCCTGAAGCAACTGCTTATAGACGTCAATATCCTGTCCCAATTGCTTTACGACCAGTTTTAAATGAGCAAATTAAAACATGGTTACAAAAGGGAATTATTGTGAAATGTAAATTAAATACCTCATTTAATAGTCTATTGCTGTTAGTACCAAAGAAATCAAAGACCGGTAAAATTACTGGTCATAGAGTATGTTTGGATGTAAGATTATTGAATAAAATTTTGCCCCCAAGTTTTAATTATCCAGTGCCGCTAATTAAGGATATCTTCCGGAATTTAGCAGTAAAGAAATATTTTACGACGATTGATCTGTCAAATGCCTATCATAGATTTGAGGTGGCTAAAGAAGATCAACATAAACTTGCATTCACGCATCTAGATGGTAATCAATACATGTTCGTCAAAGCTTGTTTTGGACTTAAATTTTTAACATCACAATTTCAGAAGGTCCTTTCTATATTATTTGAAGGTATGACTTGCGTACAGAATTTTGTAGACGATTGTGTAGTTGCCAGTAGTACTATAGAGCAACATGCCAAAGATGTAAAAATGGTTTTAGAAAAACTAAATAGTGCGAATTTAATTATAAATCCTGATAAATGTAGCTGGTGTCAACATTCTGTAAGATTGCTTGGCTTTGTTGTAGATGCTAAGGGCACAAGAGTTGATACAGTTTTGATTAGCAAAAAGACAAGGAAAGAAAAATGAACAGAAGAAAGGTCTGTGAGAACTTTGTATAGTTTATTAAAAATAATACAAAAATTGTAAAACGAAAGTTTATATGGAAAAACATGAGGGTTATTTATATGTTTTTACAAGTTAAGTGTTGTTAATGGAAATATGATTCAGATAAGCAAGTTTTACCATAATAAAGTGTTTTACATAAAACATTGTCTCCGAATAATTCTGCGATCAATAAGATATATCTTTATTCTTTTTTCTCCCTGAGTTGTCGCTGTTCCTAGATGCATAATGAATTATTATCACTGGGGTGATCAACACATCAATATTAATTCTCAGTGAATATGTCTAGCTGCAACAACACCAATTATTTATGCATTACTATCATTATCATTGTATAAGATCTTATTAACAATATTCAATATTATCAATGTATATATGATATGTATTACTCATGAATAGTTATGTAATTGAATACACCAGTCATAATCCTGTTTTAATTATATATATAATTATTTTTAAATGCTTGAATATTCTAACAATGACTATTATTAAAACTGAATGTAGAATGAATATTATGCTGTGAAGTTCAATATACTAGTTTTATGTGAATAACCTCTTTATTATGTAATAAATGATGGTTTATTTCTATTAACTTAGTTGTAAAGACGACTACAATCATAACAGACCCAATAGAGGGTGTATTGACAGATATTATCGATCGGAACATAGTTCTCACCACAATAACGAGCCAAACTGCCTACTTGGCTGCTAAACTAGAGGATATCAAAAATACCGAAATGAAGGATGTACCTGTTAATAAGGTCAAATTAGCGAAATCACCCGCTAACAGTACTTACAGAAACTATGACGACCACACGAGAGAGAAGTTTATTGAACGAATGATCGAAGGTCCCGTCAAAAGAGGAAGAGTGTCAGCAGTTGCAATAGACTTAGGAATAACACCTACTACTGCTAATCGTTGGTGGAAACTTTATCAAGAGACAGACGACGTTCTGTATAAGAAATCAGAGAGAAATGTTGGCCGACCTCGTACTTTTACTGAGGAACACGAGGAATACATTCAAGAAATAGTGGAGAAAAATCCATAATTGTGTGCTGTTGATATTATTGACTCGTTGACTTCCAAGTTCGAAGGCTTTTCAATTTCCAAATACCAAATGAATCATCACTTGAAAAACAATATGTTCATCACCGTAAAGAAGCCAAACTTTGAAGAAAAGATCAGAATCTCAGACGATAACTTACAAATGAGATATGAATGGTTCATGAAGTGGAAGGATTCATACCTAGGCTTCGATAAAAACTGCATTTTCATTGATGAGGCTGGCTTTAATATCAATATGAGGAGCAACTGGGCAAGATCATTTATAGGAAAACCTGCCTTTGTAGAACTTGATAAGGCTCGTGCACCATCTCATACTATCATCGGTACTATCCACTCCTCCAGTGTTATTCATGTCATAATGAAAAAGCCCCCACCAAGGAAAGAAAAGGCCCCAAAACCAGTGGCAGGTAAAAGAGGAAAATCTAAAAAAAGAAAGCTTGCAAAGGGCAAAGAAAGAGCAGGCGAAATAATTATTGAGGAAACTGTTGTAGAGTATGTCGAGGTTGAAAGCATTGTTGACGCTGAAGCCAAAAAACCCCTCTCTAAAGGCACGACTACGGCTCATTTCATAAAGTTCATGAACGAGCTACTTAATATTATGGATATGGACGAAAGTCTAAAGGGTAGCTATCTTGTGATGGATAACTGCACCATTCACAAATCACACCTTATGAATAGAAAAATTGAGAGCAGAGGATATAGAGTCATGTATTTGCCTCCGTATTCACCAGAGCTGAATGCAATTGAAAACTTCTGGGCTCTAGTAAAAAGAAAAATGAAGCGCGAGAACCTTATGACTGAGGAAACTCTATCTCAAAGAATAACTGATGCTTGCAATGATGTATGTGTTAGTGATTTTTGTGGATTCTGTGGTCATTCTAAGCGCCATATCACCTATTGTCGAGATAAAATGCACTTTTAATCAATCGCCAATCTATAACCGCCGAAGTAATTTTTCCATTAGGCCAATAAAATATTTTAAAATAACCGATCATTTTTTATTATTTCGCTAAGTTATTTTTTTATTAGCTCCAAATTATTTTTTTATTATCACCATTTTAATTTCTAAATCAGCCAATATTTACCAACCTTATTGTTAATAAATACACATACACATATATATTGTTACACACGAATATATATTTACAACTACAACTATTAGAATGAGTAAAACATATATGTTCAGGATTCAGGAAATCAGAAGAACCAGCATTTCGAGGATCTTCATGAGCACGACTCGTTTTTATCTTGATACCCGTTGTAGGACTATAATAAGTTGGAGATATACCTTCCTCTTCAATAAAACGTTCCTCTAAAGGATAACCCTCTGGTGCCAAATTAAGTCTAATCATTGTGGGTTGACGTTTTTGTGTTATATGAATATTAACAATCGTCTTTCCTGCTGGATTATTGACAGGTAATCGAGATGGTACAAACCGATCAATTCGTGCAAAAGGATTTGTAGGTGAATCAATTGCTTCATAAATATCCCATTCTGTATTCATACCAGCAATTGTATGTCTTTTGTTCATATTTAATGAATTATTATCAATCGTCATATTTTTTTAATATATATAATATATATATATAAATATGTATAAAAAAAATAATGAAGTGAAATAAGATAAAAAAGAATGTTAATCAGAGATAGTCTTTCTTTTTATTATGCAGCAGCAGTAAAATAATATGAAACTTGAAGCCTTTTTTTTTATTAATAAATATAAAAATCAGTCTTCTCTGATACTTACTGTCTGTATATTCCCGTTAAGCTATTTCCAACTGTATGATAAATAAGAAGTATTATTTCCTAGAATATCTATCTGTTCAATCATATTGATCTTTCCTGTTAATAAATAAAAAGTTATTAATATATACACACACATATATATATATATATTTGAAATAAGTCAAGTAGACGATAGTTTTGTCCCAAGAAATGTCCAATATTGACCAAACAGCTGACATGACCAATGAATGAATTTATTAAGGTACTATATACATCTGAACGTTGTTTGTATAAACGCTTCAAATTAGTCTAAAAGCATCTTGGCGAAAAAAAAAAACCACCGGAACTTAGTGGATTATGAATTTACAGTATTACCAAATAAAATGTCTATGCCGTTTCATAATAATATGCTTTGTTTTATTATTAGTGTCACAACATGCACATATCATTATTATTTATGGTTCTTAAATAATCTCCTCTCTTTTAATATCATTACTTTTTTTTTCTTTCTCCTTTCTCTTTTATTTTATAACAAAAAAAAAAAAATGTCGTTTTTTACCAACTTGATTACAGAAGTAAGCAATTTTTTCGATTCATCTACTGATAATGAAGGACAAGATGACTTTATTGAGCAACAATTAATGAATGAAACTCATCGATATAATTCTTTTGCTGCTGTAAGACATAATGCACAAGTAAAATATTATGTTGATGGTCAAAACTATTGCTGGTAAAATAAGAATAAGAATAAGAATAGTAATAATAATAAAAGAAACTTATTTATATGTATTGCAGGGCTGTCTCTGAGGCTATAGAAAATGCAAAAGAATGTATTTATATCGAAGATTGGTGGTTGGTAATATGAATATCTCGTCTGTCTATTCATCTTACTCATTCATTTTTATTTATTTATTTATTTATTATAGACTCCTGAGCTGGTAAATAAAATATATACACATAATATAATCTATTCATATAAAATTGACATACTATATATACAAGTTCATGCGTCGTCCACCTTCTAAATATCCTGAATATCGTCTGGATACTTTATTAAAAAGAAAGGCAGACCAAGGTGTAAAAATTTATGTTGTTGTATACAAGGTAAATTATCCCTATAATTAGAATTAAAAACAGGTAACACAAATTAACTTGTATCATATAAATATATAATTATTAGGAAGTGGAATTGGCTTTGACTTTAGATAGTAGACATACAAAGGATGCCCTTCAAGCTCTAAGTGATAATATTATTGGTACTTTAAAAGCAAATTATAAATACGCACACACACACACATATATATATATGTATGTATATAAAACTTACATTTATTTCAAGTTCAAAGACATCCTGATCATGATATTGGAGGCACCTTCTTTTGGTCCCATCATGAAAAGTTTGTTATTATCGATAATCAAACCGCATTTTTAGGTGGGATTGATTTATGCTTTGGGTAAAAAAAAAAAAAAAAAAAAAAAAAAAAAAAAATCAAATAGAAAGTATACATATAATATGTGTTGTTGTACTTAATATTATTATATAAAAAGTCGATGGGATACACATGGTCATCCTTTAGCTGATTTTAATGGAAATGACCCTGAAAGTGAATTATTTCCAGGTTTAGTAATCATTTAAGTAAACTTTAAATATAAGATCAAATAACTAAATTCATTTATAGGTCAAGATTATAATGATGCTCGTGTAAGAGACTTTGAACACGGTAAGAAGAAGAAGAAAAAAAAAGTGATTCCAAATATACAAAATAGAAACTTATATTAATACCTATTATGTATTATATTATGTCATTCAAGTCAAGGATTGGGATATGCGTCTTATTGATAAAACAGTTATTCCTAGAATGCCATGGCATGATATGTCTTTATGTGTTGTATGTATACACTCATACATACACATATTCACCCTATTTTATTGACGTTGTATTCATCTGATTTTTATATAATTAGATGGGTACTCCTGTATTAGATGTTGCACGCCACTTTTGTGAACGTTGGAACTTTATAAAACACGATAAAGCCATGAACAAAGACGCTATTCCTTTTTTACAACCTCCTTTAGGTGGTATGGGTCATCAACAAAATTATATGGAAGAACATCCTGAAGAACATCATTTTAGGAAAATTCTTTACAGACATAGAACTCACAATGTTACAGGTACTATGAGAGCTCAAGTACTTCGTAGTAGTGCTAAATGGAGTTCGGGTATCGAACTTGAGGTATTTATATCATGATTATTTTCCATATATATATATTCATCATCTTTGTCTCTCTCCCTTCTTAATATATATACACATATATATGTATATTTATTTATATAGCACTCTATTCAAAATGCTTATATTGCTACTATTCTTGCTGCTGATCATTATATTTATATTGAAAACCAATTTTTTAGTAAAGTTTTGTAATATAGAAAAAAAGAATAGGCAATGCTAAAAATGAATTGATTTTTTTTTCTTTTAGTTACTGCTACAGATAATAAGGAAGATAATATGATCAAGAATCAAATAGGTAATGCTATTGTTAAACGTATCATTCGTGCACATGAAGAGCAAGAAAAGTTTAAAGTATTTGTATTGATGCCCTTAATGCCTGCTTTCCCTGCTGATCTTAGTACAAAGGATGCAGCTACTGCTAGGTAGTAAAAAAAACATGTTAATGACTACTGCTACTATTACTACTACAATGATGATAATAATAATAACATTTCCATCATTTCATTTCTTTATTAGATTGGTTATGCATTATCAATATATTTCTATTTGTCGTGGTTCTGACAGTATTGTTGAAAAGCTTAAATCGTGTGGTATCAATCCGGATGATTATATTCGATTTTATAGTTTGAGAAGTTATGATCGTATTAAACGTAGTCAATTGGAGGAATTATTAGTCAAGGCAGCAGGCTATACAAGTACAACTCATCAACAACTATCAAATGCAGATGGTGAAGAAGGTGAGACAGCACAAATAGTTCATCATGCTGGTGATCCAGAATTTGTGGAAGGCACAGAAGGTTCATTTGGTGTAGAAGAAGATGTAGAATATAGTCGTATTCCAAGTGAAAACAATTATAATTATAATTATAATCCTGAAGATGAAGGAATTGCAGCTGATTCGATCGCTAAGGATGCTATGTTGGATGGTGATATCGAAGCTGAGCCTTGGGTCAATGATACACAACAAGAACAACCACGTGATGAAGAAGCAGAAAGAGAAGAAGCAAGTGATTATGTTACAGAAGAACTTTATATTCACGCAAAACTTTTAATTGCAGATGATAAAGTCGTTATCATGGGCTCTTGTAACCTCAATGATCGCTCACAGTGTGGTGATCGTGATTCTGAAATTGCTTTACTTGTTGAAGATCAAGAGACGATACCCTCTCGAATGAATGGTCACTATTATGAGGCCAGTCGTTTTGCTGCTTCCTTAAGACGTAGTTTATGGAAAGAGCATTTAGGTTTACTTCCATGTAACGAACCTGACCAAGTTACTAATAATATGTTACCTTTACCTGTACCTCAAGATGATTATACAGGTACAGAAGAAGATGAACAAGTTATTGATCCTCTTGATGATGAAACACTTGAAAGATGGAATTTTACAGCAAAAACAAATACTGTGGCTTTCCGTGAAGTATTTCATTGTGTTCCTGATGACACTGGTAAATAAATTAAATATATAAATATGTTTATGTATATTTTTACTAAGCGTAGGGTTTTTTTTATTTAAATAATAGTCACTGATTGGGAGGAATATAAAAGCTTTTACCCTGATCCTAACCAAATTGATATAGGACATGTTTATGATCCAGAGATGTCAGTAGAAGATATAAGAGATCGATTAGCTAATATTCATGGTCATTTAGTTGAATTCCCTTATCATTTCTTGGAAAATGTTGATCTTCAAGGAGACTCTATTCCATTCATTGGTGATGATATTCAAGAATTATATACTTGAATAGGAAAATAAGCTTTTATTATTATTATTATTAAAACACGTTTTTTTTTAATAAAAAAAAAAAGAGAACCTTAATATTACATAATATAAGGATTATGAATCATACGGAAAAGTACGGATGAACCTAGTTTAATTTATTATGTAGAAGGACGAATTATTATCATACTATGTTTTTTCCTTTTTACAAATAAATATATTATGACAATTTTTGGAAGCTTACCTTTTTTCGGTCTTGCTGTTTCATCACAAAAGAAACCGGCAGAACGTATTCGTAAAAGTATTGGACCCACTCTTTCAAATGTATTAAAACGACAACACCAACCATTTTCAACGTCTACAGTACAAAAGACGATATCTGCTACTAAAGCAAATAGGTCGTCTTCTAATTATTATTATAAACAAAATAATAATAGTTCTTCATCATCGACTAAAGGACCTGAGAAGGTCATAGTCACTGAAGGTTCAATGCTCAATCACTTCCCAAGCCCCAACTTAATACCTACACTTCATTCTTTATTATTCGGCAGTAATAATAATAATAGTAGTAGTAGTCCTTCATCATCATCAAGTCCTTTTATACGACAACAACAAGTATGTAATAATTGTTATGGTCCTCATTCAACTGATTTTTGTCCTTGTTAAAGAACAACAACGTAAAGTCAAATGCTTTGTGTCATGACTTTGTGTGAATATTATTCCCTTTTCATTTATTTATTAATAAAAAGTATATATTTTTATACAATCTTGAACTCAGTTCTCCTTTTTATTTCAACATTCACATCTTGTCTTGCACTCACAACCTATACCAGAACCACGACCTATATTTAATAAAGGAGAGATAAATAAAAATATATATAAATAAATACACATACACATATATATTGTTACACACGAATGTATATTTACAACTACAACTATTAGAATGAGTAAAACATATATGTTCAGGATTCAGGAAATCAGAAGAACCAGCATTTCGAGGATCTTCATGAGCACGACTCGTTTTTATCTTGATACCCGTTGTAGGACTATAATAAGTTGGAGATATACCTTCCTCTTCAATAAAACGTTCCTCTAAAGGATAACCCTCTGGTGCCAAATTAAGTCTAATCATTGTGGGTTGACGTTTTTGTGTTATATGAATATTAACAATCGTCTTTCCTGCTGGATTATTGACAGGTAATCGAGATGGTACAAACCGATCAATTCGTGCAAAAGGATTTGTAGGTGAATCAATTGCTTCATAAATATCCCATTCTGTATTCATACCAGCAATTGTATGTCTTTTGTTCATATTTAATGAATTATTATCAATCGTCATATTTTTAAAATATATATAAAATATATATATAAATATGTATAAAAAAATAGTGAAGTGAAATAAGATGAAAAAGAATGTTAATCAGAGACAGTCTTTCTTTTTATTATGCAGTAGTAAAATAATATGAAACTTGAAGCCTTTTTTTTTTTTTTTTTTTTTTTTTTTTAAATTCAACGAATAGAAAATGGTAACTTTTAGTCTTAAAATAATGTCCTGATCCTTTTTCTTTTTTTTGTAAGGAAAATTTCTATCCTATAGATTATCATTGACTTATTCTTCTGCTATCTCCAATAATCCTTAAATACATCAAAATAAAATATTCCTATTTCTATTTCTCTACTCCATAAAAAAGAAAAGGCCACAAAGTACCGAGATTTAGAATAGATTATTAGACTATGATAACAAGACAATTTATCTTTTGATTTCTTTTCTACTAAAATTAGTACGAGTAAAGCGCAATACATGACTTTCCTCTGCAAGTAGACTGATTGATTAGAAACTGTTCACACCACTTTTAATAGAAGAAGACCTTATTCTTGTATTAAAATATTCTAGTCATTTAGATGATAAAAGAAAAAAAGAAAAAGAAAGCTCAAAATATATTCTATCCTGTAAAAAAAAAAACACTTAATGCATTTACAAGGTCTCACAAGCTAATGTACATAAAGCTACCAAGAGGAAAGACCCTCCTGCTGTAATAACAGCAAAAAGAAGTGCAAAGAGAAGCCGCCAAACTAATACTTCAGCAGCATCATCCTCTAAAAGTAAAAACAAATGTAGTTCTTGCCAAGAGGAGGGGCATAACTCTGCAAGAAGTCCCCACTGCAAAAACTGTAATTTAAAGCTAGCAGAACTTTTACAAATTAAACTTGGAATCAACTTATCAAAGATATACTCTCTCTCTGTTCCATTTGCAACTTTCCGCAAGAATACTCCCAACAAAGCCAGTTCTTTGGAAAAGGTCAAGGCTGTATCAAGCTTTATCCGTAAAGTCATGTTCAAAGCACAACTATTTATAAACTTTTTTATTCTGCAATACCCAAGCAAGTTGACAAATGACTTTTTTTGATCAAAATTTTTGGGTACACTATTTCAAGAGTGATTAGGGGAAGCTCAGATGATGTAGGGCTAATTCTACAGGCTTACAAAGACACGAAAAAGGAAAGACCTGCAGAAACAGAATCTAGATGTGGTTCAACTTACAAGCTCTTTTGTTGGACTATCTGCCACTATAAATGGTAGCTTGTTTGTTCCAGAAAATAGATTAAAGAGTTATGAACAATCTCTGTCAACTGCATGTGAAACTGTCGCAACAACATACAATAACTACTATGTTGAAAACTTTGAAAATATTATATGTAACTACTTTATCTATACATTAAGGACAAAGTATCCAGTAAGCAGCGAGAGATAAAAACAAACTCTTTAATATACATGTTCAGTTTCTCAAATTTTTTTATACTAAAACTGTATAAACTAGAATGAGAAAGTTGGCTGTATCAAGAACTTGGTATATGATCAAGTGCTTACACATTCCCAGTCATCCTCTATACCTAATGATATTCTTGCCCTTTTTGATCCGGATGTGGCCAATAATCTCCCAAGCTTCTTAAATCCTTTGATTTCAGAAGTGAAGAATCGCATGTCCAAGCTTCCAGTGTCTAAAGAAAGCTTAAACAATGAACCCTTCAAAATTCTATCCGCATTAAGGGCATATCCTTAAAAAAAATACGATGATATATACAAGGCCCAAACCCCTCAAAATGACAAAAGCGATTTGATTAAATCCCTAACTTCCAAGACGTTTTAGTCTATTCCCAAATCCTGGATTGCACTGGCGATTCATAAAGATGGATGCTCAGAACCTAACCGGAATTTTCCCAGATGCTAAACAAAAAAAAAAAAAAAAAAAAAAAAAAAAAAAAGCAAGCTAATGAATTATCTCCTTTCGATCATAAACAATGATGCTTCTATCAAATGTTTGACTTTCAGAAGCTGGGCATTCAAAGGTATACATTACTATTACATATATCTATAAATCAAATTACTGACGAAAAAAAAAATTACAGTTGTGAAAAGCTTCAAGCACTGCCTGAACAAAAAGGAAAGATGCTTCTCAATGGATTGTATACTGATGGCTACACATGCAGAGTTCTATTTGCTAGAAAAGTGCTTCCATCATCACCATAAGACAATATCTGTCTAGAGTTGAACGATTTTACAAGCGAAGAGATGGACAAGCATTTCCGTCCATGTACTGTAGACCCAGGAAGACGGGATCCTTTTGTTTCTTATCACAGTGGCACTAAAATACGACGCTTGTCCTCAATCGAATATTACAATATGGGTGGAAGTGTAAGACGAATGAAAGAACAACAGAAGCGTAAACAGAAACAAGGTATTGAAAAGATTGAAACAGACATTCCTTCGCCTAAAACTGCGTCTGTGGAACAATTTGTTTTGTACATAACTTACATGCTGCAGCACATGAATACTTTGCTTAATTTCTACAGCTTTGAAACTTCTAAGATTAAATGGTTGAACTACCTCAGTTCCCAAAAAGCCATCCAAGAAAGTGTCAACATCTTAATAAATGGTGTAAAGAAGTATAATAAAAGTAGGAGAAAGAAGACAAAGGAAAACAGAAAAAGAAGGAGGAAAATTCGCAAGCCTCGTACTGCTCAAGAAGAAAGAGCACTCACCACCATCCCAAAATCAAAAAGGTGTACACTTTTATTATTATTATTATTATTATTTCAGTAAACTCTAACTATTATATCTGTAACTTACAGCAGAAACAACAAAGCCTGTTTTGAAAAGGGAAACAGCAGCAAGATGCCTCAGGTGGTCTTTGGTGACGGACTAAAAAAAAAACAAGATTCATATCAAGTTCAAAGGTCTCCATCATGGCATATCTAACAAAATATATCAACAATTAAAAACAAGGCAAAGGCTTGGAGAACTCTTGCTACTAGACATCAACGAATTTAATACATCAAAGGTTATTAAGAAAAAAACAAAACATAGTTTACATATTGCACTTTCAGCTAAAACCAATTCTTCATAGATCTGCAATTCTTGCTTTAAAAATGATATAGAAAATTTGAAGTGTAGGGAAGATGACCATGATAAAAAAATCCATCAAGTATTGAAGTGTAAAACTTGCAATATCTTTTGGAATCGAGATGTAATGGCCAGTAAAAAATATGTTTTACATAGCTCAGTCTATATAGAATGACAATGATCGCCCCACTGTCTTTCACACGACAAAGTGCCACCTCCAATGTGGTTGTCCCAGCTCACTCCAGTGAGCCAACGACTTAATGCTGTTACAGGTAAGAAGTTGTAACAATTTTGATTTGACCAAACAGACTAAAGTATCTTAATTTCCCATATTCCCTTCTGTGTACTATTTTCATACCAATGTCCCATTTTCCTATTGGTGTCCCAATTTATTTTGGAAATAGCTAAAAAATTTTTTTTATTGACCCAACCTAGTTTCTTCGACTGTATAAGAGCAGCTACTATAATAGGTTTATAATAACCAATCAATTAATTGAGTTCAAATGCAATAGATGTAAACATAAATAACTACCATATTTAGAAATATGATTTCCCCGGGTTACAAATGATATCATAGTTTTTTATAATTGCAGCCTCTGATTGACAGTACATGTATATGTATACATATATGTATATATATTTTTTAAAAGAAAAGTAGAATGAGTTGTCTTGTATATAAATATGTATTGAATGACATAAATAGTTAATTATATCTTAGTTAAAGAAAAGAAAGAAAAATGTGGCTTGTCTTATCTTTTTTTTTTCCTAAAGTTTTCTAATAAAGAAAAAATAGAAAAATAGATGATTTAATAATAACAATAAAACATTTTCTCCGCTACTTTCCATACTACTACTATAACTACTACTATAACTGCTAGTTTCTAAAACTCATTAGAAATTCTCAGCAGATACATCGGCCACAAGTTTGCTTACTTGCTTACTTGCTTGCTTGCTTGTTTGCTTGCTTTTTTTTTTTTTTTTTTTTTTTTTTTTTTTTTTTAATTTTTTTAATTTTTTTAATTTTTTTTTTTAATTTTAATTTTTATTTTGTTTTATAAATGAGGATTTCTTTCCCAAGTTTTCTTTTAAAAGCAACTAAAATTATATTAAATAAACCTACAACAAAAAAAGTAATAATGAACCAACCATCCACTTTAATTTCAGAAGAAGAAATGAATAGTCTTCAGGAAGGTAAATTTATTCATATGCAATAGAATAAATAATAAAAAAAAAAAAAAACTTATGCAATCATTCATAGCTTTTTCATTGTACGACACTAATAAAAATGGGGCAATTAGCTTGGAGCACTTTGCTAGTATTTTGAAAAGTCTCAATATTGTACACAATGATAACAATAAAGTCAAATCTATCGTTCAAAACCTTGATAAAAATAATGATGGCCAAATTGATTTTGAAGAATTCGTAAATGCCATGACTCAATTATTATTAGACGATAATAGAACTTTAAGAAAATGGAAAACTTTTCCTAATGATGACGATAAAAAACAGAAAAATAAAATGGATAGTCAGCATTATTCTCGTAGAATGAGTAAACATGAAGCTGATGATTTAAAGCTGTGCTTTGGTAAATTCGATAAGAATGGTGATGGTTTAATCTCTGAAGATGAATTAAAAGAAGTGATGAAAGGTCTGGGTGAAAATCTTTCAAATGAAGAAATTAAAGACATGATGAAAGATGCTGATGCAAATCAAGATGGTTATATTGATTTCGAAGAATTTAAAGCATTAATACCAACTAATAATAATGAATAGATATTTATGTATTATAGTATATATTTATATAAAAAATGTTGATTATATAATGTATGATTATTGTTACACTTAATAAACGCTTACTTACAAAAAAAAAAAAAAAAAAAAAAAAAAGAATCCATTTTCTTCTGCTTTTTATATTTATTTCATCTCTACATTATACATCTAATGATTCCAGGAACAACTCCCCATTCTACTTCAGACTTTACTACAGAGACTAAACCAACATTAGGAGATATCCCACCTCCACTTGTCGGCGCTTCAACTACAGTCGTAGGCAATAAACTCTATCTCTTTGGTGGTCGACTTGTGTCCTCTCGACAAATGATAAACGAACTGTACATTCTTAATTTAGATAGCTTTATTTGGACACATCATAACACTCAAAATGCACCTCAAGCCCGTTATTTTCATTCTACATCTCTCTTTCATCACAAGTTAGTCGTCTTTGGTGGTATGAGTAGTTATCAACAGGGCCTTTGTGCTCTTGATGATATTTGTATCTTTGATCTAGACAGTATGAGTTGGCAATATCCTAATATTCCACCCAGTATTTATGCTCCTCAAGCACGATATGCACATCTTGCTGTCATTTGCTCAAGTAATAAATTGGTTATTATGGGTGGTCAAGATATGTCGAATCAGTATATAAATGAAATGAATATCTTTGATCTGACTACTCTTTGTTGGGTACAAGCGAATACAATGCCTCATCAATATGGTGCCTATCGAGCCGTTGCCTTTTGTCCTGATTCCTTTTGGCATGAAGAAGCGAATGAAGCTCTTTGTTGTGTCTATTCTAATTATAATTTTACAGACGTTACAAGAGATCTGCAAAGCTTTTGTCCATTTTCTTCATCTCAATCTGTTATCAAAAATTATTCAGAGAATATGTCAGGTGTTGTCCTACCTCCAGGATTACGGTTCCCTACTGGCGATCTCTTGGGTCATCATCTCATCTTGAACGGCACCTATCTTACACCTACACATCGTTCCTTTCATATTTGGGCCCTTAACTTGTCTAATCTCGTCTGGGTCAGGATCGATACTGGCCAGGTTCTCTCTCAAGGTTCTTGGAACCGTGGTGTTCTGTATGGTCAAAGATTCATTGTGTTTGGTGATAAATCACGTGATTTACTTGAGGACTATAATCATCGTCAAGTCAACTTTACTCATGCGGTTGTAGTAGAACTAGAGGCATTCGGTATCTATGTTAATCCATCAGAGACATGTGCACCTATTGCTCAAGAATTGGGTCTAAGTATGTTGAGTGAATTAGCCGACATGGAATTTCAGACAGATGATGGAAGAACGATTCCTGTTAATTCAGCAGTTGTCACACTTCGTTGGCCTCATTTTGCGAAACTAAGTGCTAATAAAGATCATACTCATCGATTATTTCATTTCCCCGAGAGTTATTCAGTAACATTAGCATTTCTACAATACATTTATACAGATCATCTCATGACAGCTCAACAACATCAACCCCACATTCTTTCTCGATTACTAGTATTAGCAGACATGTATGGATTAAGTCGTTTAGCACAATTGGCTACCCATGCTTTACATCAAATCTTAACCATCTCAACAGCCTCTATGGTTTATGAAACTGCAACCCTCACAAGTCGATATGCTCTTCAAGTACGTGCATTACGTGTTCTGTTTAATGCTAAAAAGATGCTTGAACAACAAGACCCTCGTCATTTACTTCATACTTCGAAATCATCTACAACCGCAATGCCGACCACTACTACTCAAGAACAAGTACCTCCATCTCCTAAACATTCAAAATCATCTCACTATCCAAAAAATACTGGATTTCTAGAAAGAAAGAGTAGTATTGTACCCACAAATCAATTTATTGAGCGACCTAATATGGGCGTCCCCTTTTAAAAAAGAAAAGAAAAGAAAAGAAAAGAAAAGACAGTCCTTCTTTCTCTCTCTCTCTCTCTTTCATTTTTTTTTTTTTTTTTAATCTTTCATTTATTTATATCGATTTATCTAATAAAAGTTGATCAATTTGTGTTTTGGAATAACCAAGTACATTTGACAAAATGTCATTGGTATGTGCACCCAAGACGGGTGGAGGTAAACGCACTGTAGTGTGGGCTTCACTAAACTTGACAGGTGGGCCTACTATCTTGATCTTGCCTACTGTCTCATGTTCGATTTCATGTACAAGACCCCTTGCGACAATCTGAGGATGTTCAAAGGTTTGTTGAATAGTATGAATGGGAGCAAATGGGAATCCAGAGCCATCCAACTTCTTTAACCACTCTGCCGTTGTAGCCTGTTGAAATCGTTCTTCTAGAATACGTATCATCTCTGTTCGATGTTTGACACGATCTGTATTACGTTTAAATTTAGGGTTATCCACAAGATGTTGGAGATCAAGACGGTCGCAGAGCTTAGCAAATTGACCGTCATTACCTGCTCCAATCATGACAAAGGAATCTAAAGTAGGGAAGACTTGATAAGGAACAATAGATGGATGTGAGGTACCCATACGTGTTGCTTCCCTTTGTCCGATAAGAAAGTTAGAGGCAATATTGGCTAATGAAGCAACTTGGGATTCAATCAAGGAACAATCAATGTGTTGTCCACGACCTGTAACTCCACGTTGAATAAGTGCAGCCAAGATAGCACTATGAGCATACAATCCAGTTGTAAGATCTATATTTTTATAATACCACCGCCACAAAAGAGAGAGAGAGAGAGAGAGATGAATGACAAAAAAAAAAAAAAAAGGACCTACAAATATTTTTAAATTTACCTGTGATGGCCACGCCTACTTTAACAGGTCTTCCATCTTGTTCACCTGTAATATGCATTAATCCAGCCTCAGCCTAATGATATTATTATTAAGAACAACAACAAATATATATATGTATAGTCTCTCTCTCTTTCTCTCCTTCAAGTACCTCAATAATCACGTCGTAGCCAGGTCTGTTTGCATAGGGACCTGTCTGACCATATCCAGTAATGGACGCATAAATCAATTTAGGATTTATTTTTTGAAGTTGCTGATATCCAAGTCCCAATTTTTCCAGTTTTCCCGGCAAATAGTTTTCGACCAAGACATCCGATTGTCTTACAAGATCTTCAATCACCTTGCGTCCACCAGATGATTTCATGTTAACCGTCATTGAACGTTTATTACGGTTAACACATAAAAAATAAGCAGATTCACTGTGGTTATTATGTGTTGCAAAAGGTGGGCCCCAAGCGCGTGTATCATCTCCTCCCTTTGGATTCTCGACCTTAATAACATCTGCCCTAAGACAATTCAATTTGTTATATAAGGAAATAAAATAAAATAAAAAAGATCCCTCATCCCCTTTTTATTATTACCCCAAATCACCCAACATCATTGTACAATAAGGACCAGCTTATGTAAAAAGGTCTTTAGCATGTAAAATTTATTATTATTATTTCTCTTTTATACCTAAAACTCGAGTTAAATCTAAAACTCGAATTCCTTCTAAAGGTCCTGCTTTACTCTTTTTTTCAATAAAATCTCTAAAATGTATTTGACATGAACTAAATCCACATTGTTGAACACTCCTTGTCCTTTTTAAAATCAATCTATGACGAAGCAACAATAAATTATTCATTTTTTTTTTTGAGAAAGAAGACAATATATAAAAAAAAAGTTAAATTTTCTTTTTATTTTGGTTTCGGAATGATAATTCTTCCCCACATTTTAATTTTAGTAGCTTTTTTTTTTCCCTCTCCGTGTGTGTGTGTGTGTAAATTAAAGTGTTAAGATGACAATGACTTCAGTTTCGGTCAAAACCATGATTGTTCCTGAAAGTATCAATTGTACACCAAGTACATCTCCTTCACCTCTTGTTAAATCTATTAATGACTGCTTTTTAATGAATGCTCGACCAGCATGATAATAGAGATATGCATTACGATTACTTTCGATAATCGCACTGAATTCACCATTAGGATCATGGTGAATAAATCTTGCATCTCGTTTAGATGCCTGTACAAAGGCAAAGGCATCCAAGGTAGTCTCATGTTGAACCTCTAATTTACCCTCTTCTTCTCTTAGACTAAACACAAGCCCATCTACATCAGATTGAAGACAAACAGATGTCATGTGTGAACTACTGGTAAAGGCACTACATAGCCAATTGGATCGGTTCTCAATTTCATCTTTTACCTGTCCATCACGACTATAGACGGTAAACAACACGGGGTGTCCTTCTTCATCAATATCTTCATCCATATCTGTCGCTGCTGGATGTTGTGAAGGTGGTGGTGGTGGTGGTGCCATTCCAGTAGGGATTCCCTCATTTGGATCTTGTGTGAATTTATTCATATGTTGCTTGATTTCTTCGAGTCGAAGCGGTGTTAAGGTCTCTAGAATACCATCATCATGATCAAAGAGTTGTGGCCATCGTGTCCTTTCATCTTCTTTTGTTAGGAATAATGTCAACGTATCATCTTCAAGCGTCCAAAGACAATCGTCTGGTCGAATGGTACTCCATAATTTACGATATGGATATGAGATTTGTTCATTTACTAATAGACTGAGGTGATCCTTTACAAATTTACAATTAATGGAGGATTTGGGTGTACCTGAAGGTAGCTTGAACATCACCGTCATATCAGGTCCCTCTTGACTCCATTGATAGGCGGGTGATGTTACTGGCTTTCTGTCAATATCCATCATCTCTTCTTGATCTTCTACCTCTGACAGTGAAATACGTTGAAAGCGTGTTTCACTACCCAAAACCAATCGACCATTTGGTGTTATCGAGTAATAGACCGGAACCTCAGAGCCTCTCAAGATAAATAACACTCTAGGATGAATCACAATCGTATCATCATTTGTATTGGGTAAATCCATTTCCATCATGGCAATATTAAATTCTGTCTTTTGTTTAGCATTAGCACGACTGTAGACAAGAAAGGTGATTGTAGCGGCCGTGCGTTGTCCCGTCAATAGAACACAAGGAACAGGTGAAATACCTTCATCCCCAGTTCCAGGATAAGCTACAGTAGCTAATGAAGCACCTACAAATTGTCCCAGCTGTGTCTCTTCAATACCTATCAATTCAATGTCACCTACTCCATTTGAAACTAATAGCAGATCTCGACCCAGTGCTATCACTGAAGGTAACTGAAGGTCTAAGGGTACTGAGCTATCAGGTTCAGTAAATGAAGGTATAGGTCCAATGGGTTGAATAAGTTCACTAATCAAATGAATCGATGTTTCTTTTGTAAGCTATAACAATAATAAAAAAAGAAGACGTGTTTAATTAAAGAGAAAAAAGAAAAAGAAAAGAAAAGAAAAAGTTGATTCCACTCATTATTTCTTTCTGAAAAAAAACACTTCACTTACATTGTTAAAGACAATCATGTACAAATGGAAATTCTGATCAATAAAAAAAGCGGATCCTCTATTTTTATCGAGTGGATAACCATAAAAGAGGCTACTGAGACGAATACGTGCTTGCAAATCGCGGAAGCCTATACGTCGATCATTGGATTGTCGAAAGGGTTGTAAAGTTAATGATGTTCGAAATAGTTTAGATTCAGGAAAAGCGCTTAATTTGTAGCTTTCGAATTTAGGATTAAGTTTAGAAGGATCAGGTCTAAATTGTGAATTCATGTTTATATTTATATGTTTATCTATTTTTTTTTAGAAAAAAAAATGCAGCAGAAAAGTGGTAATGACAACAAGCGTATTATTATCCTTTCCTATATACACCCTTTATTTTACATAATTTCCAAAAACTGTCTGCTCTTGTATGGCACTTATTGTCTTCAGCTACTACTACTGTCTAAGTGACTCTAATTTTCTTTACTTTTTTTTTTTTTTTTAATTAATTGATTAATGGTGATCATTACAAATACACGTTTATATAAGTTTTTAAACTATTTTCATATATTATTTAGTAGAGAGTCTAAAAGTTTGCAATTTTAGCATAAAAAATGTATAATTTGATGAGTTTTCTTTTTTTTTATTTTATGATTAAAAGAAAAAGGAATTAAGTGATTATTTTCGATAATAACATTTGCAAACAATTGCAAGAGTTGGTACAAATCGTCGAGGAAAAAAACCCCCCCCAATAGTTAAGAAATCCGCATGTATCTAAGGATTACTTTGGTTGCATTAAATGTTAACAAAAATTGTAGATTGAACATGGTTAAACTTAAAACACATAAAAGTATTAAGTTTAGCCATTTCTCCTTGACAAAAGTTCATGACAGTTTATGGACAACGAAATTAAGCCAATCATATTGAGTTTTAAAACACGTTTTATTATACAAGTCGCGTTGTTTAAACAACGTCTTCGCGTATTCCCTTTTTTTAATAGAAGAAAAAAAAAAATGCCATACACAAATAAAAAAGAAAGCTTTGATGATCCAACAGAATTTACTACAACTCCATTCCAACTCCTCGATGAGCACTTACGTTGCCCAATTTGTAAAGAGCTCTTCAATACTACCATCATGCTAAGTACGTGTTCTCATTCCTTTTGTACACTTTGCATTCGTCGTAGTCTATCAACAGAACAAATATGTCCCAAATGTAGAAAGCCTGCTTATGAAAACAGCCTGATCCATAACTATGATCTAGATAATGTTGTACGTCTATGGCGTGAATCTCGGTAAAAGTAAAACCAAAAAAAAAGGGAGGGGGGGAAATCTTGAATGACTGAATATACATTAAATAAACTAACACTGGGGCATTTAGGAAATTGTTTTTAGAGCTGGATAAAAAGACTACAATAGAACAACAACAAGAGGAAAATATTGAACAAGTATCAAGCGATTCGGAATCTATTTTAATAGTTGATGATGATGATAAAAGTGAAGATTTTATACCATCCAATTTAAAAAACACTCGATCAAGTTATAATAAAAGTACTAGAAAATCAACACGATTACAAAAGAATGAAGCATCCAATATAGATGATGATCAGCAGCAGCAGCAGCACCACCACCACCACCAACAGCAACAACAACATATACCTTCTCAACAACAAAATTCTCCCGCAAACGAAAAAGATTTAAAATGTAAGGATAAACAAAATCAAATTCTGGACAACATAGATACTCATTTATTTTACTAGTATCATCTATGGTTCAGTGTCCAGTCTGTTTACAATATATGAAATATAGTGTACTTGATTTACATATTGAAGGCTGTTTACAGGGAGATCGCAGGATACCTCCTGACCCTATACAAAGATCCAATTCATATCCATCCTCGTCTTCTTCTAATCATAGTAGCAATAATAGCACGTCAATCTCTCTTCAACCTAAAAAGTAACGAAAATAAAAAAAAGTGAAGCATATATGCATATTGAAGTAGATATTAATATACATGTAATCATTAGACAAAAACAAGTGGATTTAGGAAAGAAGCCTGTGAAACAAGTATATACGATGATGAGTGATAAAGAATTAAGAGAATGTCTTAGGGTAAAATGATACCAAGACTAATAATGAATCAATCAATCAATCCAAGCTAACATAACATATTAATTATAGTCTTTGAATTTACCTGACCATGGAGACAGACAAACTAAAATATGGCGTCATAAAGAGTATTTAAATTTATATAATGCAAATGTTGACTCTGATAATCGAGTGAGTGCGAAAGTTTTGATTGAACGTTTACAAGCTATGGAGAAATTAAGACTATCCAATAATCAATTAAAACGGAAATTAACAGATCCTGATGAACATAAAGTAAGTCTTTCATACACAATCATACAAGACGAAAACATTAATCCTTTTTTATAGCTAAAATATGCGGATCATTTTTCACAATTAATAATGGACGTGAAAAAAAGGAAGCCCAAGGAAACAGAAGATAATAAAATTCCTCAATAAAAATTGTTAGAAGAAAAGGATACTCATAATAAATTTGTCCACCTACATACATATTTAGATTTCTTACAATCTACTCATAGTGGAGTCATTGTTGTTTTTTTTTGTTTAATAATAAAATTATCTTGTATTACATAATCATTCGTATACTGGCTTTTATTAACAACGATAGTATATTCTTTAAAAAGAATATACGCATGTGTATATTAAATCATACAAACTTCTAATAACTAAAAGACTAAGCAATACATATCAGTATTATGAAGGGGCTTTTTTTTTCCCTTTTTTCTTTTTTACATAAGCTTCTTTTATTTTTAAGCCTTTACTGCGGTATTGTTTAATGACAATTGGTTCTTTTTTTTTTTTAAAAAAATTCATAATAAATTTTTTTTTAATTGTGAATCAGACACAAGCTGTCACAAAACTGGAACAAAACTAATATTTTATCCAATGAAAAAAAAATTTTTTTTCACATATTCAATTTCAGCGAAAGTCCAAAAACTATAAAAAGGCTCGAAAAGTAAGCAAAATGAATTTTTTCTTTAGTGACCGTACTCTACAGGATCTGTATACAGTACGTTTCAATTCTATGTTTTCCAAACTAGATACAATCTCCAAGTTAGTCGATGATTTTTAGTAGACCTTCTTTAGAGTGAAGTGTGGCGAATTGTTATCTCTCTGAGTACTTTTCGTCAGTTGATGATCTCGCCTGTCTTTTATTCCAAGGACATGGCACGGAAGGAGCTACAAGTCTGATAACTTAACCTTTTCTTTTTATATATTTTTATATTATAAATAAAAATGAAAAAAATGACTTACATGAAGATTTTTTTTGTGTTGTTTATCGAAAATTGGTCTTTATGTTTACATGTATATTTTTTTTTTTCGACTAAATGTAAAGAAAAAAGAGATATAAACTTAAAAATAAATTCCTATTTGTTCGAAAAAAAAAAGAAGGGCCATTTTGTTTAAATTTAGTGTAAATACTAATAGAAAGTGCGCCTGGGTGTGTTCATCAAAAGGGGAGGATACCTCACAACTTGTACAAAATAATGTCAGCAAAGTGCTGCAAACAATGAATCAGCCTGTATCTATAGAAGTTAATTCTCGAGACTTTGATTGTCTACTTGCTGCCGTTTGCTTTTATGTACAGGTAGTTTTTATCGACATTTACTAAAATGTAGTTTAGCAATGAGTATCCTAAGTTAAAGAAACTTTAAACAATTAGAATCCTGTCAAAACAATTGTTACTGGATAAGGATCTCAATCTTCAGTCACGCCGATGCTTTTACTTGATAAATCAGTCTACAGTGGCTCAAATTATTTTCCGTAGTAATAAACTACCTACTACTGACATATTACTTTCTACGTTGCTTCCCCATATCCGAAGTTTATATGTGTACGTTCAGTAATATAAATTTAAACACAATTCTGGTAACTCTGTACTAAATAATTCTAATAATCTAGAATAAAAAAAAAAAAAAAAAAAAAAAAAAAAACTAAAGTCTTCACAATTCGCTTCTCCTTGGATAGTTTGTTGGCCAAAGACCTACACCATTTTGCATGGAATGGGTTATCTATTTCATTATGTCAATTTAATGTATTGATTATCGTAGACTAGCATACTCGTACTATTTCTGATTTTTTCTTTCGCTTTTTTTTTTCTTCTCTTGACTCCTAAGAGGTTTTTATTACCTTTTCTCTCTTTCTCTTTTTTTTTTTTTTTTTTTTTTTTTTTTTTTTTTTGGGAACTGATTAAGGCTATACAGCATAATTAAATTACTATGTGTTCATTGGTCGTTTTTATTTTTATTATTAAAAAATAAATAAATAAAATGGATCTTATTTAATCATATTATTATGAAATGAATAATGAAAATTTGGCAGTATTGTGTTATCTAATGACAGATCAATAATAAATAGTAAAATCTCTCTATTATTTTTTTTTTGTCAAGCCCGAGTTGTGTTATCCCGAGATCCATTTTTTTTTTTACTGTTATTATTACTACTATTTATAATTGCTAAAAATAGTAGGACTTTGTTATGTACTACAAGCCTTTTAATGCTGTTATAATAACAATCATTATTGACTCTTTTACTTTCTCTCTTCTTCTTCTTCTTCTTTACGACGTACATACTTTAGAATAACTAAAAAAAAGTTTCATTCGAGAATAAATATATAAATGAAAGGATCCTTACTTAATAAATGGTTATGCTTCTGTTTGATTTTCATTAGTTGTGTAATAGTTGATGCTCGTCCTGCAAATGGACTTGCTAAACGACAAGCTATTGATAATAATGATATAAATATACTTCACCATACAACTTCAACAAAATCAATAACCACAACAACAGCTACTACAACAGTTACTACTGCTACATCAACCCCAAATAAGGATGAACATGATGAAAACAACAACACGAATAATGACAGTACAATTATTACAGCTGGAAGTACCGAATGGTATGGTAAAGTTATGAACGTTAATTATAGTCCACATGTCCCTTTCCCCCCTCCCCTCCCCTCCTCTCTCCCAGCTTCTTATTGAACTTTTATTATATATGTATACATATATACATATATATATCTACAAACTATATAGTGGCAGTCTATGGTACTGAATCTGGGATTTCACCTCAAATGGCTTCCTTAGGAGCTGTACTCATCGTATTTGGTTTATTTTTATGCTCAATGGGTTTTAGGCTCTCTAAATTTATGTTCTTTGTTATGGGTTTATTAACTTTTGGATCTATAACCTGGATTGTGCTCGCAAATTGCAAGCCTGAAGCAGGTTATAGCAGGGACTCAATTACAATGATTGTTGTACCTGTTGGTGTGGGAGTTATAGGTGGGCTTGTTTACTATTTTATTTGGTCTCTGGCTATGTATCTTATTGGCGGTAAGTTATCTTATGATTACAAATGACGTATATAGATAGATATAAATGATTATGTATAATGCATTTATATATTTATATATATTTATATTTATAGCCTTTGGAGGATTTCTTTTTGCTACCTTTATATGCTGTTGGAAAGATGATTTTTTGATTATAAATGTAAGTCAAAAAAAAAAAAAAAATCTCATTGTTATGATAATTAATTATTTTTATTATTTAGATAATTGGAAGATATTGTTTTATAGGTGGATTTGCTCTTGTATGTGCTATTATCGTCTATTTTGCCATTCGACCCGTCATGCTTTTAACGACATCCTTTGTAGGCGCGTATATCTTTATGTTTGGTGTTGATTGTTTGGCACGAACAGGATTTATAGCAGGTCCTGAAGCACTTTATAATCATAACCCAAGAAACCTTGTTCAATATCAGCTGGGAACCAAAATTTATGTCTTATTAGCCATGATTATTTTTATGTTTCTAATGTCAGTTATATGGCAATACATTTTTAATAAGGCCATTGAGTTTGGCTTACATGTAGCAGCGGCAATAAAGGGTAAACAGGCTCATGAAGAGTTCCATGAACATCAAGATGAATTACCCGAACAACGAGACATGCCTGAACAAGCTTCTGTACATCCTCCTACTTCAACACACCATTGATCGCCCTTGAATTTTAACTATTGTATTTTATTATTTGTTTGGAAGAAGTTCCAAAGATTTTTTTTTTTAATAACATGATTATATGTCTGTTTCTTATAAATAAATAAATAAATAAATAAATAAATAAATAAATAAATAACAAAAATTTATTATGATGACTTTTCTTTGTCTCGTTGATGGTCCCTTTTTTGAGCAGATGGATTTTGACTAAAGGCCGAATGAGTTTCAGCTGCTAACTTTGAACTCCAAGGTGTAGCTAAGGTCATATAATTCAAGCCAAAATTAGAATTAGATACACGAACGTTCCAAATAACTTCCCCTGTACTAGCTTTAAGACAGTAGACGTTTTTACCCGAACCTACATACACCAAAAAATCTTGATTTCTAAGAGGTGGTTCAACAATAATAACCGGTATATTATACCATCCCCCAACGCAATTATAAGTCCATAACGTTTCTCCTGTTTCACTATCTATAGCCATCACTTTACCTCGTGCGCATCCAAAAACAATAGGCTTTATGTTAGTTAACATATCATAATCTGGGTATGACTCTTCTGTTTCCTCTTTTTGATAAGGTGGTAGTAGATTAGGCGATAATAGATTAGGAGTACTAATAATAGAGACTTCGTCTATACCAAAGCCCTATGAAGACCAAGAAAAAAAAAGGGGGGGAGGAATGATGATGATGATGAAAGAGAGAAAGCCTTATAAGTCTCTCTACACACTACTTATATATATCTATTGTAACTTACTGGCATTTTATTAACCCAAAGCGTTTTACCAGTCATTAGATCCATTGACGCTGTTCTTCCTCTTGAACCGACAATTAATCTGTCTGTATCGGTTACAAACAATGAGACAATGCCTCCTAAACCACCTGTAGGGAATTTGGCTCTCCACAAACGACTACCATCTCGTTTATGAATTGCATATATTTTTCCATGCGTAGCGCAAATCAAGATATCATTTCGATCAAATATGTGTGGAAAAGTTTCTACAAAAGATTCCTCTTCTTCATCTTCATTATCATATTCTCGACATTTTTCCTTCTTACTATTAAATAAATTCATACTTGAAGATAAAAAAAATAAAAAATAAATAAAAAAAAGAGAAGGGGGGGGATTAAAAACCATTGCTTTATCTATTTAGTAGAAGAAATTCTTTTTTTTTTCTTTCCAGGTGATCCGTTTCACAGCTAAGCATTTTTTTTACCAAAAAAATACATAAATAAATCACGTATACACTACTAGAATAACATGATTCTACCCACTACGGCATTGAATAAAAAAAAATAAAGTAAAATAAGTCAGACAACTAAACCAAAAATAACGCATTACGTAGTCAAATACGAAGGATAACTTAGTAAGATACATTATTCTATATTCATGTAAACATAATATTGAATATTTAACTAATTAATAAAGATAGCTCTACAGACTTTGAGTGTATATATTGTAATTTTTTATCTCATCATCTTGTATCTCTTCTTCTTTTTTTTTTTTTTTTTTTTTTTTTTTTTTTTTTTTTTCAACAAAAAGACCAAAACTTCTCGACAAAGTTCAATTCAGATAGGTAAGACAGGAGATGCGCTCATAATTTCTTTGCTGAATATATGTACTCATATTTATGGATAAGCACTGCCTATTACAAAAAGGCAACTCGGCTTTATATTTAAACTATTTCATTTCATTCATATAATGTCTTTTAAGAACTTTAAATAATGATCTGTTATGGCACTTAATAGACTTGAATTCTTAAGGAACCATGTTAATATTTAAATAGCTCATTTTTGTGAATCTTAAAAACTCTTGTAATTTTTACTTGCGCTTATTTTAAAAAATATTGGAATAATAAAGAGAAAGAAACAAGCATGGATAATAAATCACAAGAGCAGAAAAAAAAAGGGGGGATTTGCAAAGTGAAACACTTGTTTGCACTGATTTTAATGATCATTTTGTGCTAAATCAACAACTTAGTAGTGAAAAGCAAAATTTGCTCAAAATTTAAAACACCTATCATATTTTCTATATTTGGTAAAAAGGAAAAGAGGGTCCTATTCCACTTTTTTTTTTTTTTTTTTTTTGAGTATAAAGATCAGATAAGATTCCGCTATAAAAACGGTGTTCTATCAATTGTTTTACTTCTTCTTTTTGTTCTTTTTTTCTTATTTTTCTTTTAATTATATTAATAGTTGCTTATTCATTTTATTTATTTTTGTTCTTCAATTTTGAAATGTCAAGCTATACTGTCAAGATTAGCATTCAGGGCATGACATGCGGAGTAAAGTATAGAATTCATCATTTACTAATCTATCATTTTATTAACTATTATTATTATTGTTATTATTACTTTTATTTTATTTTATTTTTAAATGAACAGCATTGTGTAAAAACTATAACTACCGCATTAGAAAATTTTCCTGGTATTATATCAACATCAATTATTGTTAGTTTAGATGATGCCCAAGCAACTTTTGAGATAAATAATGTCATCAATCAAACTGAATTAAAACAACGTTTATCAGAGACTATAGAGGATTTAGGTTACGAAGCTGGTACTCCTGAATTATCATCACTTAATAATGATACTCAAATTGAAAAAAATGAGTTACTAAAAGTGACAGTGTCAATTACCGGTATGACTTGTTCTCATTGTACAAATACAATTACAAAGGCATTACAGGCAATATCAGGCATTGATCCAGATTCAGTTCACGTCTCATTAGATAGAGAAGAAGCAACTATGTTATTAAGTGACCCCAACACTATGATAAAGGATCAAATAAAAGATACCATTGAAGACCTTGGTTATACAGTGAACCAAGTTAATCTTGGAGATAATCCAATAGATACAAGCGATGATACCAGTGAGAAGGTGATAACCTTTGGCTTGGCCGGTATGACTTGTGAACATTGTGTAAAAACGGTGACCGAAGCACTAGCGACATTACCTGGTGTAATAAGAAATACTATTTCTGTGAGTCTGGAAAAACAACAAGCATCGTTTTCCTTTGAAGGGAATAGTATCGACAATGCTACAATCAGGCAGCTTATCGAAGGCCTGGGCTATGAACTGACTACTAAGGCTCATATCACAGTTGAAAGCTCATTATCCAAGTTATCTACCAACGACACACTCATTAATGAGCCTGCTAATAGTAAACAACGCAAGGTAGTCATGCGTGTGTTGGGTATGACTTGTCATTCCTGTCAGACATCTGTTAAAGACGCTCTGCAAAACGATTTACCAGACGTTGATCCCAAATCTGTCTATGTGAACCTTGAAACAGAGATGGCTATGTTTATTACGAAACAAGAACCTGATATTGATGCTATTTATAGAGTCATTGAAGCACGGGGATATAACGTTGAAAATATTCAAGTGATTCATAATCTAATACCTCCTCCCATCATGTTCCTGGATGAGAAAACTGAAGAAAAACAAAATGAGCTTAATTTAATAACTACCTTAAGCGTTGTTTCAATAGAAAATTCTATTTCTCCTCCTACAAGGTTAACCTTTCAAGTGACAGGCATGACATGTGCTAGTTGTGTGCGTACAATCGAAAAAGGTCTTACAAAGCTTCCAGGTATAGACCCTAGTTCTGTTCAAGTCAATTTACTCACACATAGTGCTTCATTGACTGGTAATAATCTTGATGAAAAGACCATTAAAGAAGCCGTTGAGAGGATGGGTTATTCAGCAAGCAAATTCGTTTTCTTATCAGAAGTTGCAGCACAACCAGCTGATAACAAAACATCAAACTATCAAGCAGAGATGATCGTCAGTGGTATGTATTGCTCCAGTTGTCTTGTCAAGGTCCGTAATGCATTAACTCAACTACATGATATAATTCCTTCCACAATTGAGATCAGCTTAGACACGGGTCATTGTCAATTTGAATACAATGGTGAATTTATTACACGTCAACGGTTACATCAAACCATTTTACAACTTGGGTTTTCAGCAGACAATATCAAAATTACCAAATTAACAGATACAGATACAGCTAATATCGAATCTAATGAAAATTTGGCTACAACTCATTTAAAGGTAACTGGCATGACTTGTTCCTCTTGTGTGGCCAATATTGAACGTAACATAATGAAACAACCTGGGGTTATTAGCTGCCAAGTTAGCCTTCTCTCTAAATCTGCTGTTATCAAACATGATCCTTCTATTGTTGGCGCACGCTCATTAGCACATCTCATTGAACAAATTGGTTACAAAGCTGAGCTCTCTCAACAAGGTCTTGAGACCATTGCGGAGCAACGTGCTTCAATGCGAGCCGCGATAGATCAAGAACTTGGCATGCTTCAATCCAGGTTTTGGTGGTCATTTGTATTTGCAGTACCTGTTGTACTTATTTCAATGATCTTCATGATGGCTTTACCTTCATCAAATCCTGTTCACCGTGCCTTTGTTAAGGAAATTACACATGGTCTATCCGTTGGTGATCTCGTGTTGTTCTTGTTGGCCACTCCCGTGCAGTTCTGGTTAGGCTGGCCGTTTTACGTCAAGGCATGGCGTTCTTTAGTCTATTCAAGGACTGCAAATATGGAAACACTTGTAGCAATGGGTACAACGGTCGCTTATGTTGCATCAGTGGCATCCGTAATTGCAGTTATGGCAAGACCTCATATAGAGTCTATGGGTCTCAATTACTTTGAAACATCTGTATTATTGATTACCTTTATTAATTTTGGTAAATGGCTTGAAGCAATGGCTAAGGGAAAGACAGCAGAGACAATTACTAAATTGATGGATCTACAACCTGAAAGGGCTACTTTGGTCATCAGCGAGTCTACAGTAAATGATGAAAAAGATGTTAGTGAAGAGACCTTCATTGAAAAAGAAATTGATTCAAGGGATATCCAAGGTAAGATATTAATAATACTATTATTATACATAATACTAAAATTTATACAATAACAATATAGTGGGTGATATTTTAAAAGTCAATGCAGGTGGTCGTATTCCATGCGATGGTAAAATTTGGAAAGGTGAATCAGCTACAGATGAATCGATGATTACAGGTGAATCTGTGCCTATTACAAAGAGCGAAGGTGATAATGTCATAACAGCTACCATCAATGTTAGTAATACTATTTATATTCGTGCTATTCGTGTTGGTGCTGATACAACACTTTCACGTATCATTCAAATGGTTCAAGATGCTCAAGCTTCTCCTAAAGCGCCTATCGAACAACTTGCAGATCACATTTCTAGCATCTTTGTCCCTATTGTTATCTTTTTGGGTATTGCTACATTTATTATCTGGGAAGTAATGGCAGTGAAGGGTAAGGTACCTAAAGATTGGATGCCTGAAGGTGAAAATGAAACTATCTTTGCAATCATGTTGGCTGTTACTGTCCTTGTTATCGCTTGTCCTTGTGGTTTAGGTCTTGCGAGTCCTACAGGTAAGGTAGAAAAACAGAATTTTTTGTTTTTATATTTATGTTTTTTTTTTTTTTTTTTTTTTTTTTTTTTTTTTTTTTTTTTTTTTTTTTTTTAGCTGTCATGGTAGGTACTGGTATCGCTGCTAAGCATGGTGTACTTGTTAAAGGAGGAGGATACGCTTTAGAAATGGCTAATCGAATCACAACTGTTGCATTTGATAAAACTGGTACCCTCACAATGGGAAAGCCTCTTATTACTCACAATTGGATCGATAGCGAATCAGCCACAACCATTTGGAAAATCCTTGGACGAGTTAGTTCTGCAAGCAATCATCCACTTTCTAAAGCAATAGAGAAAAAGGCACGCTATATCATTCAAGCCTTATCTGAGAACCCACAACTTTCAGATACAGATCTCATGGTGCATGTGGAAGAGCAACAGGATTCTGATGGCGACCTCTTTGAAGGTGTGACATTATCTAATTCACAAGAAATCCCTGGTCGTGGTCTCTTGGCTACTATCACATTAACACCCGAGATAGCTGCCGATCTTAGAGGACCTTTACGTAATGTACGTGCTTTAAATATCTTTTTAGGAAACCAAGCTTGGATGGACGAGAATCATGCTCGTTTTGCAACTGCTGAACAAGCTCAAACCTGTCATGATTTGATAAGTGAATGGCAAGGTCTTGGCCAATCTATCGTTCTCATCTCTGCCTCTCCAGTCATTTCATCTCTTACCGACACTCATACAGAGGGATGCAAAGATGATTGTGCTTGTATTGTCTGTCAATGCTCAACTGTTTGCTGTGCTACTTCTACAACTCGTATGATTGCTCAAGTGGCCATTGCTGATATTCCACGACCTGAGTCTATTCAACTTATTTCCGAATTACGAAAGCGAGGTGTTGAGGTCTGGATGATCACTGGTGATAACGAAAAAACAGGTCGTGTCATTGGTCGTCAATTAGGTATCGAAGAAGATTTTGTTTTGGCTGGTGTTAAGCCTGAACAAAAAGCAGATAAGATTCGAAGCTTACAACAGAGACGTACACATGGTAAATCAATGGTAGTTGCCATGGTTGGCGATGGTATTAATGATTCTCCTGCACTTGCACAAGCTGATGTAGGGTAAAGTATTTATTTTATTTTTTTTTATTCTTATTTGAATTGATAATAATATAAATATATATTTAATTTAGTATTTCTGTCGGATCAGCTACAGATATTGCTATTGAAGCAGCAAGTATTGTATTGATTCGAAATAACTTGATGGATTTGTTAACCATGTACGATGTTTCACGTACAGTTGTTCGACGTATTCGATTTAACTTCTTTTGGGCATTTATGTATAATGTGATAGCAATTCCTATTGCAGCTGGTATACTTTATCCAGCCGTTGGAAAAGGCCTACCACCTTATATTGCAGGTCTTGCTATGGTTGCTTCTAGTATTACTGTTGTCTGTTCTAGTCTTTTATTACGTTTGTATAGACCACCTAAAGTAGTTAATGATTCATATCAAATCAAGATATAAAAAAAAAAAAAAAAAAAAATAAAACCCATGTTTACAATACATATAGAATAAATTATAACATCACTTTTTTAAAATTGCCTTTTTTTTGTTATTATTCTTTATTACTTTTTTTTTTTCTTGATGAAATTTATTATTCTATTCTTATTGTTACCTATTTGTGTCTTTGCCATTTATGGTACAGGTAATGGCTTAATTTTATACAGTATGGATGAAAAGACGCGATCAGGTGTACTTAGTTCAAATCATCGCTGTACCAATTTCCCCAAGCAATTTAAAGCAGCTTATGTCAAAAATACTGGCAGTAGTCATTGTGCCATGTGGACAAGTCCCAACTGTAAAGGAACACTCTATGTTGTCCCAGCACATTATAAAGTGCGAATCCCAAGAGACAATTTTGAGTCTGTAATTTGTTAATTTAATTATTTATTTTACTTTATTTTTACTTTATAAAAAATAAAATTATAATTGTTGAATGGGTATTTTCATATCATTAAAAAAGATACAAGATATTGACTGGCATTGTATATTTATAAGGCCAATCTTTGGTGAACGTCCAAATTTACTACAAGTATTATTTAGCTCCTCATGTTGTTCGACTTCATCTTTACTAATCTGATATTTAGTTTGATCCCAGTGGCACCATACCTTTTTATAATTATGATAAACCGTTGTCACTTGAATCCCCACAAATTTATGCTGTCCATACCAATTCACTTGCAACCTTGTTAATCTACTATTCTGCCATACCAGTTCACATAACCGTACTACCTCGCATTCTAGTATAACCGTTTCTAGTCTTGGACAACACCTTGATAGATATCTTGTCACTAATTCCTCAAATCTGGATTGTCTCAGCTCAAATTTCCTTAGAGCAAATACACCAAAATCAAGATTTTTAAACTGATTATAGATAACCTGAACATGAGCTCCAATCAACACAAGTTCCTCCAACTGAGTCAAATGCATTAGCAGATAATCAATTAAAAATGGTGTATAGGGGAACTGATCCATCAGTCCCCTTGGTAATGCCAATTCCAATGACAGAAGCCCTTTACAATGAAGTAGATGTGATGAGGTCACACCAGACCATCCAGGTATCTGTTCCCAAACCTTCAACTTGAGCTTTCGTAACTGTTCGAGTCCACAAGTTGAATCAAGAAGCCTTAAAAATTGAAAGGACTCATTTGCTTGGTAGATCTCAAAGTCTACGTCTAGGTCTAGATATTGTATGGTAGTAGTGCAAGTCTGAAATGAGGTAACCAATGATTTAGAAAAGAGAGATGGTATGTTTTGGCCTCCTAATCTGAGAGTTATAAGAGGTAGAGCTTGTATAAGTTGAGTAAACTCAGATTGCCATATCCTCCATTTTGTTGAACTACTATCGAATTCACTTGTGTTGTCTATTATATGAGTGATGTTGAGTTCTTGAAGGTTTGGGTAGCTGTAGCGAATTAAATCAAACCAATAGAAGGAGTCAATATAGCCGTCTAATGTTAGAGTTTTCAGTGAAGAGGGTTCACTAAAATGTGTTAATGATGGAATACTGGACTCCTGACGATGATTTGTGGGCTTACTACGGATCAATGTAAGATTCAGTAGATTAGGCAAAGCTCTATGTAATTGTTGTAAATTGCTAAAGCGTAGTAATGAATCAGAGTCATCATTCATCAACTCAAGTGTAAGATGTTCAAGATAAGGTACAACATAAATCTGATCTATTAAACTTAAGAACTGTTGCATGGAATGTTGAATATGTAAATGGGTCAAGTTATGTTTAAGGATCTCAATATTGCTGATGAAAGTTGCGTAAGGTAAAGGTGACCATTGTCGCACTGATATCCAAGATTCTCGTAATTGAAGGTGCTCCCAATCAGCTATATTAAAACAAAAAACCTCTATTTGAGGACATAATTGAGAAAGAAGATCAAATTGAGATTGAGTAAGTTACACATCTGTCTTAGATGTACCTAGATACAGCTTTCTGATCCAATAACCATTCATAATTGACTGTTCAAGTGAAGCTAAGAACAAGCGTAATTGTGTATTTGAATACAGCGTTATAGTACGATAGAGCAAACGTTGAAAAATAATACGCCAAAACCGACAAACATAAATGCATTGATAATAATCTTGCAAAGATAAATAAGCTGCTACTTGCTGTAGAAATTCTGCTGGAAATCTATTTTGTCCCATAAAGAGAAAAGAAAAGAAAAGAAAGAAAAAAAAAGAGAGAGAGAGGGGGGGGAGATAAATGAAGATAAAAGATAGGAAGAGATAATGCTGGAGCCATTTTTTTGATCATTTACTTTTGTATTACCCAAATTTTCCATATTTGTAATATATGACCTGAAATTTTTAAATGAAAAAATCTATGGTTTGTGCGAGTAATAGACTTTGGAATAGTACCACACACTTAGTTTATCCGATTTTATATAAAAAAGAGTTTGTTGATACAATGCAGAGATATTATCTTGTTGATTCGATTATGAAGCTTAATTATGAGATTATATGACTGAAGCAACGAATAATCAACTTGTGTCAAATTAAAAATTAAAATTTATAGGTATTATTTGCCATAAAAGACTATCAATTGGAGATGTATATTAAGCTTTTCATTTTAATATTATGATTAAAAAAAATGAATAGTATTTTGCAAAGACCCTTAAATGTTTGATAAAAAAAAAGGAATAAATACTTGAGTGGTGTTAAATATGAGGAAAGAAGAAGAATATACACAGAATCAACAAAGTTAATTTTCAAGTTATTCGGTAATTTTAAAAATTTCAAAGAAAATAATTAAATGAATGAATAAGATGTATTCAATATTTATTTTTTAATACTTGAAAAAATCAGTATCAACCGTGTTAAGTGTATGTGTAGAGAGGCTATAACAATGCTGTTATACTTGTTATAACTATTTATTATTTAAACCATAGCAATCATTATGGTTGGGTCATTTAAATAAGATAAGTGAATCTAAAAGCAAAGTTCATCAAGTGTATTAAGATCAAATAGATCTTATTAAATATTTTGAACTATGGTTTATAAATAAAAATAAAATAAGGTATATATGCACACAGCAAATAGAAAATTACTTTGACAATTATACTCGCATAAGCTTTATTTAATGAATTTGCCCTTTCATTAATTCATATCTCTTTAACCTTTAGTATTGACCTTATATTTGTATATATTAAGAGCAAACTTAATAAATCATTCTCCAATCATGCCAATGTATCATCCATTCTTAGTGCTTACCTCATATATATAAACTGTAAAAGGCCTCAAGTTAAAAGTCATTAATATGTATTATATTTATGTTAGTTTTTTTTTTCTTTTAATTTATTTATTTATTTGTTTAATATCTAAATTATGCGAGAATATGTCAATATAGAATATAATTCAAATTTCTGTGGTGTTTATGATGTAAAAGTGGGTATATCTGATTTCAATTATGTTTTCAAACCTCCACTACAGGTTTCTGATGGCGTGTTTTCATACGCCAATGAAAGGAAGTCATACGTTTAACAAAACTATTCGAATGCTGTTTTACAATTATTTCTTCTGATTTATACATTTCATCTATGTTTCCTGCTGACTGTATCATGTCTTGACTTGATAAGTCTTTAGCTGAAGAACTCCTTCGAATTGTCTGCTTATGATTCTTATGTTTCAACCCGATCTTTAAAAGAGCTGACTGAGATCTACTCAGATTAGTATCTTTCTTTTCTTCATAAATCGAACGCTTTAGTGTCGCTGATTTTTTCTTCCTTTTCAATGAATGACGTTTATGAGATTTTACTGGTATCTCAGGTAAAGGCTTTTGTTGTTGTATTATATGGATGTTCCCTTCTGTTGAACACCACGACGAAGATGAAGAAGAGCTTGAGGTAGAATTAACAGTGGATGTACTTCCACCTCTTACACTTTGAGGTAAAGAAGTATTAGAATCAGTACTGCACTGAATTGACTCTGGGCTGATAGGAAGCTCTTGTTTATTACTCTTTTTCCCTGTCATAAGAGAGGCAAGATGTAAAAGTGATTTCTGTTTTGAGACAGTTTTATGAACTGGTGAAGGATTGGGTGTAGTAGGTGATGTTATTTCTTCTCGATTTCGTAAAGAAGAAGAACGTTTAGGTACTGATTGAATGACAAGTTCAGGTTTTATTATCATAGGTTTTGAATTCTCCAAGGCAATTTTTTCAAATGCCGGCAATAAACTTGTCAACATATCCTGTGATTGTCGTTGAGAGCGTCTTCGTGGTTTACTAAAAGGTAATTCTGGTAACTTGGGAGCAGTATCAAGTTTAATATCAATAGCGAAATCCATATCAAAAAGACTCATTATTTCATTTGCCAAGTTTTGAGAAACGATACTAGAAGTAATACCCGTATCACTTGTCCAACTAAGTCGACGTTGTGTACTAAAACCGCTTTTATGACGTGCTTGTTTGGCTGTATCATCTACAAGAGGAGGTAAAGGTTTTTCAGAGAACTGTGGCTGAGGTTCATGATTTGAAAGTGTAGCGTTTGGATGTGAGAATAAAGTGGATGTTGTAGAATTGACCGAATCTGTCTTTGATATTTGTTCCTGCTGTTCTTCTGCTATCCAAAGTTCGTCTCCTACTTCCCCTTCTTCATCATCATCATCAAAAAATAGATCATCCTCATATTGATAAGTTGTTTTTATAGGCCGAAATGTTTCAATAATTTGTGCATATTGTGCAAATATTTCTTCTAAGCCTTCTTGTGTCATTTCTTCCAACGACCTATTTATAAAAATTAAATTTATTTATTTATTTATTTATTTATTATATTATATTATATTATATTATATTATTCTTACTCAGGTGTAAAATATTGCCATCGAGTCATTTGCTGTAACCATTCCACTGGGGTATTTGCATAGATATCTTCAATCATGTTCTTAACTACCGCGGTTTTTCTTAATGAATGAAGATCAGGAGGTGCAAATGTAAGTTGAGCAAGTTTGTAATTAGAAATGGCTGCTAATTGTATTGGATTATGTGAATCTATAATTTGTTTGGAAGCTAAAGGAGAGTAAGGTTCCTTTATCATTCCCATTGACCACGTCATAATTATAGTATAAAGAGAGAGAGAGAGAGAGAGATAAAAAGAAAAAAAAAAAAGAAAAAAAAAAGAAAAGAAATATAATATGTATATAATATATAAAAGCAATTTACATGTATTTACTGGGTTGTATGTTGTTGTACAATACAATTTTATTTTATGTAACATAAATATAAATTAAAACAATAAGACATCTTTTATACTTTACCGAAAGTTGTATTTCCTAATCCTCTACATTTTATAGAAAAGCTATTTGTAGTTTCTTTAAATCTCTTTAAAGAACGAGTTCTAAAAGAATAGAAGAATACTTAAGTCTTTTTGATTTATGAATATTTTTATACTGTCTTACCCAAGCATTCCTTTAAGAAATGTCTCCTTGTCATTGGAATTTACTAAAGTAGTTGGAAATCCATCCTATATATAAAAATTAATACACTTATACTCTGTTTCTTGGTCATCCTTATTCCTACTTTAACCAACAATGCTTGTAGCCATTGACGACTTTCTTGCATGTATTTTCCTGTAATTTTATATAATACATCAATAAGCGGACCTAAAAATGATCTAGGCACACGACCACCAATTCCCTATGTATTTAGTTAGATTTTATAACCAAGGAAAAAAAAAAAAAAAAGAAAGAAAGAAAGAAAAACCTCGTATTTACCAATAAAAGTTGCTCCATAATTTGAGGTCCTAAGTTTATCATAATTGTGTCTACTATTTTATCGTTTTCTCGATGATCTTGACTTACAAAGTCAGCCTAAATATGCATGCTTAATACATGAAACATGTATATTTCTATATTGGTTTTTTTTTTTTTTTTTTTTTTTTTTTTTTTTTTTTTTTTTTTTTTACCATAAAATTTAAGGCTGCTTTCAAAGCTAAACGTTCTTGTAATCCCATTCCAGCAATCACAAATAAGAAGATTGTGTTAATCATTTCTAATGGAAGTTGATAAAATGCTAAAGGACATCGTATAATCGTCTACCATTTAAAATAAATAAATTTAACCCAAAAAATTAAACATGTCTCGCAACTTACTCTTGATAATAAACTAAAATAGCTATCAACTATATCTGGATAGTGTTCCATAGCTAATAAAAAAAATTAACATTTTCTCCCTTCTCTCCTTTTTTTCCCTCTAAAGAAATGTTACCTTCTATTCCATGAATTACTTCTAAAGTCCTCCTTGTTAAACTACCAAGCATATCTCTTAACTTTTCTATATGTGTTTGTTGTCCGCCAAATACAGTCATCATAAATGCAGCTGTGTTCAACCAACAAGAAAATGGAGCTACATGATAGCTCGATTCTACTAAACCCATCAGATCAACAAAATTCAAACTTAAAAGTGGACTTGTTGATCTCATCCCTTGTTCCAAAAATGTTGCTATTGCCTTGGAAACTTGTTCATCTGTTGCCCAGATACGTGCTATTTCGGTTGTTGAGGTTCGAATAGCAAATGTGATTTCTGTAAAACCTTCTATAGTGCTATAAAGAGTAGCTAATTGTCCATTAGCAAAAGCATCATAAACTGACTGACGTTCATTGAGGGATTGATAGTCATCATGCGGGGATTGAATACCTCTACAACAAGCAGTAAGGTATTGAATTTGAACAAGGGCTGAATTACGTGAAATCTCGGGGTCTTTTTCTAAAAGAGCTTTGGAGACACCTTGAAGAATATCACCTGTCAAAGACTATATGTATTTATAATTAGACAATAGTATTTCTTATAATTTTTTTTTTTTTTTTTTTTTTTGGTTACCATTAAGGGAGCCATAGCCCTATCAGGAGGTAAGACTTGTATCACATCAGCAACAGATTCTACCACTCTTTGCATAATATTTGACTATATAAATACGTTAATATAGTTGCTTATTGCATTTTTTTTTCTTTTTGACTTTTTATATTATTACTTTTATATTTGAATTGGCCATTGCTCCATAAACATGCATTAAACTTTGTAATTCATGGACAAGGGATTCACGACAAGTGTCACAAATATCAGAAAAAGCTGAACTTGCTGACAAAGCAAGTTGTGGATTACTCAAGCAGGGAACAATATAATTCATAACAGGACTTAAAAATTCTGGATGTCCTTTAAGCCATTCAGAGAGCGAACCCATTAATAATAAAATTGTATTTTTTAACCGAAAGCTACAATTTTCAGATAATCGACCCAAAACATCTTGTCCAAATAGTCTAGCAATATATATATTTTCGTCAGGACTAATTTCTTCTGAAATACTTTTCAAACTAAACAGAGCAGCTTCTAGATGCTGTCAAATAAATTAATACTAATTGTTTGTGTATCCTACAACATAAAATCTTACTTGTGATACATTGGGTAAGGAGTCCCATTGATTAATAATCGAGACAGCTTGTTCCAATATAATTGCTAGCATTTCCTCTCGAAGTACATAATATGGATTTATCATTGTATCACCCAAATCGCGCCTCCAAATTTTAAACTTGTCCTTAATATCTAAATACATGTATACATGTATATACATATTTAAAAAAAAGATAGAATAAGAAATAAAGACATACATTGTTACCTTTATTCCATGAATTCCAAGTAGGCTCATCAGGATAACATGCATTTTTCACAAGTATCTTGACTAATTCTCGATAGATAACAAGAGCTGTCTGTCCACATTGCAAAGTCCATCCATCTGATTCTGGACGCACTGGTAAAATGTTTTCATCAAATAATGTCTCTTGCATAATATACCAAAAATTTAAAGGGATTTCTGACACTTCCTGATCTACAGGGTAATAACCTTCAAAGCCTGTCAATTGAAGCATCATTTGCATTAGTTCCTGTACCTCTGTTTGCGCTAATTGACTGACAATAAAATCTGTATAGGTCTCACCAAATACAGATAGTAATTTGGCTAACAAACGAGCTGTTTCTTCATCCTCATTACTTGTCTTGATAAGATTTGTAATACAAGCAAAAAGACCATTTCTATATTGTTGGTATTTGTTCCATGCTGGCTGTTGCATAGACTCAATTAATACCTCAACAGCTGATTCAAATAGCTCTTCATTCGTCAAAAGTTCCATCACTTTTTCCATAAGAGGATAAGCGTCTTCAAGTTGAAACCCATACTGAATCCAACTTTGTAAACATCGTAGTGTTTTCTGTTGAATTTGAGGTTCTGTAGTGGTTGTAAAGAGAAAATTAGATAAAGTGGATAAAACCATAGGAATATTTCCTTTTAATTCGCCGATCAATTGAAGTCTATTTAACAATAAATGAGCTTTCTTTTCTTTTCTTTTCTTTTCTTTTTTTTTTTTTTTTTTTTTTTTTTTGTTTGCATTATGACTGCATATTTACTTGCGTCCACCCATTAAATTTGAGTTTGACACCTCTTCAGGAACAAGCGTTAAGAATTCTAAGAGAATAACATTGATAGTCTCAACAGGTATATTATAAGTTTGTGAACCTAGAGTGATTGCTTCCAAAGTAGCTGTCATAAAGTTGGGCCATTTATCTGGCACTGTATGAAATGCATATGCAATCAGCTAAAAATAAAAATAAGTTCATTATTATTATTATTATCTTGACTTTAAACTTCTATTATCATATACAGCTACTTTACTGCCAAATATAATTTTGTAATAATAAATAGTGGACCACCACATAATCGTATAATCCAACCTAATAATTCGTTTCTTAACCAATCAATTTTATCTTCAGGTAATGTTTCCCTGATAATGTTTGTTAATTTTTTTTTTTTTGATTTATGCAAATCTAAAATAAGCTAAGCTCACCAGTCACGTGTAATTTTGACTTGAAAGGTATGTGCTCCAAAGAATCTACATTGATCTGACTGAAATGAATTTGTTATTCAACCAATTTATATAAAATTTAATCTTTAAGTTATCGATCTTTTATGAGATTTTACCTGAGACGATAACAATTGAGACGCCATTTCCCAGGCAAAAGGCTGTCTTTGAAGTTCTTGAAGTTGATTTTGAATTTGTTTCGTGACAAGAGTGTCTGTATTACTATAAAGCTCATCAATCAACTATTAATTATACATTGAACTATCAATTAGTTTATATATTTATTTATTTTTTAATATTAAATAAAGAGTAAACTATTTAAATTACCTTCTCTATTTGAGAAATAGTTGGCACATTCATTTTAATGAGTAAAAAAAAAAAAAAAAAAAAAAAAGAAATAGGTAACTAAGTGTTATTTTTAATGAATTTTTAAAAATTAAATTAACGCGATTGGCTATTTCGTTTCTTAATATTTTTTTTTTTCGAGTTGATAATTTTTTTTTCCCTTTCATTTACCTCTCTCCATACTAGACTCGAATAAAAATGAACATTAGACCAGCTACTGTAAATGTAATGATAATATACACGCTCTTGTGCTTACTTTTGATTATTAGGTCGAAGATTTAATCTACATTCAAAACTGTAATTTACTTGATCTTCCTGAAAATTATCAAATGAAATACTGTAAGAGAATGACATTTATAATATAAAAAAGGACTGTTTATAACTTTTTTCTTTGTAAAAAAAAATAAAAATAAAAAAAAATAGATCTTTACCATGCTTTATCATGGCCTCAATTATCTTTTGTCGCTGAAGACGAAAACGGAAAAATTGTTGGATATGTGTTAGCCAAAATGTAAATTAACATTGAAAAAAATTATAGACATTAGATATACTGACATGGAGTTTAATAGGGAGGAAGAACCCGCAGACGTTCCTCACGGTCATATTACATCTATATCTGTCATGAGAACATATAGACGCTTGGGTCTTGCTCAAAAATTAATGACCCAATCCACTAACCAAATGGCTACCGTCTTTGGTGCCCATTATGTCTCTTTACACGTTCGTAAAACTAATCGTGCTGCTATTGGGCTTTATAGAGACACTTTGAAATTTGAGTAAGTTCAAGTTTATTTGATATTAAATTTAAATATTTATAACATTATTTTAGTGTGCATGATATTGAAAAGAAGTATTATGCTGACGGAGAAGATGCCTATGCTATGCGCTTAATTTTAAAAGAAACGAAGCCTGTTATTCGTGGTGTTGTTGAAGAAGTGAACCAAGTTGCTGTTAATTAATAAACAACTTAATCAAGATTATTATCCAAAAATTTCTTAATTTGTTCTAATACATCTTTTTTCACAGATTCTTTAATTATAGCTAACCATCATTATGTCAGACTGTGTAAAATTCAAATAATAGCTTTTTATTTTATTTTATTTTTTTTTTTTTATTTATTTACCTCTACCATAATCACCGACTTCCTTTTCTAATTCTTCAAGTGTTGTCTTTTCCAAGTTTTTATTTCTTATAACATCTTTGGGGAAAAAAATAACTATTGTTGTTCAAAAAGAATGTCTAAAATTTACTTACCGCGAGTATATGCATCTAGATTACCGTTCCATCCAGATTCGATTAATCGAGTCCGTAAGAATTGTAATAATCTTTTATATATAAGTATATGGTATTTTTATGCATTTGGATAAGATGTACCTTTCTTTTTCGCCCGATTCCACAAATAGTTTATTAATAGCTGTTCTTGATTTCTCTGTTTCTGACATTTAAGTTGAAGTAGAGGAAGAGAAAAAGAGAAAAGAATGATTTGCTTAATAAAGAAGCTTTACAAGCCACGAAGAAGGAGTTCTCCAAAAAATCGGACTTTAAGAGTTTATTTCATCAATAATTGGTGTAAAGACAGATATTAATTTGCGACTGTATAGCTACTTTAAATGATGAAGTAAAGGACCTTAATAAATAATGCAGTTTATTTTTATTCTCTGAAACGGCAACTGTATAATTGCATGTATAATTAGCATATCGTCGAAAGATAATGTATATATGCTTATAAAGTATAATATATCACTTAATATACTAAGTTAAATATGCTTCATATTATATAGATTAAACAAATTTTAACTTTAAGAGAGATAGACTAGGGTAGATTGTCTATGGATGATTAGTATAATTTGTAAAAGTAACTTTTTCTTTTGTTATAATGAAGATAATAATTCCCTCCTGAATTAGCCGCCTTCTTATACTTTATTATTAAGGACAAGTCTATCAACTATTCAGTCTTGTTCTTGTTTTCAAATACAATATTCTTAGTTAGTTTTGACAGCTACGAACATAGTTACTGATCTCGATATCTACTTGAGAGCGTACAATATCACTTATAAACAGATAATGTATACAATTAATAGAAACATAAATATAAAATTTGATCTCTGTACTGACCAAATTATTGAATGAATGTTTACAACTTCTTATTAAACTTTTGATACTAATAATTTACTCGAATTTATTTGTAAAAAGACACGAGTTATATGATAAAAATATATGATTGTACTTGTATTTTTAGCATATAAAGGTGCATTGCCATGTTAAAAGCATTAGTTGTTATTTTTACTAAAGTTTGTGAGTCTATTGTAAAATATAGTGACAGACATAGCAAAGTTATCAATTGTTAAAAAAAAATGAACCACATATCAATCAAGTATTATCGATTAGTATAGCAAACCACAAATGTATATAATTATTTAATTTTTAATATTAATTGTTTTGTAAGTTGCATCTAGATGGTACAGATGATAGATAGCAGGGCTATTACTCTTATTATCCAATATAACACATTTTTGCAGGTTCTATCTAAAGCCAACATCATAACTGTAACGTTCACATTGTTGTAGAAGACAAGTCATCTGAAAAAGGGAAAATACTATCAAGTCTACATTATTGACATACAAAAAGACAGTTGATGTAAGAAGCAAGTTGTAATGAAGAGAAATTTAACGAAATCTTCTGAGGATAAATTACTTTAGCGTATGGCATTATTTTAAAAGTAGTAGCAGATAATGATAATTCAATAGCAAACCATAATTCAAGTATTGAAAACTTTCGTATGGGAGATATTACACGAGCGTTTAGACCATTAATCCTACGCGGAACACAGTTTAAACTACTACTATTGGAATTGGCACTAACTACTATCAAACAAGAAGTTGCACTACAGACGAATACTATCATTTAACTAGTTCAAACAGCTCATAACAAAATACTGAAAAAGAAAAAAGGACATTGAAAGCATACAGCGATTAGATCTGTGACATCTTCTGTAAAAATGACAAGAAATACTACGTATCTTCAGTATACCAATTACAAGCTGTCTAATCTCGACATATTGTTTTCTTTTTATGAACATCAAACTGCCGTCGACAAACTTAATATATATTAAAATGTACAACAAGTTCCTAAAATCATGGTGAACAGCTTTTTGCAGGGTACATCAAGATATAATCGAGAATGAAGAAGCAAGAAGAAGAGAAAGGAGAAGAGGACGAAGAAAAAGAAAAAAAAAGAGAGTATTAAAAGCCAAAAAAGGCAAGCGTAGACAGCAGTATCATCGAAAGTAAGGTGAAAACTATAGGTTTATGTATTCATTTCTAATTTTATAGGAAGGACAAATAGAGGGCAAGTAAGTTTATAAACGAAGATAAGTCAAGAGTTCCTCTGGTTATTTTTGGTAATAGTATGCTTCAAAGAGATGCTGTTAAGCTGAAGAGATTATGCTGTGGTGTTACTGGGGATATCGTGGCGATGCTTAAAAAAGAAAGAAGCCGTGGGGATCTTTTGGTCGTACTAATCAATGAATTTAACGCATAAAAGGTTTATAATTAATGTGTCACCTGCAAAAATCAAAGGTTAAAGTATACTTGTCTGCACAAAATGTAGTACACTTTGTCAGCGAGACATCAATGCTGCCACAAAATACTTGGGATGAAAATCTCTTCGTTCATCCAAAAAGACAATATCATGCCAAAATCCTAAAGCAAAAATTGAACATATAACCTACATTTGCCATAGCAAACACAGTTGCCTTCTAGAAAGCTTTAGATTATTGCAGGTAAGATATCCAAACATAAAACTCTATTCCTCTGAAAACTAATTTTTTCCTTCTAAATTCCGTCTTTATTTCATCCAAAAAAGGTAAGCATGTTAACTGAACTTAAATTTTACTTTGTTCAAGAGAAAAAAAAAACTAACACAGTCTTAATTCAAAGTATTAACCAACATACATCAACGTTAGAAGAAGATATTATTTTTTAACTTTGTAAAAGACCGATGCACAAATTTCAAAAAAAGAAAACAATTAAATCTCAGCTCCAATTTGATTTGTTTACGTCATTGTTCAAGAAGTAGTCTTTCATAAACAGTGAGTGAACGCGTTATGTGTCCTTTTTTTTTTTTTTTTTTTTTTTTTTTTTCCTTCCTTTTCTATCACAGGCATAAAAAATTATTTTCCCTACAAAAATTTTTTTCTTCTTTTTCTTTGTTGTTTGTATATAAACGTATTTTTATTTTATTTTATATAGACACATATTTTTTATTTATAATTTTTTTTTTTTTTTTTTTTTTGTAAATTAACAAGAAATACCCATTCAGTTATAAAAATTCTTTTTTTTATTTTGCATAACCCAAGCAATGCTAATCGGCCTTCAATGAGTAGTGAATCAGATATATCGTTAACACCCAGTCCTAAACCACGAGCTACAACGAAATCTCAGAAAGCTAGTTTAACGCGTATTGTGAAAGCTCAAATAACCCTACTTATATCAAACCTCAATAACGACAATTTTACTCGAAAAGCAACTGAAATTAATACCTTAATCGAAACTCATGGAGAAGACATTCGTGAACATCTTTTTCGTTTTCTTCTTTCAGATATTTTTAAACAAGACCTAGACGATAGTACACCCCATGTTCGTTTATTGAAGGAAAATGCTGTTTTTACTGTCAATAAGGCAAAAGTAGAAACAATGGTTAGCTTTGGTAAAGCTCTTGAACAGTTTTGTAAATCGGATATTCAGGTCAATCTATCTATGCTTTTTGATAGACTTGAGTTAGATTCATTTGATAAAACTGTTTTTTGTTTGCCTTTATTGTCTTCTAAACCTGAAATAACTGAGCAAGGTAAGATATAAAAAAAAGTAGAAAAAAAAATATACAAACAAGTATGCTCATCGTATTTATTAGCTAAAACTATCTTTACTGCCAATATGCAAAATGCTACGACTAGTTTGATGAGTATCGAAACAGTATCAGAAAGTGTAATGCAATATATTGTTGATGTTGTCACAGATGTTATTAATGAAGAAATATACTCCTTTGATTACGAAAAACTACAATCATTTATCTTAATGATAGCAGACCGTTGTCCTAATAAGACAATAGCCCAATCATTTGAATGTTTATTAAATACAAAGATGAAAAACTCAAAGCCAATTGATTCACAATTTATACGAAATAGTATTGAAATGTATAGTAATGATCCTTCTTCAGTTGGACGGATTTTAGAGTCAATAAAGGAGCTTAATGTAAGTTTATTTGTCTTTTTTTTTATTTCCTATCAAAAGAAATAAAACTAAACATTATGGTTATATAGCTACTTCCAGTTGTTTTGGACTCTTTTCCTCTATTTTTAACATTAGATTTAGTTTATTTGGCAGATTATCAAAAGTTGATGAATTTGGAATCTTGGCTTCAGGAAAAACTAAAAAATCAGCAGCAAAAAGATATTTTTGCAAAACAATGTCTGGATTATCTTAATCATAAAATATCTGTAGAAAAACAACGTCAGGATAGTAGCAAAAATTTACCTATTGCTTTATCTGTTGAAGCTATCAGTGTTTTCCTTAAAACTTTATCTACCAGGTAATATAGATATATTTATATGCATAGTTAATTAATTATGAAAGAAAAAGGAATAACAAATTATTCTATAATTACAGTCAAATTTCACCTTCATTACTTGATATGACAAAGGAAGTTCAAAATCATTGCTTGAAGACCTTTCCGAAACTATTAAATGTTGGAACTCAATCTGTATCTGGAACAGAAGTATCTTTTAAACCTGAAATTGAGGAGGAGGCAAATCTTTATTACGAGCGAATTTATAACGGAGAGCTTTCATTAGATGCCATGATTGAGTTATTGAAAAAACTCAGCATCTCAAAGGATCCTCGAGAACAAGACGTCTTTGCATGTATGATTCATAATCTTTTTGATGAATACACATTCTTTCCTAAATATCCTGATAAAGAACTTTCAATTACGAGCATTTTATTTGGATCATTAATTCAGCATCGCCTTGTGTCTTATGTTCCACTTGGAATAGCACTTCGCTACGTTTTGGATGCACTTCGTAACCCAATGGGATCTAAGATGTTTAATTTTGGTGTGCAAGCCCTTCGACAATTCCAGTCCCGTCTAAGTGAATGGCCTCAATATTGTGCACACCTTCTTCAAATACCTGACTTAGTACAAGCTCATCCTGATCTTGTTACTTTTATTCAAGCTGCTATGCACCAAAGTGGACAAATCAAGCCTGGAGAGAATCTTATAGAGCCACGAGGTAACAGCTATCAAGCTGCAATTGTTTCTTTTACAAGCGTTCATATTCCCCCTGTCCCTGCCAATAATTACAGTGAACCCTCGAGTGCAATTCAAGACAAAATCCTTTTTATCATCAATAATGTAGCCCAAAACAACATTGAAAGTAAGGTAACAGATCTTCTTGAAGTCCTTACTCCCTCTGCTTATAAATGGTTTGGCAACTATCTTGTTGTTAAACGTGTTTCGTCTGAACCCAACTATCACGAGCTCTATATTTTGGTACTCGATTCGGTTAATTCCAAACTTTTGAATGCACACGTTTTAAGTGAAACATTTGCAAATATTTTAATCTTGTTGAATTCTGAAAAGACTGTATCGAATTCATCAGAACGTACTCTATTGAAAAACTTAGGATCCTGGTTAGGTCGAATGACTTTGGCCAAAGATAAGCCTATCCTTCACAAATATATTGCTTTTAAAGATTTATTGCTGGAAGGTTATGATAGCCAACGTTTAATTGTCGTAATTCCTTTTGTTTGTAAAGTTCTTGAACAGTGTGCCAATAGCAAAATCTTCAAGCCTCCTAACCCATGGACAATGTCCATTCTCAAATTACTCGTTGAATTATATGATTGTGCTGACCTTAAGCTTAACTTGAAGTTTGAGATTGAAGTGCTTTGCAAGAGTTTGTCATTAGAGTTAAAGGCCATACCACCTACTTCTGTTTTGAAGAATAGACAACCTCAGGTATATGCACGAAATTCGATTACGGGATCCAGTGCAGGTTACCCAGGTAGAGGATCTGCTGGTGGTAACCCACTTTTGCAAAATGCAGATATTGAGCCTGATCATAGTATTTTGGCTGAGTCAATGATTCCTGTACCTAATCTTGCTCCTTATATTGCCTTTAATCCTCAAATTGCCCTGTACACAACACAACCGGCTGCTAAACGTCTTGTTCTTCAGGCCTTTACTGAATCTATTCGTGAAATTATTGGTCCCGTTGTTGAACGTGCAGTTGCAATTGCTGTTGTTTCAACACGTGATTTGGTTGTCAAAGATTTTGTAATGGAAACAGATGAGAATAAAATGCGCAAGGCAGCACACATGATGGCACAGAATTTGGCAGCTAGTTTAGCTATGGTAACAAGTAAAGAGCCTTTAAGGTTAAGTGTGGTAGCTAATTTGAGAGCCATATTCTTGGCACATGGGTTAAATGATGTAAGTTTTTTTTTTTTTTTTTTTTTTTTTTAAAAAAATGAATCTATGTAAAATATAAAGTATTTATTATATATTTCCAAATGCATATATAGACAATGGCAGAGCAAGCAATTATTTTGACAGTAGCAGATAATTTGGATTTGATGTGCGCTGTAATTGAGAAAGCAGCTATGGAAAAGGCAACATTAGAAATTGATGATACGTTATCAAATGCATTTATGAGTCGGAAAAAACATCGTGAACAGAGACCCACACAACCATATGTGGATATGGAGACTTATCAGATGTCCACTTATATGAATACATTACCGCCTGCACTACGTCCCAAGCCGACAGGATTACAACCAGCACAAATGAATGTCTATGAAGATTTTATGAGAATTCCTCGTGTCGCACCTGCATCAAACACAAATGGAACTATGATGGATCGTTCTGGACGTATGGATATGAACAACTTCAATTATGCTAGTTATGCAAATAATTCATCTTTAGCATCTAATGCCGCAGCTGGATTGGACAATAACCTTGTAATAGCTGGACAACAACCACAGCAACAAATGCCTCAAGTTAGTGCTCATATGATTTTGGAACGATTTGCTCAGTACATTACTGAACTTGAAAAACTTATAAATCAAACAAATGTGAATAGTATCAACGCTTTGCCCCAACATAGTGATATCCGCACCTTAATTCGTCAAATTCCTATGTTAGCCCTCGCTAGTTTCGACAAAACAGAAGCTGCTCGTACTTTTGCTCAAAAGGTTGTTCAACTTCTCTACAAGAGTGATAAACAATTGACGATTGAAGTCTATGTCGTGCTGTTAGAACATCTCTGTGAGGTCTCACCCAATGTTGGCACATTAGTCACCTCATGGTTAACTCATGCTGATGATGAACGCAAATATAATGTACCAGTCACTGTAGCATTAATCAAAGCAGGTCTTATCAATTTACCTGAACAGGATCAAGAGTTGGCCATTTTAATTGAGAGTGGACGTAAGAGTGCAATTGAGTTCACAATAAGATTGATCCGTGCTTGCTTATTTGGTGAATACCCTCTAGCAACACGCCACGAATTTATTGCTTCTCTTGAAGCTCTCAATAACATTCGAAATCATTCTGAGTCTGTCATGTCTCTCATGGATGATCTTATGAAGACTCCTGAAGTCAAAGAACGAGGGCTTCGTGAACAGCTTCAATTTTATTTTGCAGAATGGGTCCGATTATATCAACATCCTGCCTCAACAGAAAAGACTATGTTGGCGTTCGCAACTCAGTTATCGCAGCAAAACATTTTTAAAATGGATGATATCTCTTCTCTCTTTTATCGTGTCTGTATTGAAGTTTCAGTAGAGCATGCAATTAAATTTAAAATGTTACCAGGACAATCACCTAATTTGGCATACCAGCCTATGGATGCACTTTCCAAACTAATTGTCTGTCTTATTCAAGTATCTCTGACTGAGGGACAGATTGATCCTATGGCACATTTCACAAGAGCACTCTCTGTAGCCGTTCTAATCATTTCCCAACATCATGAAATGCGTGGTCAACATTTCGACCAACGTCCTTTCCTTCGTTTCTTCACTAGTATATTATCAAATCTGCATACCGTTGAACAAAGTATTCAATCTTTATACCTGCCTCTTTTAATAGCGTTTAGTAACACTCTTTATACATTACAACCTAAGCATTACACAGGATTTACTTTTGCCTGGCTCCAACTCATTTCCCATCGTTTTTTTATGCCCCAATTATTGTTATCTGAGAACCAAAAAGGTTGGCCTGCCTTCCAACGACTCCTTGTATCCCTTTTTGAGTTCTTGGTGCCCTATTTACACACAGTCGAACTTCAAATGACAACTCGTATGCTTTATCGTGGAACACTCCGTGTCCTCCTTGTCTTATTACATGATTTCCCTGAATTCCTTTGTGATTATCATTATAGTTTCTGCGATGTGATTCCAGGAACTTGTATCCAGATGCGTAATCTTATCTTAAGTGCTTTTCCACGCAATATGCGATTACCTGATCCCTTTACACCTAACCTCAAAATTGATCTCTTACCCGAAATTAATCAATCACCCCATATCCTTACTGATTTTACAAGTATTCTTGAAGAACATGGATTAAAGAAGGAAATTGATCAATATTTCGAAACAGGAAGACCATCTACAAACCGATTCCTTAAAGATCTTCCTAGTCGTTTGTTGATTGATAAAAATACATATTGTATTCCTTTGGTGAACGCTCTCATTTTCTATGTAGGTACAAGAACAATCGCTAAGGGTACTTCTGTACATCAAGGGCCAGCTGCGGAAATTTATCAATATTTATTATCTGAATTGGATTCAGAAGGTATAAAGGAAACATAAAAATTATAATTATTATTTTCACTTTTTTATTAACCCCCTTTTTTTTTTAGGTCGATACCTCATGTTAAGTGCAATTGCTAACCAATTGCGTTATCCTAACAGCCATACACACTACTTCAGCTGTGTTCTATTGTATTTGTTTGTAGAGGGCAAGAAAGAGATTGCTAAAGAACAAATTACACGTGTCTTACTGGAACGTTTGATTGTCAATCGACCACACCCGTGGGGCCTCTTAATTACCTTTATTGAGTTAATTAAAAACCCAAGATACAGTTTTTGGTCACATTCATTTACTCGATGCGCAACTGATATCGAACGACTATTCGAAAGTGTATCAAGGTAAATTGATCTTTTTTTTTTTTTTTTTTTTTTTTTTTTTTATTTTCCAAATAACCATGGTTATATTTATTTATTTTTTTCTTTTTAATAGATCTATTAATCAAAATTAAGAATGATTTTTTTTTAGCAAATATTTATGTATAACATAAAATACCCCTTTTTTTATACTGGCTTTGAGAGAAGGGAAAAAAAAACATGGAAATTACATAAAAAACAAAGTTTATATTTCTTTCTCTTTTCTTTTCTTTTTGATTATTTGATCTTGTTTATAGTCTTGTACATGTTAATTTTTTTCCTTATATATTCTGTATAACAACTTCAATATTAATAATAATAAACCACGAGTTGAATTACATAGCTCTTCTTTAATTCAAATTATATACGCAAGTTTTTATGAAACATACAATCTTCATATAATGTCTTTCTTGTCGTGATACATTATCAACTCAGTCATAAGTTTGATCTTGTCATAACTAAACCAGCATACTTTGCTGTTCCTGTTTTATGACTACTAAAAGATTATTAATACGAAAAGTCACTTCATATAATAATACATTTAACAAGAAGCATTATTTAATTCTTTTTTTTTTTCTCGGTCAAGTTATAACCATCAATGCATACATTTAATTTACCAAAACTTTTATTAAAAAAAAAAAAAAAAAAAAAAGAAAAAGAAAAAAAAAAGAAAAAGAAAAATAATGAGTACTTTTTTTATGATAAATTGCTGGTTGATGTTTCATGGTTCATTGTCTTACAAAACTTTTGTATTCTTTGTCGTATTAAATCTTTAGTTACTGGTTTAATTAAAATATCATCAAATGCCCCTGCTAATTGAACTGTTTTCTCATATGCCGTCACAGCAATAATAGGTGTTTCTCTATTGCTGTTATTCGTACTCTTGATCATTCGTGCCGCCGTTTCTCCATCGATTATAGGCATTCGAATGTCCATAAATATGATATCATATTGAACATCACTCATAGCAGTACGAATAGCCTGTGCACCATTCCTCACAATTACACATCTACAGTGAAGTGTTCGTAAAATGGTTTCTAAGATTTTACAGCTAATTGGATTATCATCTACTACAAGACAAGCAAGAGGCTTATTATGTTCGGATGATCGCGCTTTATTACCTACCGCAGCGACTGCAGCGGCAGCCTTACATGGGTCAATAGATGGCGTTGATAAAGATCGGGAACGTTGAGGGGTCCCATCCTTAGATGAAGATACACTTGAATTTTCAGAATGCTTCGCTTGTCTTTTTGATACAAATGGTCTACAAGAAATAGAAGGTGACATTGTTAACGGTGTACTTGAAGATGAAGAGGAGCTTGTGGGTGTTACATCTTGCGACAAATGACTATTCTTGGTGAGATGTTTACTGCGATTATGTATTGGGTTTGGAGATAAGCCATCACTGATACTATCATGCCGTATTTTACGTATCATATCTTCATTAGCTTTTTCTAAAACAGGCAAGTTTTTGTACGTGAACGTCCCAAAATTGGTGGTATCATTATCAATTTTTTCAGGGTTTTGCTCTTTAATAATGGCTTTAGCTCGTTCCACTTGTGCAGTTATTTCCTCAGGTGCATTCTGCATAGTAGCTCCACGGGCATCGAAATAATCTGTATCTTCTACATCAGCGGGTTGAGGAATAAAGGATGGTGATTCAGTCAGTAAAGTGTCCCAATGAATGTCTTTAAAGAAAGGATGTTCTTTTACTTCTTTCGCCCCATTATAACCTAGTCTTTTCTCAGGATCTAATGTCATTAATTTTTCCATAAAGTCTCTCGCTTCAGGAGAAATTTGAACTTCATCCTCATGCCAATCAATACGTCTAGAAAGAATATTCTCAAAGACTTTATCAGGAGTATCTGCATAAAATGGAGGAATTCCATATAAAAACTCATAACAAATAACGCCTAATGCCCACTGTACATGTTTTTTTTTATAAAAAAAAAGAAGAGAGTTATTCATGATTATTTGTATATACATATACATATATATATATATATTTAACTTACCCAATCAACCATAGAATCCTGTCCAGTACCCAAAATACTCTCTGGTGCTAAATAATCAGGTGTACCAACAGCATGTCGTGTGCTGTTATCTTTACAGTTTTTGTTCATGCTTGAAGAAAACGATTCTGAAATAGCGGCAGATAAATGACGATGATGTGTATTATTCCGTGTCTCTGAAGACATCGATTGATTTGCTATGGCGTCATCAGTTGGTTCGTACTGATCAAATAAAAGACTAAAATAAGAGTGTCGGTAAGCACCATTGGGAGTTGTAGGAAATTCAATAGTAGGCGATTGAGGAGGCGTACCTGACCTAGAAGGAGCAGGAGATTGGGGCTGGTCCTGTTCATGACAAGAAACTGTAGTCAATTCATCACGAACACGACGATCCAAGAAACCAATTCTAGATAAACCAAAATCAGTTAATTTTAAGTGACCATTATGATCAATCAACAAATTATCTGGCTTCAAATCCCTATTAAATAAGATTTTACATAATATATTAATAAATATATTTATATAGAAAGCTTATAGCTTATTACCGATGAATAATATTCTTGCTTTGTAAGTATTCTAAACCCAATGTCACTTCAGCAAGATAATTACGTGCCCAATCTTCAGGTAAACTTCCTAATACTTTAATAAGAGCAGAACAATCTCCACCATTTAAATACTCGAGTACCAAATACAAATAATCTTTGGATTGGAACGTATAATATAGTTTAGTCACAAAGGGGCTGTCAGTTTGTGACATTAAAATCATACGTTCTGCCTTTACATTGGTAACTTGGTTTTTGGCAATCATATCTGATTTCTTTAAAAATTTAATAGCATAGTAATCACCTGTCGTACGTTTTTTAGCCAAAAATACAGAACCAAATGCACCCTTACTAATAGGCTTGATAATATCAAAATCCTTGATGCTAGGAAAGGTAGGACGTGATGCAATAGGCGCATGTAATGGCGAAAGAGGAGATTTTGCCATAGCCTGCTTATCATTCTTTGGACGTAGGTTAGGTGACCCCAGAGGTGTATCAATCGTCTCTACTTCAAAAATCGGTGTTGCATCAGGTGTTATTGATTTTAGCTTTTGTGATATGCGACTTACAACATTTGACTGCCGTCTTTTCCAAGATTTAAGACGGTTCAAAAATCCCTTTGGCTTTTCAGTTTTTACTATTGGCTGAGTGACTTCTTCTTGATTCTTGGATATAAATTCCGTCCAGTTCGGCTCTTGATGGGTATTTTGTTGGAACTCTGTTCGAGCTCTATTGTTATATTCGAGTCGGTCACGCATTCTGTTGACAGCATCAACTTTCCCACGTGCGAGGCCCTCAACTTCCTTAATAAGAGCAGTCACAGTAGGATCGTTCGTAGTTGGTGGACGCCAATAGAGAATTTGTATCATCTTGTCTTTTGAACGGGGTGACTGTAAAGTTGTCTCATCTTCAGCACTCCCTGGCATGGATATACTTAATGCAACGTCGATAATTTCTATTAAATCTTTGTACTGTTCCAGATCAATTTTTTTCAATTCTAGAGGATCTGCCGCAGGTTCCAATGGTAGAGAATCACCAAAGATTGAATCATTATCACTTTCATTATCTTTTTTATCATCATTTACTTCACAATGATATACACCTGATTCCATATCAGAAATATCCTGTTTTGTTGCCTCTATTCTTTCGTTGATAACTTGCTTAAGCTCCATTAAACTGTCGTTACACACATTAATATCCATTTCACTCTGATGAATTTCAACACATAATTCCGAATGCTGTTCAAAATAGGCAGCTACCACCCATTTTTCACAAACATGACATAAAACGGGCGGCAGGGATAACAACTTGGAACACGAAATGGCTCCTTCATCCTCTTCATCATTTATTTCAGGTACTGAGGGTAAAAATGGAGGTGTTTCAATGACTGGTTCAGACTTAGATCGATTTCGCTTAATCACCTTTTCCTCTTCTATTTCATCTTGTGGTTGCCAATGTAGTATTGACCAACGACGAGGCATGACTGGCTTTATGACCCACATAGTATGGCTGGGCTCACCAGTTACACGATTGTACATTAACATGCCTTTTCCTTCCATTTCAATAAGTGTATTATCGTGGCCAACAATATTGAATCGAACCTCCACTGTATGAGAATCATCAGCTAAAAGTTCTTCTGTTGCTACACTGAAGACTTGGCCATCATCATCCGATAACAATTGGTTTACGCTTTTACCAATTACTGACTGAGGATTCGACCTAGTAAATAATTTTTTTTTTTTTACAATTTTAAATATATAGATACAGATGCATATATATTTATATATAAACAGCTTTATTCTACTTACCCAATTACATCTAACCAAACAGGGCTTACATATTCTATCAAAGTTGTTTCTAAGCTTAACTCAACAATAATCGTCGAACTTTGACTACGTTCTGCTTCTTCTTGCAGACTTTCTACATCTTCATTAGTAGATTGTTTTGGGTCTAATGACATATCTGATTCGTCATCCTTTGAGTACTGTATTGATTCCATATCGTCTTCATTATCGCTTGGTGCCCAGAACCACTTTTCAGCTGCCCACCATTCTACTACACGATTAAGGGCTGCGATACTCAGTAGCAACCTCACATACCACTCACGGCAAGGCCATTCAGGATGCTCATCCCATTGTGCCCCAGCTGCTTGGATTCGTGAAACAGCATTTGCACATGCTCCCTCTGTTTCCAAAATCTCATCTAATGATGTATCCATCACGCTTTGAGCTACGGAAATCAAATCCTGCAAGGTCAAAATAAAAGGCGTTGGTAAGTATGAGTCTTCAGAGATAAGAGCTACTACAGGTTCATCATCTGAAGTGGAAGAAAGGGTTCGCTTATGGGGTAAATGATTAGTTAATTCCTCTTCATCCATTTCTACTACACTAGGTAAAGCACTAGATACTTCTTCTTCTTCTGAATGCTCCTCCTCATCAGGTACTTCATCCATGTTTTCTACATACTGTAAACCTCGTTCAACATACTCATTGAGCCCATCAATGATCAAACGAAGCTCTGTATCACACGCCTCTTTTGCGAAACTCAAACGAGATTGAATCGAATGTTGTATAGTTGTTGTTTGGCCAGGGTTATCAAATCGATAACCAACACGTTTAGATTGGGTAATAGGTTTTTTGTGCTCAATTGTTGTCTCTTTAATCGTTGGTGTTGACTTGGTCGATTGTAAACGCTGAGGCTGCTTCCGTTGTGAAAAATGTTCAGCACTTGTCTTCACATTTTGCCACCAGTTCGTCAAAACACGGTTTACAACAGATGTATTCGAGTTGGAGCTTTGTGAAGAGGATCGACGACGGATCTCCTGGGCTTTAATAATTTTATATTCTTCAAGCCAGTCAACCCATGGAATTGTGTTTACCATTTCAGTATTTTCTTCTGCACCATCAGTACCAGTGACGAGGATTTTGGGTGTTCCATCATAAAGACGCATCAGACTTGTAGTTGAATAGCGTCGATCTTGAGATGGTTGTATAGCTGTTGTAGCTGTGACATCTTTAGATTTTTCTTTAAGGCTACACCATCGTTTGACTTTAGCAGATCGTGACATAAACAATTTTTTAGCATAATCTTCATCAGATCCACGTTCTTCTCCATAAAATGAAGAAGTTATTAGCAATGGTGGTCGATAGTTGGTTGTTATTTCTGATGTAGAAGCTATCAAAAAAAATAAAATAAAATAAAATAAAAAAAGAAAAAAGAAAAATAAGAAACCATTATAATATATCTATATATCTATATATCTATATATGCTAGCACTTACTTGTGGGCGCACCTCTTAATAACTCAGTGCTAAAATAATCATTAGGGTTCCAGTCCATTGAAGATTGACTACTGTGTTGTACTTGATTAGTATTCGCTGTTTGTGACTCATTTAATAACATAGCAGGGTATAAGGGACTTTTCATGTCTTCTATAAGAGGTACATCATATGACGGTTGTGATGCCATTTCAGTAGGTAGACCAGAATCCAAATTCATTTCAACAACATCCTTATCAGCTTCTTGCAACCTTGGTTTATTACGTAAGGATTTTCGTTTACTTGATAACTGTTTTCGTAGTAAGGAATGTAAAGAGTGCTGATAAATAGGTACACCTTCTGGTGATATAGCTTCTACATCTGTACGTTGTTGCTCAACCTTTGCTAAAGGGTGTTGAATGCCATTAATTAGATCAGCAGGAGGTGTTTCTAAAATGGGATTAGGAGAATGCCCATTAATGATATCGGCAAGTTCAGAGCTGGGTATGTTTCGAAGCATGCTCATAGAAGATCGACGCTTAGTTTTTTGGGAACTAACATGTGGAGTATGTGGAGTTGAACTTGAACTGAGTGTGTGTGTAACTAAAGGTGATGCTGAAGCAGATCGTGGGCCTGTAGCACTACCAGCACTTGACTTATTATAACGGTCTATACAAGAAAATGGAAAGCAAAAAAAAAGAAAAAAAAAAAAAGAAAAAGAAAAAGAAAAAGAAAAAAAAAAAGAAAAAAAAGAGAGAGTAGGAAAGAAGAGTTAGTTTTTATTTCACTAAACTAATATTATTGTGATATTACGTGGAGAAGATAATGGTGAATACATATCCTCACTTGCTAAACTTGAATCTGTAATAATAGAAGAAATAGATGTCTTTCTTTCACGTATTAATGATCTTTTTCTCTCAAATTCTTCCATATCTGGATCATCAGATTGTTTTCGTTGTTTAAAGAGCAAAAAAGAATGTGCTGAATTATCTGTAGTAGACGAAGAAGCTGATACTGTTGTACTGTCCAATGAATTTTCTCGCCTAGGTGGTATATGCTGATGCTGTCTATCTTCACGTAATTTAGATAAAGAACCTGATTTAAGAGAACTACTATCTTCTTGTTTTGATGCAAGAGGGGGAATTAAGATGGGTTTTGTAGTTGGTGTTGTTGAGGGAGTTGAGTCATGAGAGATGGAAGAAGAACCATCGATCCAGCTGGTTCGTTTTGATCGTACCATATACTTGCCTCCACTACCAGCAGGCGGGCTTGCGTATCGAGGTGGTGAACGTGCATGGGGTATCTCGTTCAATTCACTGCCAGGACTACTACTGTATTCAACATCAGCCAATAATGACCTTCGATAGTCTCCTGGAAGTGAATTGGTAGGTGAAGTAGGGAAATGAGAATCCGCATAAATAGGAGTATTAAGTTTAGTTGATAGTTCCTCGGTAGAATAAATAGACGATTTACTAGTACGACGCTTCAAAATGAGTGGTTGAGGAATGGGAACACTTTTAAGTTTGGCACAAGGAGGAGTAATTTCGGCTGAAGTTGTAACTGCACTTACAGTGACAGGAGCTGCATTCGCTCTTTCGGAGGATTGTAATAAGGATATAGAGTCGGGCAAAGTGCTATTAGGTTTTTCTGCTGTTGATTTATTTGCATTGGTTGACTCTTTTTTGTCTACTGAATCCATGTGAAAGTCATTCAGTGAAGAAAAGAAGATAAAAATAAAATAAAATAAAAAAATCATGTCTGCACTACACACGTCACACGGAGAATTTTATTGGCTGTAAATATACCCATTTAAAATAACATGTAAGCTTTTTTAATGCATTCTTGTCAGATACACATTATGATGTATTATTATATGCACATTCCTTTTATGATAATAAGAATTTTCGAATTATAAAGCGTTTTAATGTGTGTAGTTTTGGCATTGTATGTCAATAATTGAGTTTTAAATACAGTAAAACAAATGATAGCTTTCTTTTTTTTTCTATGCAAATAAAATGAAAAATTAAATAAATTTTGCCGAATATTGATAACTTTTGCATAATAAATATAAAAAACATAATATTTAAATAAATAACGATATAAACAAACAGGAGGTAAGATGTATATGTAAAATTAGCTAGATGGATCAGATTAAGGAACAAAGTAAAGAGTCTATAATACGTATGAATAAACTAAGGAAAATAATAATAAAAAAAAAATAATAAATTAGAGAAAGATATAAGCCAATTCAATGTACTTTTTTTCCTAGTATGCTTAATTAATAAAGGGGGATTTTTACTATACAAGAAAATGGTAAAGTTGTGACAATATTCAGTTGAAGTTTAAACTATTATTGTCTTCTTCCAGAAAACTACAAATAATAGCTTTAATCCCTTAAAAAGGTTAAAATTTTATTCTTGAAAGGGAAAAATCTTTTCTCCATTTCATACCATCAAAATGACTTTTTTTTTTTTTGAAGATATACTATTAGAGTATACTATACGTATATAAAAACAAAAAAAGACTACCATCATATACAAATGCATTTTTTTTTTGTTCAAGATCGAAAATATTAATCCAAATATCCTACGTTTCGCACAACATATTATTTTGTGATTTTAATATTAAGTATAACAAACTATACAATGGCTTCTTTCTCTCTTCAATTTGTATACGACAACAGATTAAAACTATTCAATTGGATTAAGTTGGGCAAACAAGGTGGGCCCTCGGCCACCACTTACAATATACTTTTCAATGCTACCTATTATATGGATTAGAGCATTATTTATTACGATGTTATACCTTTCAAATTCCTAATCACTTTTAATATGAACAAAAGTTTTTAAAGAGAGTGTTCTTTTATTATGTTTTGTTCTATTACGTAACTTATAATTTCTGTTCAAACGTCAAACCATCATAGAGTTTATTTCATCGTGTATAACGACCTTTTTACTTTCAAGTTACCAATAGATCGGCTGTTTGGGGAGAATTAACTTTGCAAAATGATCCTAAAAATACCAAATTCGATCAATCTTATGACCTTTGATCTAAATAATGTCCTAAAAGGAGCTTATACAATTGCAAACATTGAATAGTAAAATAGATGCGGTAATGATGTTGTTCGTTATCTTGGGATTTAACCTTTACTGTCTTCAATTTTGTTAGAAAGATGGTTGATGGTTAATGAGCTTCCTTTCCAATATTGCCAAAGCATTTTGCAACTATACAAGTCATATCCATTGTTCCTAGTGTTTTGCATTGATAAAGTACTTCCCTCAACATAAATTACCAAGCTTAAATCTGTCAATGCTAGGTCATGAGTACACTCTATTAGATGTTCGAATATCTGGGTAAAAAACTTGTTAACTTGTATCAAAATCAACCTTATCAAGTGAAAAGTCAGTTACTATTCAGTGTATTACCTTTACTAACTTTATCAACATTCCTTGTTAAACAATCGCCTATTTTATACCGTCCATTCTCATTCTAATCGTTCAACTATTAGAATATGTTGTAGCCCTATCAAGGAGTGCATTAAACACAAATTTAAAAAGGAATTAAAATTGATAGATATTGTTGACGTTGTTTATTCCAACAATGAAAACACAATGTATTAAGTGTAAGCTTCCCTATTTAATATCTGCTCCGCACATTCAAAGCAAAAAAAAAAAAAAAAAAAAAAAAAAAAAAAAAAAAAAAAAAAAAATAATAGCCTCTATACATTGGAATTCAATTGCTCAGCCAAATATAAACGCATTCTTATGAAAGTTTCCAATTCCTCCTCTTGAATCTCTCCCTAGAGATAGCCTCAGAGAAACAACAACAGATGTTTCTAAACAATGAGATAGTCTTGAATTTATCACTCAACTACCGCAAGAACAAAATCGACAAGATAAATTAGAAGCATCGTTTGAAATTAGTCTATGATCTCATTCTTCTTTTTTTTCCTTCACTTTCCTATCTTTGCATATTTGTATTATTAAATTATATTCTAAATATAAAATAGATTATGTATCCCCAGCAATAATGATAGAGAATAGCTTTAACTATCCTTTCATTATTTTATTATCAAAGAATATTTGTATATAAATTCAAATATCATTATTTATAGTATTCTTTACTGAAGAGTTACAATATAGAAATAATTAAGAGTATAGATCAAAACTTAATTCCTAATATAGATGATATATATTTAATACAATAGATATTTAAATAAAAAAAAATTTTTTTTAGCCTGATTGTTAATTAAATATGTTCAAAATATAGGTTGACCCTATATTGTACTTGTAAATAGCTGGTAATGATAGGTCTTAATATTATTTAAAGAAGGTTACATACATTTTATTCGTGCCTATATCTGTATAATATATTTAGCCATGAAGGCTATAAATGTAATAATGATATTTATTGTTGTAATCAAAGCTAATACAATAGCTGGAACATAACACAAGGTAATACTGACTAAAGAAATGATGTATAAGGTCCCCTAATGTTCATTACTATATAAAAATCACTTTCGGTGACTCACATTTGATACCCAGTAAGAAAAAAAAAACTACAAAAAGGATAGATTTTGTTTATAATCTAATGTTGATATTCTAATAATAATAAAATATATGTAGTATCTATCCTTTTTAATTCATTTGTATGATACAGTTGCATTTACTTATTATGTAAGTAATTCCGTTTTAAATTCTCTGCTTTTTTATACTCATCAGTATTCTCTACCATAAACAGAAAAAGAACACCCCCAGAATACTACTATATCATTATTTTTTTTAAAAAAAAAGAAAATAAAAAAAAAAGTCATACATCACTGTAGTTATTTCTTCACTTTTCACTTTTACAGATAACATCATAGTTACATATGATCCTGGATCTAAAAGTACAGTAAATAACTCTTTCCTTTAATCCAGCTAAATCTGATGTATTAAATATCATTATTACTGACTAACTATTAATGTTTACGTTAAAGAAATGAATATAATAAAAGCTTATCTACTTTTATAATTTATATTATAGGAAGGAAAAAAAAAGTGGAATAAATATATATGCATAAAAGGAGAATCTTTTTTTTATTTTGAATACCACAACTCGGCAACTACACCTAAAAGTTTGGGTTTATAAACAAAAAAATTGTGGTAAATAAAACAACTTGATCGGAAAGGGCAGCGCCTTTCTGTTGGCCAAGCGGCGATCATGGAGAGATGAACTTTGTTAGCTGTAGATGGGAGTGATTTAATAATAAAATCGGGGTTAGTTCTGAGCTTTGATGATAACATGCTACCTTCCAGGATCCAATGTTCAACACCAGGCCTTCAAATGGAGGTCGATAAAAAGATGTTGTTAAATCGCGGGGTAATTTCCTACCATGCAAGAGAGGAAAGCCCGCAGCATTGAGAGAATTCCTGGGAGTAACACGGCTGTAGTAGAAGCAAACAAGAACAGAATCTAATCCACCTCTACACTACAAAGGACTTCCTCTTCAATAATTTTTTTTTCTCATATAAAATAAAAAAAAATGAAAAAGAAGGGAGGATGGGCTCTAAAGTTAATACGTATTGTGTAGTACAAGTGCTATACAAAGTTACACGTTATTTATTTGGTACTACCATTGATATATTAAAAAAAAATATTTCAAGTAAATATGAATTGAAACCTCTTCAACAACAAATATTACTACTTACTTATCAAACACGATAATCGGTAACATCCAGTAGAGTAGTCATACTTTGCTGAATCATATATGTTAGATAGGTGAAAGAAGAAAGAGAGAAAAAAAAAATAATTGCCAAGGAAAATTATGTGAGAATTTGTAATATTATTTTTATTTCCTAAATATGACAATCCAAGTTTTTCTCGTATCAATCAGTTTCTTTTACAAATTTTTAACAAGCATCTTTTATCGATGTCTTGATCCTATATTAGGAATATTTAATCTCAAGAGAAGTGATAGTAACCAATCTCTATTTAGCACCTAAGGTACGTACAATCTTGATTCAGCTAAATTAAATACCAGCGTACAATAATATTTGATGCAGTTTTTTTTTTCAGGCACAGTACCTTGATACACTTAGTATTTTTTTTTTTTTTTTTTTTGCTAGAATTTACTGTTATTGATTAAATATTATACATAGCTATTCTAATTAGATATGCTTAATAGTGTAGTACTGTTTGCTTGTATTCATTTTTGAACATTATATTATTTAAGCTGATCAATAATAATAAACGATATGATTAACACAAAAGACATATATTAAGCTATCTCTATATATATATATATATTGAATAAGCTGTATATAGACTTTATTTTCCTGTATGATGCAAAGTCCTTCTAGTTACTGATATTTCTTATCCAGCTATTAATTATGAAAGGATCCATAGTGCCATCATATTTCCCAGATTTAGCTCTCAAGTCAATATATCCTTACTATCACTATTTTTAGTTTTCATTACTATTCAAATATATTATCTGGTCTGTTCAAAATGCTCGCTACTAGACCAACCATTTATTGTATATTATTATCAACAGTCAAGGTAACTTCATTACCAATATTATTATTACTATTCACTGCTTTGTTATATTATCACTTATGAAACCTATTGATTTTGTTACTGATGCCAAATATTCCTTCTAAAAAAAAAAAAAAAAAATATTTGTTATTTGCTAGTTTTTGCCATTATTTCTCATGCTTCCATGTTATATGTATTCTCTCTTGATTATCCTTCGATTGTTAAATTGTATGATGTCTTCCTCTTCTTTATTTAGAGCTGTTAACACCCACATTCTTCAATTTTAAATTTTTGTTTATAATTGTTCGATTTAAATTCGCTTTCTTCCATATATATAATCCAGCAAAGTATGACTACTCTACTGGATGTTACCAACTATCATGTTTGATAAGTAAGTAGTAATATTTATTGTGAAAGAGGCTTCAATTATTGTTTACTTGAAATATTATTTTAAACTGTTACAGCCAGTACGGTTACGGTTGATTTTGTCGGTTTGAGTTGAACTATTTGTCGTTTTGAGAAAAGCACTTTTGTCATGGTTGTAAGATTTATAACTTAACTCAATAAGATAAATAGTCATAATAGAATATATAGTGCACTTGTACAATAATACTGTCTATAGACATATTTAGTATATTTACCCTTGTATAGAAAAATAATTAATTTATAAAAAGTCCTACATCTAAAAATAAACTTTCTTTCTTCTATTATTGTTCTGCTGAATATAAATTTATAAAAATAACTTTATACAAGTTAAACTGGGGTAAACTAAGAATAATACAAATACGCGTAATAATTGATTCTACTCAGAATACACGTATTAGTTATAAAAAATAAATATATACAAAAGACATGAATCTATATCTATATCTATAATTATAACTCTTAGTAATCATTCTATAATTATAATACCAAATACAATTTGTTATATTTTTTGTCTTCTTATTACTCATCATCCTTATTCACAAAATATATAAATACTCTTACATTATAACTCATAACTCATAATATAACTTGTATTGAATTAATTCTTAATAAACTTATTGACAAGTCTCAACGTACTTCTTCTGTCTTATTTTATTTTTATTTTATTTCTTTTATCTATACTTTAATTATTTAAACTTACCTAAACCACAACAGGACACACAAATGCCAGTGTGATGGAAGGTAAATAAAAGATAAAAGACAAAATAAAAAGAGAGAAAGGGAACAAAAGGAAGTATAGTTTGAGACTGTTTTTTATTCAATAAATAAAGTTAAAAGAAAAGCTGAAGAAAGAAGTTCAAGATTATTTTGTGTCTAAACAACTGCTTGTATTTATATTAATGAATCCTGAATCAAAGAAATAAAAATAACCGCCAAAGAACATGAGTCATGAAACAGTATTAGTATTCGGATATACGTCTTGTTGATTCAAGAGACTGATCTATGGATTATCTATTGGGTGTTATAATGATCTGATCAAGTTTTAAATAAAAAATTTATTGTTTAATCTGAGTATATGTTCCTGATATCTTTTATGTTTTATTTTATTGGATCAAAGACGACCTGAATCCTTTATCAAGGTTATAAAAATAAATATTTAGAAATGATACGATGTCTTATAATTGATACATCTAGACAATTGGATGTCAATAAGTTTTATATTATTTACAAGATGTTATATACAGAGTTTTATTTCATATTCAGGCTTATATTTTATCCTGTATTATGTAATTCATCTATTATAATATTACTCATGATTATATCCAGAGCTTGTTCTATAACAGCCAGAACGCTTCACAAATAAAAAACAATGTTTGAAGGGTTTTTAAGCTAACAAATGATGAAAGCTCTTCCAAAGATCTTGGAAACATCATATAGGCAATTTCTATCATTTCATATACTTTATGATGGGGAAGTGAGAACAGATAGAATGTAATACTAAAGCCTATAAATATGATGATGATTAGCATTTTTACCATATACCAAAGAAACATAGATATATCATGTATCTGGAAGGCGAGAGCATGTTCAAGTTTGTTGTGATCAACCGAATCTTTTACAAGAATACCTAGTCTCAAAAGATCATGACAAAGAGCATGATAGCCACAGACGCTAGACTTTGCTTTTACTTCCCCATGACCCAAATTAAAGCCGTACCTCAGTTGATGGATTTTTGTTATTGTTATGATTGTAGTCGTATTTACAACTAAGTTAATAGAAATAAACTATCATTTATTTAAATAATAAAGAGTTTATTCGAATAAACTAGTGTATTGTATTTCACAGCATAATATTCATTCTACTCTCAGTTTTGATAATAGTCATTGTTAGAGTATTCGAGCATTAAAAATGATTATATATATTGCATTACGTAATAATAAGAGTTCAATAGGTTTATGACCGTTATATTCAATTACATAGTTATTGATACAAGTCATACATATTATATATACATCCATAATGGTGTATATTGTTATAGAGGGAATATTCACTGTAAATTAATATTAACGCGTTGCTCATCCCAAAGACAATAATAGTGTATATTTTTAATATCAGCAACAGCTCCGGCAGAAATCTGCATACTGCATGCAGAGTGATTCGGAGACAATATTTGTGCATATTTGTGCATATTTGTGCATAAAGGCTTTATTATAGCAGTATTCACTTATCTAAATCACACTCATATTAATATGACATACCTTACAAAAACATATAAATAGCACTCGTCATTTTTCCATATTATTTTCTTCTTGTACAATTTTTGTATTATTTTATCTTTAATAAAACTATACGAAGTTTTCACAGACTTGTCTTTTCTTTTTCTCTTTCCTTATCTTTGTACTCAAAACAGTTATGGTGGCACCAGGTCGGAAGTCGTTGTTCTCCTCCTGCTTTTTGTTGGACCATCTTAAAATGGTATGCCTCTCAGTGTCTGCAATAAGCTCAGAGAGAATAGGATCAAAATAAATGCTAAAAAGCTCCGTCTCTCCAATTTTGATTACATCCTTTAATGCATGCAATGGTAATTTTTACATACTATTTTATTTGGCAGTGTTTGTTAGTGAAACAATAATTACGGCCGTTTTATAGGTATGACTTACGCGTTATTAATACATCGAACAACTCTAGCTTCATAATAGTTCATATTTCTTGCCATTGTAAGTAAATCTAACTCTCCGTCACATTTTTTCAACTTTCTACTCTCAACTGAATTCACAATTCTGGCAATTTTCATACACACACTATCGTCCAAATCCTTAGTGTTGGCTTTAATTCTGTTAAAAAGTGTTTCGTATATTGTGTTGATAGACTGTTCAGAAAAGACATCCAATAGTAATGCGCTGCTTTGTTTTGGACTTAATAATAAGATATTTGTGAGTGCCAGCAGTTTGTGGATATTTGTTTCTAATTTCAATAAATCCTTGGTGGACATATCTCTCGCTTTGTTTTTATACTCATCGAAAAGTCTGGTTACATCCATATTATTCTGCAAGCAATGCATATTTTCCTCATCTTCAAGTGTATCTGAATTCTCCTCGAAACTGGTGACTGAACTACTGTCTCCGTACACGGTGGTCACCTCTTCTGATACAGCTTGGTAAATGTATTCAACTGCCCCATTCTGGGCAGCCAGCTCAGTTTTTCTACGCTTTCTACTTAGCCAGAAGAGCTAGTAGTCTTCAGTCTTTTTCCAAGATTCAAGATCGCTTAGCAATTTATTTTTTTCTTCCAAATGTTTTTTGATTATATTCTTGTATCTAGTTTGGGCGTACTGTCGTTCAAGCAAATTGTGTCTTTCAACAAACTTTTTTAACGTAAGGCTTTTACTGTTTTCCATGCACCATTGTGCATCGCTATTGAGTTTTCTCTGTTTTGTACTACATGACAATTACTGCGTCACCAAGACCGCAGCATACATTACTTACTCTAACTATGTATATTACTTTATGAAGTATCCGCAGCTACTATCAAATAACTATAAATAACTCAACAGAAGGTTATAGTAAATTTAAGATCTAATAATGATGGGATGCTATTGCAAATAACCCCGTCGGAGTTTCAATTTTCCAATTTCCTTTTTTGGAAATTGACTACGCACACCACGTCTCTTTATAATCATGCAATAAAGTATAGAAAATGTCCAGTTCATTAGCAACGAAGTAGATACGCAGCCAATAGAAGTGGAATATAATCTGCCGTTCAGAATAAATAGACTGAATAAGAGAAGATTTAAACCATCAGTAAAGGAGTCCGACGTGAGAAAGAAGAAGTCGAAGTTATGCATGATTTGTGAAGATAGAAAACGTCGGCATAATCAATTGACAACATGAGAAAATCAAGAAGACAACACTTATGCATCTTTACTACAATCACGATTTTCCCTGTTGTCATATAAACTTTATTTTGTAGCAAAATTAATATAAATATCGAAAAATAATTGATTTTAAATAAAGACAATCAATAAATATTATAAAAACTTAATTATATTCTTTGTTATTTTTTGTTTAATACCGTCCACTGCAATCATCTGAGTATATTTTTTACAAGATATAACACAG